CATTAACTATTGATTATCCTCACTTCAGCATTCCCTGCCCTGCTGTGGAAATGGCCCGTGTGGCCTGTTTCCCCATACTCCACGAACAAGCAGAACTGAAGCACCCACCTCCTGCTTTTGGCACTAAAAAGGGAGGGGGAGTTCAGACTGGGACACAGAGCTGCATGAACTGACTACACTGGAACCTACCTGCCCATTAGCAGTATGCTTGAGCGGACAACTGAAGGTTAAGTTGTTCTTTTCCAGACCCGAGAGGATTTTGCCCCAGTATGTGCTGAATATTTACAGCGAGGTTAGACTGAGTTTACTTTGTTTTTCAGGAGAGTGCAGGTAGAAAAGTTTGTTTTGACCAGGGCTCTGTGCCTTTCGCCACCTACACAAAACCTCTATAACCATGGACTTGTCTTTGCAGAGTTTTTTTGTAATGTTGCCAAAATCTCTGAACATCTCTGTGTTGCAAACAACTAATGGAAAGAGTTGCTGCTCTGTATTGTTCTCAGATTTTCAGTTTCACTGGTATTTAACGTTTGACATCTGAGTGTGTTATCTCAGTGTGTTTTTGATTTGATGTTATACAAAGCAGCAACACAGGAACACTTTGTGCACACTAGTTTGTGTGTTTCAGTCAGACGGCTCACATTTTAATGATTAAAGCTGTTTATCGTAGCGGCAGAGCATTGTTTGTGTTGGCGTTCAGGTTCCAACCTTATCACGGTTTCACTTTTACATGCAAATAATGAGAAAAATGAGATGAGAGATGATAGTCAGAGTTTGCAGGTGGATGCCAGGGTGGTGGAGGGCTGAAAACTTGAGCACTGCTGACAAAAGCAGAGCAGAGGCAAAGACCAGAGCACTTTAAGATCAAACTGGGTGCCAAATTAGGAGGATTTGTTTGTCATGTGATTACAGGAATAATGAATGCAAAAGTAAAGTCAGTGCAGTTCTAGTTGCCTGTCTGTTGTAGCTCATAGGCTGTGCTCTAAGTGTGAATTTCAAGGTCAGTGTGTAGGAATCACAGACTGTGTAGTGGTGTCAGAGACTAATCAGTTTCCTAAGCAGGTTTGAAGCCCGTCAGCAATTTTTTTAGCCATATTGAAAATGCTATATTGACCTAAAACAGACAGACACAGCTTTAATGTGCCTGTCTGTTAATCAAGTCAACTGTGCCTCTCACTGTGCAACATTTACAACCTTCAAAAACTTTATTTAGAAAAAACTGTACAACCGGTCAGTGCAGACAGAGAAATGTTGTATTTTGATTAAATTTTTCTCTATGAACCGGGCTGTAAACATTCTTTTTTTTTTTTCACAATAAGAATGAGCATTTTCAAATAAAAGTGTAAATGTGGCTTCAAGTGCTTTTGTAGTCAGCCTTCAGTTGATGCTTGAAGAACCGGAATTTTTTTGCATTTCTGCATCGACCCTCTTTCTCAAAAACAGATGTTTCTACTTGTTAGAAATGGGTATATGGAGTAACATCTAGCAGTCAGATTCTAGATCGAAATGCTCCCTTGCTCAGCCCTTCCATCAACACCCTCCACACTGTGCTGAGTCACCTGGATAAAGAGTCTGCTTACAGGGATGTGATCCTGGTACTGTAAATGAGGTGTTCAGCCAACAACCTGGTGCTGAACACCACAAAGACCAAGAAGATGATCCTGGACTTCAGGAGGAACAGGGCAGACCCATCCCTCCTCCACATCAACAGGGTCTGTGTGTACAGCACCTGCTGTATGGATAAATATACAAAAGCAATCAGAGGTATCAATCATTTGTCAATAAATTACATCATTTATAACCTTCCTATGGTGATGAATCTTGAATTGCAATTTTCACAGCAAAACCAAGTGTGCGATGGTGGCGGTGATACACGGACAAATGGATCCAGCGCTAGGGTGGAGGAGGACAGGGTGATGAATTGCAGTTGGATGTGCCAAATCTCAGCAAAGGCAAAGCCTAACCTAACCACTGCAGTTAGGTTAGGCCATGTGGATTTTGTCTACAGGACTGAACAGGACTACAGAAAAAAAAAACACCGGTGACTCCACAGCGGTGAAGGTGAGTGAATGCCTTCCATCGGCAACATTGCGGTGTAATAAGTAAGGAATTCACATAAAATTTCTGTCTGCCACCCAGTTAGCTAGCCAGCCTGCTACAAGTCTTTTCTTTACCTTTATATTTGCTGTCATGGTGAAATTCGGTGAAATAATCAACCCAATTTTCCTGAATTTATCCTCTCCTTACCAAATTTGTTTGCTTATTTCCTGACTGATCACCTGTGTAATGAAAACTTTTCATTAGAAAACATTTTCTTTCATCAATATTCTGCTCAACTTGTGCCAAAGTACAAGATTGGCACAACTCTATTCCATTGTCCTTAACTTTATTGCTGAAACCGGGTAGTATCATGCAACATTAGAATAGATAGATAGATAAATATACTTTATTGATCCCAAACTGGGAAATTCACAAGGTGATTGCGACAAGGATGGGATAAGAGAAAGCAGTAAAAAAGATTAATAAAAAGGAGACAATAGCAATATATACTATATCCTTTTATGCATCAACACACAAAATAAATAAAGGAGGAAACTGTATCATTCAAGATTTTCCACACGTATGTTAAGGTGGGGAAGACCTTAACAACAGCAGACTTCACACATGTAGACGTCACACGACAGTTGTCCTCGGTAGGTAAGCTGTGGCTCTATCCAACTGCCATACATGTAGTGTTTTCGCCTTGGAAAGGTACATCTACGTATATCTATTTTAATATTATTGGTTGGTGTTTGTTGTGTCAGAATTCACTGGCACCTCCTTTAAAAAAAATCTGCCCCCCCCCCCATATAAATTTTCTGGTGCCACCACTGGTGTATAGAGGATTCACTCCATCACCTTCTTGGGAACCACAATCTCAGTGGACCCCTCTTGCACTTACAACACCTCGGCTGTTGTTAAGAGGGCCCAGCACTGCCTGCGCTTCTTCAGGCTGCTCTGGAAAAAACATCAGCCAGGAGCTGCTGTTTACCGCTCCTCCATGGAGAGCATACTCACCTACTGCATCTCGGTGTGGTTGTCCCACTGCACTGAGGCAGAGCGGCGGAGGCTCCAGGGGGTGGATTATCGGCTCCCCCCTCCCCTCCCTAAAGGACATTAACCCTTTCCAATGTATCAGCAAGGCTGAGCGCATCATCATGGCCAGACCCCACCCCACCTACCACCTCTTTGAACCTGGACCAGCAGGTTCAGACAGTTTCTATCCTCAAGCCATTACTAGACTGAAATCTCATGTCCAGACACACTACCTCACCCCAATGTTTGTCATCTTCATGCTCATTTGTCGTTTTTAAGAGTATAATGTCAAATAAAAGCTATTCTGTTCTGTTCTATTCTATTCGATCAATGAAGCAACAGTGGCCTTTGAGGACAAAAAGCTCCTGTGATATGTTATTTATAATCTTTAATTTGTCAAGTTTTTCCCCAAATGTAAATTGTTTTGCATGTTACAACCACCACTTTCTTCTTTGTCTTCCTACTGGTGCATTTCTAGTCACTATATAAAACGCATTTGCATTTGTCCGCTCTGTGCAATAGAAACATGGTCTACTCCTCACCAAAGACTTATTCTAAGTTACCAAACACAAAAAGGTAATTTACACTCATTTAACCAGTCTTATGAATATTTGATCTAATTTCTACCAAGCCTGTGCTGCTGAATGCCCCTAAATCAAACACACTGTACTTTTGATCAAGGGAAAAAACTCACTCAAATAATACTGATTATTTCCCAACAGGTGCTGCGATGAATGTTTAGAGGATATTACAAACTCAAATTTTGTTACTTTGTTTTTACAAAAGCTTTATGGAGTCCACAGAGGTTTTTTTTCTCAAATACATGACAGTCTGGTCAAAGAGCTTTAGTGCCCCCTGAGTCATTTACAGTAATTCCAGCTGAGGGAAATTTGTCATCCTGATTTTGATACAGTTAAACCTCAGAGCCACAGGAGAGTAAACAATGCATAACTCAACAGAACAGATGCTTTTATTTAGAGGTCAGCGATATCCCTGTTAATGTAAATGATTTTTTACACCGGCAGAATTATAATAAAACAACCAATCTGTATTCATAAAAAGTCAAGTTTATTTCAAAGTAATTTCATCAACAAATATTACAAGCCTTCGTTGCTTGGAAGGAGACGCACACAAGGAACATGAATAAAACATTTATTACAATAATAGCTCAGCGTCCATTTCAGCCTCTGACAGTCAAAGCATTCCACTCGCTTAAGTTGAAGAATAAACAAGAAAGAAGCTGGTGCGCAGAAACAATAAATGAGTTTGTAAGGCCTTCCCTGCCTTACAGGATTACTGTGAAGAGAGAAATCCACTAGAATCCAATGTGGTTTTAGGATAATCCCATCAGAACTGCTACAGTGCAACGCTACTACAGAACACCCAAGCCTGTTAGCGTTGATGAGAGCCTATAGTGATGGAAAGGTTGAGTTGACAGGAGAGTGGAGCAATCCTTGTTAAAATCAAAAGAACAACTATACACACTGACTTCTAATGTACACAACAAACAATGAAACAGCCTCCTGCCAACACAGCACCACGTCTAATCTAACTCGTTTGTATTTTAGCTAAAAAAAGACTATGTACACGACATTAAAAAAAACTATGTCAATATTTGCATCATGGAAAACAGCTCTCCTGAATGAAGTCTTCATATAAAGCTCTGTCAAATGAATCTATCTGAAAAATATATTTTCATACTTACACAGCCTGTGTATGAAGGTCACACCTAACAACTGCTCTTAATAATCAAGGATGTATTTTGATACTACCCCCCTTCAACAGTCTTCTGATTTGTGGGACAGACGTGCCACACTGAAAAAACTCACACACTCTGGCATAAGTGACTTTTTAGCCCCGTTTAAAGCAAAGTTAAGTTTAATGTCTCATGTTTTAATCATGTTTTTTACCTGTCAGCTACACTGGCATCAATAAGGAGCAAATTTCTGCCTCTCAGATTTTTTGATGCCAGAGGTTGGCATTTTTGCAGTGTAAGGAGATAAACCCTGTGTTAGGCTGGAAGCAGCTGCTGGGTGGACAGCCAGGACAGGGAGGGTTTTCATGCCAAGCAGGCTGGAAACAGGGACGGCGTAGTGTGGGTTTTGGATGGTTGATAAGGTGGAGGGAGAGTGGACGTTAATGGTGGTGGGGGCTGGGGTTGTGGCCGCCAAGACAGCCATAGAGGTAGCAGCAGTGGATGCAGTGGGAGCAGACTGAGAGAAGCTCATGTTGAGGTCAACTGGGGTTGCAGAGGTAGCGGCCTGCATGGTGTATTTAGCCAGCTCTAAGCTGCAGGGCAGGATGTCGGGAGGGGGAGTTTAGATGGTGAGAAGTTAAAAGAAGGAGGTGAAAAATGAAACAAAGGGGATTGGGTAAGAAAAAAGGAGGAGGGAGATGAGAGAGAGGAGAAAACATAAGAATCAAAGAAGGAATGTGTTAAAAAGCAGAGACAATAAGGATTTTAATGCAGTCAAGAGATCGGAGCAGTGAGATGGAACAAATCCAGCCTCATCCTGAGCACAATAAGTCTGCCCTCGTATAATAGCATGCTGTTGGCTGTCCTATCAACAGACCAGGATGTGAAACCCTACTAGACTTGACCTCCCCATGTATAATGTCTTACCTGGCATTGATGAGGTACTGGGCTACACTGATGCTGGCCGGCGAGCCTGTGATCGTGACTTGGCGCATGGCTGAGCCATCAGTGGCGCTGGCAATTTTGATGTGAGCTCCAGAGACCTGGCGAATCTCATTGATCTTGCTGCCTTGTCTTCCAATTATACAGCCAATAAACTAGGAGGGGAGAGAGTGGAAACATGTAAATGGAAAATCAGCCATGTTTCTGTGCTTTTTGGCAATTAGATTTCAAACAGCATTTGGAAGACACTGCCACAGTGAACAACAACACCACAGACTCCCAGCAGTTTGTTACAGAGAACAACCACAGTCCCAGCTGTGTTATTTCAACAGCATTAAACATTGACATGATGCATTAGTCCCTCTGCCAACAGCCAACACTGTAGCTCTAAGATCATGTGTAGTGCTGTTGATATTATTGATCTGTTCAATGAAGTGTTGCCCTCTTATTTTAAGCCACTGTTGACATTTGGAGTAATTCACTGCTGTGGTGAGAATGCTGCCTGGAAAAGAGTCCAATTAGAAGAGACTGGGGAAAGGAAGCTGCCATCAGCAGTTGGTTTGCTCAGCTTACTTCTGTCTTTCTTACCAATCATGGAGCTGCATCAAATGTTTGATTCTGATTGATCAAAGCCCACTATCAATGATTATTCAATGGCAAAAGTAAAGCCAGGGAGAGCCTAATCAACTCACATATCAAAGGGTGACATCTTTAATGTCTCTCTTTGGACTAAAGTGTAATGGATGACACATCCCCAGCAGAGAAAAGAGAAGAGGAGAGAGAGCCAGGACGTGTGTGTGTGTGTGTGTGTGCGTGTATGCGTGCGTGCGTGTATGCGTGCGTGTGTGTTTGTGTGTGTAAATAAGAATACTTAGCATTATGGAGTTGTCAGAGTCTATATCAAAATGCTCCTTTGCGCAACCCTCCCAGATGAAGCAATAGTGGCCTTAAAGGGATATTCCGGCCTAAGTTTAAGTCATGGTCAAACACATCGTAACACTGCATTAGACACCCCCTCGAGAGATGAATGTTGCCAACTGCTTGCTCCTCTAGTTATACCAACTTTAGTAGCAGCCGCACGATAGCAATACACAGCAGTCCTTCACTCCATGCGCAAACCTCGACCAAAAAGCCACTCTATAGCCAAAAAGAGGACACTAGTACGCAGGGGCGGAGTTGTGCCCGTACGCTTTTTCGGGTCAGGTCAAGTGTTTTCCATGTGCTTCTAACTCAGTTAAACCCATATTCTGAATTTTAAAAAAGACACTTAAGCAGGCCTCTTGGAGATACTGAAAAATACTCACACAAACAATTTATTCATTTTATCTAAAGCATTTCTCCTCAACAAAATTATCAGTCACATACAAATATTTCTCCCTTTTCTTTCCCTCACCAGCAGACAGTGCATGCATGCATCTCGTCAGTGGCTTTGCTTAGAACTGAGTGGAGGGGCAAAGCAGCAAAGAGTACTGATGCGCTGCTCTGTTTTATAATGAATGAATACACGTTCCAGGGTTTGGCGTCTGTTTGGAATGTGTTTCCACATGAACCATTGAATGTGTATGGCAAGTACAATGGTCTGTGATGCAAAGAAAAGGTACACGCTAAAAAAAAAAGGTCTTCCATACAAAACCCCAGACATTTAAAGAATTTTATTAACTCCCCCCCAGAGAGGCCGGACAGCTCACCAAAAGAGGACACGTCCGGGCAAAAGAGGACTTATGGTCTCCCCAAAGACCAAACACAACTCAACCACTCTCCTTCAGCAGCCGCTTGTTTGTGGGGGGAGCCCTGACAAGTTGATCACCAAGTGCAGAGTGGTTGAGTTGTGTTTGGTGTCTTTGCTAAAGAAATCAGGCAAAGTTGGTGGCTAGTACTGTGGCAGGGACCCTAAATGTACTGTTGATGAAGCTAGGTGCTGTTCTGAGCATTATTTGTGGCTATAGAGTGGGTTTTTGGTTGACGTTTGCGCATGGAGACGTAGACTGCTGTGTATTGCTATTGAGAGGTCGTTGCTGAAGTTTTTGACAAAGGCAGAGCAAACTGTGGTGTACATTTTGGATGGAAACTCAAACTTTGAGTTTTTTGGTGGTGAAGAAATAGGTCAGCAGAATGTAGAGTGCTGTTTTAGACTGCTAGGTTTTATAAAATCATTGGTTTGACTTGTGAGGATTTAGTGTGACCGTATTCAGTTCACACAGACATTCAAAAGTCTGGCACTGACTGACACAAGCTTAGCAGGTGTAACTAAAATGGGTGAAAAACCTGGATTTCAGTACCCATGTTCAGAAAAGATCTATATTTTTAACTTTTTGTAAAAAGGAGTGTGGTTTTGTAATGAGGTCGTGTATTCTTTTTTTCTTGTTAATTTTGACAGACAGTATATCCCCTCTGCATTAATCAAACTGCTGTGAGCTGGAAACTGTCTGAACACAGTCAGAAAGGTCATCATTGCTGAAGTCAACTCACTTTTCTTTTAAACTCATTTCTGTGAAAGTTTTAATTGATTCAAACACACAGTTTTGCTCTGATGCAGATCTGGATGCAAGAAGTATATTGAAATATGACTTTTTATGGCTCTGTTGTTCATCACAAAGGACATAGCATAAAATATCATCAAAACATGTGGATGGAAATAAAGATTCCCTGTCCTTGTTATTATTATTTTTTATTTTTATTTTTTTTCTGGGTCCTAGTTGGATAGATCCTGTCTGTGAGTGACAACTGAGTCTATCTTTATCTGTGGCAGGTCTTTATTCTAAGTAGTACACCAAGAAGATTCTTCCCACTGCCTGATTTCCTTTATACCATTTTGCGCAAAATTCATTTTAAAAAGCAATCTATATGCATAAAAAATCTTGTGATGTTTAAATTCCTCAAATTTTCAGCTAAATCAACAATCCCAATGCCTGCTGTGTACATGCAAAGAATTTTATTTATTAAATTTGACTGCATTCAGAACTTTCTGCAGCTAATAAGGTGAAAACAGAGAAACTTATGTCCAAAAATCCTCATTATGACAGTCATCCTAGAAAGCAATGAAAAAGAGGTAGCAGGGTTTTTGGTGCAGGGTTTTGTTTTAGCGCTGTAGAAACACAAAACAATGTGGCACTTACATCATTAGGTATCGCCAGCTCTTGTGAACTTGTGGGGGCAGATGCATCCAATCCTGCAAAGTAGGACAAGGAATGCTAACAACAGTACAGCACTAATGGCTTCCACTTTAATGGCATGACAAGTTGGCCTACTTTGTCTAGTTCACTGCTAAAGTAAGATCATGGAAATGGCATACTGCATACTCTATATACATGATCAGCACTCACTCTTTACATAAATTGGATGTTGCTCAATATCATAAAGTTATTTTTGATACCTTGAGTATGTGGTATAAATGTTATCATTTCAACAATAAAAACATGTTCAAACATTGTGTCCTCAGTTAGTCATGGCAAAGTTTTTGAGAACTTGGGGAAGTTAAAGTCAGGGATTTTCTGGCCAAGACGATGTTAGAATTGAAGGAGAACTGTTGCAGAGGTGGAGGATGGGGTGAAGAGATGAGGTTTTGTTTTAGGAGAGGAAAACTGGGCAAATGGAGCTGAAACTCTGGAGGGGATCAAAGAAATGGTGAGAAATGGTCAACTATTTACCAAAGGGTAAATATTTCTCTCATTTTTCACATTTCCCTCTCAGAAAACTCTGCTGTTGGAATTTTTGGTTTGCTTCAGTCTCATTACGGTTTGTAGAAAGTTCAATGAGAAACAAATTGAGGGCTAAAGCATGGTGGCTCTGAAGGTCAACTGCACAAACATGTCATGAACATAACAAACAATTCACTGAATACAGAAACTTTTCATCAAACCTGAAAACAATTAAAAAAAACTGAAATATTTCATTCAACACAGACACTTTTAACAGTTACAAAAAGAAAATAATATGATAAGTGTATTTTACAGAATACCAAAAACATGTCATTCTTTTTGCAGAATGTTTCAGGGTTTCATGAAATATTTTTGGATCTTGTTATCCTTGTCTTTGTGCTCATGCATTTTTATTATTTATTTTTGGGGTTTTGTAATTATTTCTGGATTTTGTGAAATGTTTTTGCATCTAGTGAAATGTTTTTTCCTGTTAATAAAATGTTTGTGCAGTCGACCTTCAGGACCACCGTACTCAGCCTCTTGCATCCCTTTGTGCTGTGAGTCTTACTTTTAAAATCCAATTCTCTGGAGCAAATAAGAGCAAGTACGTGTGCATAAACCTGACAGGTACTTTGTGTTTCATGTAGATGTTTGAAACCTGTGAGAGAGTCTTTAAACTCTGAAAGAAGGAAGACACCCGAGATCCTCTCTGGAGTCTGAGGTGACAGTGTTGTTTTGTCAGTGTGATTCGAAGAGGAGTGAAGTCAGGGGGATAGATGGACCTCCCCGGGGAGTCGTGGGTACGTACCAGGGAAGGTAGGGTTGCTCTGCCCAAGGGAGGGGAGGGGGATATGCTGCATAGCCAACTGGTGAAGCTTGGTCAACTGCAGGGTAGGAAGGAAGTTAGAGCTAACCAATCAAACTGGATTATTTCAGAGGAGCTGACAACTACAATACAGAGCCAATGTGAAGTTCACAAACATCACAGATGGTGTCAGTGTGAGAGATTCATTTCTGTCAGAAAGCATGCTCGCTTCTTGTAGCAGCCATCTAAAAATACATTCACATCTCTGTCTACAAAGCTACAACTGATCATAAATCTGAACATCTTAAACTTTAATTTCAGTCAAAGCATTTTGCTGCTATCTCATGTTAGTGTTAGTGTTATCAACAGATCAGGGTTACTTCAGTTTTATCTTCTCAGAGTGGGAGACATAGAGGGTGTCATGGTGGCTTTGAGGAGTGGGCAGGAGCAGGTCATTAGGGTGGGTGTCACTCATTTAATACCAGCATACTTACATCTTGATGTGCAAAAGCATACTGCCCTGGGATTGCAAAAGCCTGCAAGGATTAGCAGAGGAGATGGAGTTATGAGGAGGTGTTCTGAGGCATCACTTGAAACTTTTATTTGTTGGAAAGAACACTCAGAGCAGAGAGTCCATCTTTAAAAAATCCACCCCCCCTTCTCTATTCCATAGCTGTAATGTGTATAGATTTGATGAAAATTCATCTAAATGTCATGTGCTGTTTTCCTCCCCTTTGACCATAGCCAGAAATCCAATAACACAGACAGATGTCTGATAGGTCAGAACAGACTGCGCCAAATTCAGGACAGCGATTAGCCAGCTGATGGAAAATATGAGCTTTAGCAACGACATCTTTCAGGTTTCACACCCCAGGGGGATTATTAATGTCAATGCCTTCTATTCATATATCTGTCACATTACAGCCCAGCATGAATTCAATTGGGCCAATTGCTAATATGATCACTGGGTCCTCTCACAGCTGACAGCACAATGTGAAAAGCTTATTGCTGTGTAATTAAAAAATGTGTCCCTCTAGTGGTAAAATATGCCTAATGATCAGAGTGACTCGGAGGTCCCATCAGTACAGAGCTCCTACAATGTAATGTTTTCAGGGAAGTGGCAGCAGGCTAAGTTAAGTCATTCATATATCTTTACATTCACATATTTGAACACTTACTTGTGCAGAGTGCTGTGGTGCTAAGACTGCATGGGCTCCAGCAGGCATGGCCTTGGGACGGTAGGGAATTGTTGCTCCTTTTGGTGGAGACTGGAGACACAGTCATGCAAACCAATAAGAGAGAAAAACTCATACACTGCTACAACGGAGAAAAGAACCTATACTGGCTGTACTTAATAAACCTTTAATATCCTGAATCTGAATGCTGAATATTTCCACATCCCCTTCACCGGCTGAGATGGTTGCATGAAACCTTGGATTAAAGAAACAGGCTGTGAATAGACCTCCCAAAAAGATGTTTTTGGAGGGTTTTTTCTGTTTAAAAAAGAGTGAGCAGATGCTTCACTTTATCTGAATTATTTTCTCTAAACATTTTACCTCATTTGATGTTAGTTTTTCTTTGAAAACAATCACTACCTTAAACATGACAATGTCATAAACATACAAAATGATAAATATTAGTACAGAGGGAAACTTCTTAGGCTACAGCAGATATAAAGAGAGCTCAACCATCTCAAATAAAATAGGAGAACATATTCATATGTTGAAGGGAATCCATATCATCCAATCTTGAAGCTAATGGTCACTCAGTTGTTTTAAATACTTAACCCTGATTAGTCAAAACCACACTGGAGACTGGTTTTATTTCTGAATAGCAGCGGCAACATTAGGATCAACAAAGTCCCTCACAACACACATCAAATAAAGCCACAGGAAAGGTGTTCACTGCATATTTAGTGGGCTGTTCATGATTTCACTTCTTCCCGTTGACAATATGACAAAAATCTTTCCAACAGTATCAGAAGACCACATGGAGGATGGTCTTAAAAGTACTCCAAAGACCTGATCTACTAAAAGTTTGCATGTACAACAACATGCAAACTTGATAGCGCGTGCAAAGCTGATCTACTAACTGGTTACTCTGAGGATTGCATCTGTCAAATGAGCAAATAGCACATGCATTCCATTTAGTGGCCCTCATTTATCAATCTTGCGCAGACCTGAGCACATATCTGAGTGCAGGATTCATCCTATGATAGGACACACGTGAGATTTATGAAAGGGTTCTTATCTGACCAATCCCAGCGTACGTATGATCGGGTCTTGATAAATGCAGCGGCTGAAATCGATCGTCATTAACATGTTTACGCCCTTTAATATTCGTGGTTCAGAAGCCTTGCCCACTGAGGTCAAACATGAAAGAGGAGAAATATTAGAAAGATATAAAACTTTTCAGAGCTGAAAGTGGATAGCGGTGAACAGCGCTACTGCAGAATAGTGGACAGTGGCTGAAGTTTGAATAAATCATTAGTCAATAAGTTGCTCGTGATGATAAATTATTATCTCTTACATGCCTCATATTTTTTATTGGTATGACACGGGGTACGTTGCTCGTATTATTGAAAGTTTATAGTTTTAATTTGTTGCGTCTTTGTAATGTAGAGCAGACTGGAGAGTCTGACAGAGGCTGAACAAAAATAATTATTAACGTCACTAAATGGTGTGTTGCTGCCCCTGAGGCACATTTTTATGGATTTCTATTGGATTCTTACCACTGATTAAATAGCAAGAGCACTTACTAAACTTATATTTTACATCAGAATCCACCGATAAGGTCCTGACTCCTCTGTACAGCACCTTTGTGGAGTCTCTCCTCATTATTGTTTTCCGGGCATCGGGTCCTCTCGTTGCACCGGCACAGCTAATGGCACTCCATTCGCCCGTGCAACATTGTGCAAAACTATACTGGCCCAAATGATGTCCCACACCCTTTCATGAGTGTACAACAACGTCCCTGCTGCTGGGCCAAGACAGAGACACCTGCCTTTCAGGAGTCAAACACAACGCTCCACAGTGGCGTGTGTGCGTGTGCGCAATGTTAAAATGGCGCTCCTGCTCTGTGGCAGTGTTTCTGGACATGGTTATCAAATAGGCCATAATCAATTTATTTTATTTTATTTTATTTTATTTAGGTCTTAATCTTTAATGAAATCTGGCTGATTGTGCTTAGTGACAGGTTTGAGGTTTGTTTATCAATTATTTGAGACAGATATTTGCTGCACCGCAGATCTACACTGACTCAAACTTGCGTACACAATGTCAGACCTGTCAAGAGATTTGGTCGTAGAGTACGCTCACGTGCAGATTGATAAATGCTGATCCTTACATCAAAATTGTTGTACGCAAGGTGTACGCAAGTTTTCGGCCGTACGCAAGCTTGATAAATGAAGGCCAGTGTGTTTGCCATCATGGTGAAATATAGCCTGGCTGAGCCATCCTGTTGCGTGAATCACTTGCCGTTCCTTCACTTGTGGGAAGGATCGGCAAGTGATTCATGCAACTGGATGGCCCAGCCAGGCTAGGTGAAATATAGGCATAGGTGCAATGATAGACGACAGAGAGAGAGAATCTCCTGTGCGTGTCAACATATTTGGACTTTCAGAAAGAAAAAATAGTAGAGCAAAAGTAATAGTAATGACATTTTTGAGCTGCTGGATGACTAAGGGTTGATTTGGAGCCGGTCACGAAAAGGATCCATGCCATATCTCCTACTGAAAAAACTCCTTGTAACACTGCATTTTCCTGCATCTGGATCCTTCCAGCACACCATAGCAGTTAGTGCGTCTTGCAGAGTAGTTTAACTGGTGTGCTGTCCCAAGAGTTGAATGCTATGTCATGCAGGGTGTATAAGTATATTCAGTTTCCACGCACTCACAGTAAATGACACAAAAACACAGCGTTTATGCAGTTGCTGGCTTTAAACTTCATTTTTTGTTTCTGCTCTCACAAACTGTCCATGGTGACAGCCGATAGTGCACGTAAAATCCTCATTTAAATAGTGCAGTCAGCATCACTTTTGCACCTGTTATCAATTGCACATGAAATCATAGTGGATCACCGGCAACACGCCCACCAAAAGCATTTGCAATTTTTAGTTTGTACATGCAATTTAGTGCCCCTTATTTGTGATCTTAGTCGGTCAGGTCCTGAATTCTTTAGAGCACTAAACTTTAGATTAGTGGTTGATGTCTGACCAGGTAACACAAGTGCAGGAGAAGCTTAGATGACAGAGACATCTATAAAATTGAAGAGAACAGACACATACAGCAACACGGAAAGGCTTGGGCTGTAAAATTACATGGTTCAGGGCCTTTTACATGTGCTGGTATAAAAACAACCACATGTTAGGACTGGGGGACTGTTAGGACTTCTAGGCTGCTTAAACCACCCATTGGCGCTGTCGGAAATAGTAAGCTAGTTGAATCCCACTGCCAGTACCACTGTAGAGTGGCCTGTCCTCGGTTGAGAGGGCCTGTTTTGTTGGGAAAAGCCACACTGTTATTTTTCTTGTCATGTAGCTAAAGTGTGATTTTGAATAAATCAGAGATGTTTGCATCACAAAGTGCTGTTTTGATTGTGCACTAGTCTTTCTTATGGCCAGTTAGCCATCACTATTTTTTAAAAACTCTGCGATCAGCAAAACTAAGATGACGTTGAATAAAAACATTTATTTTATTGTTACAGTGATCTGACCCGTACACAGCATGATAACAACACTGTTGAGCTAGAGGCACCGACAATCATCCTAACAGAGAGACTATTTTTCAGCTATATGAATGAATGATTTAAAATCAATAAAAATTTCTTTCCATCAACATTTTGTGTCAACTTGTTTGTGTTTTTGAGCTGGGAGTCGAGCAGTAAGCAGGATGATGTGTGGTTAGCTGGCGGTTATGCTAAACAGGATCCCCTCAGAGTGAGACAAATCCCTTATTTTTTAGGATAACAATATACATTGAGCAGCACCGCATCAATATTGCATATTATGACAATATTGATGCATTTCTCACAGGGACTTCAAGTAAAACCTTTCAGCAATGTTGCTAAGATTGAAAATATCCAAATACCTTTAACCCCAGCCTAAACAATTGCAACTTGATGCCAAAATAGAGCTTTTGAACATGAGGATCATCTGCTGTGTGGCAGTGCTTACCTCCAGCATGACAGAGCAGATGTGTCTTACACACTGAGTAATGGCCTGTGGAGTGCCGGAGATTGTGACAGCCCTCTCTGTGGAGTCCGGCAGCATGTCTCCTGCCACCTGAACCTGAGCGCCTGTGGTCTTAACATCCCCAGACAAGAGAAGAAACAAATGCTATTTATTGCTGAAGAGGACTCAATCACCCAAATTGAAATGCTGTTTCAGGCACGCACACAAATTGCCCCGAATACATTTTGACATGCAGGGAGCAGCTGCAAGCCAAATAGTAAAGTGTGCTCCAATATTTGCAGAAGCGTACACAAATATTGTCTATTCAGAGCGAGCAGTCAGTCTCCACTGATCTTTACAGGCATAATCAGGGAGATTTTCATGAGCAGCAACCATAAAACTACACACTTTTAAAAGCAGAGATAAACAAGAAGGGTTTGACTGCAGTGTTTGATACTCAGGGTGTCAGAGCAGCAGGGAGGATGTTTCCTGTCCCTGTTTAGATGGAGAAAAAAAACTTCCTGTAGTACCAAATAAAAAGATAAGGAAACATACCTCTCTGATTTCCTTGATCTTTGAGCCTCCTTTGCCAATCAGTGAACCACACTGGCTTCCTGGGAAAACAAGGCGAAGTGTCACAGGTGGCTTGCTTGTCACGTTGCTGTTTGTCATCGCTGCAGTAATATCCTGAGGGAGAATTCAGAAATATGGTTTTGACAACTGTAAGGATGTCGGCTTTGTCTGACGATTTCCATTTTTCACAAGACAAAAACTTCAAACAACATTGTAAAAAACTCACCCATATATATATATATATATATATATTTATATGTATATATATATATATATATATATATATATATATATATATATACACACATACATATACATATATACATATATACACATTTATATACATATATATATCAATGTAATTTCCTTCACAGCAGTGATGCACACTTTGTAGCATCTATTTATGTTGCCTCTACCTCCTCAAACTTCTGTGCGATCATAGAGAAAGCTCTGAAAATCCCCTCTGTGGGTCCTGTGATGGTAACTATTCTTTCGGGAGAAGATCCCTCTGATATGTTGATTCGTGCACCACTCTGAAAATACAAATCCACAAATTATTCCTGCCACAGTTTGTTGTAATTGATCTGCCAGAACACATAAATTATACATGTTTTCACATTAGGGGTGTCGATGCTCACCTCCTCCCTCATTTTCTTCACTGTTTCTCCTTTCTTGAATAATGCAGGAAAATAAAACAGGAGAATTAGTTCGTTTTATAAGGAAAGGAAAGTAAGACAATCAGAAAGACTAATGCAGATAATTAAATTTACCTTCCCAATTATGCTGCCGACTTCCTGTGAATAAAAAGATAACAATGCTTTAACAACTTGCAGCAAAGACCATCTTCTCCCTAAAGCTTTCCTCTCACATCAATGATGCACAATGACTACAAGTTTGGTAAATTCCAAACACTTTGAACATTATTGTCATGTTGGTGAATTACCTTTCCATGCATCAGCAGCCTTAATGTCAGTGTAACGTTCATGTTCCCATCTGAAGCCATTTCTTCTTTATCAGACATTGTCAAAGCTTTAAAGTCAAAACCCTGGAAAAGGAGGACAATTTTCAGGTGGACTCTTTAAAACAAATGAAGTCAAACAGTCCGTCTGTCTTATTTCCAATTTCACTCCCTGTCTTTGTGTGTGAATCCACTTTTCTTTCCCTGAAACATTGAACTCTTTCTTTCGCTGTTTAAAACTCCTGTGAGGAATTGTTGGTGCAATAAAGCTGCAATATTCACAGTTTGAACAGACATCTCTCAACTGCAACTGTACTGAGCCAAACTCCCTTATGTCCAAGGATTTATACTCTCTGAAGAGTTGTGAACTATTGTTGTCCTCTTCTGGTATAAATGTGAGCTTTCGATGACAGTCAGTACATTTACATGCACAGTTCAGTCAAGCTGGGTAATACCTCAGGTGGTTCAACTGGACTCCTGTCTTTGTCCCAGCTCACAGGCACTGGGAAACATTGAATTATTGACAGATGCATGTCCTTTCCTTCTATGTATCAATACAGCCAGCAAAATAGCAAGAGGGATGCACGTCAAAAGATGACAACACTGTCACTTCTACAGCTTTTTACTGTTTGTTGGTATGATAGAAAAGTTTTGGCCGTTTTTAAAAATTTCTTTCTGCATCTGTTGGGCTTTTGTTTACTACCTGGTTTCCTAACAACACATCCACACTGTTCAACTTTAGGCTCATAGCCCAATGTGTGAACACTGGCACATGTGCAGTGCAAAAAGTCTAACTGTATGAATCACAAATGTACACATGACACTATGCAAAAAAGAAAAAGAAAAGAAAAGATAAGAAAAAAACGCAAATAAACGCTTCAGTATCAAAAGAAGGTTAAAAGACAGAGAGGACTGAGAGGCACTAAGTGAAACAGCCTTATTATTGACAAGACAGAGAGTAGATCCGACACATAACTTATCGCTTTGTTGTCAGGGACTAATGGAAAATGATTGTTTCAGAGTTGGTCTCTGGGCACAGCTGACTATCTGTATTTCTGACTACAAGGCCAGTTATGGTCCATGGCCTGGAGAAACTGAGTGATCTCAGAGCTGCAGCAGTAGTGCAGTGGACTAGTACCACTAAAACTCTGCTCTGGATCCAGAGATGTTAGGATAATCATCTCTTCCATCCTCACTGTGCATTCTTCATCCCCAGTGTTGTTGGAGAAGAAAACACCCACACACCCCCATACTCAGAGCCCACGCTGGCTAGCTAACAGTAAGTGCTAGCGGCTACATGAGATCCAAAGTCATTCAAAGCTACAGCAAGTGATGGTTTTGTTAGCAGAGCTTTCTGATCACCAGACTTTCTTTTCAGTTATAGCTCTGCAGGTCATATTTACATGTTTATAAAGTCATGTTCTGTCTCAATACATAAAAGGTCATGGTCATTTAGCCAGTAGCTTGTATTGTTAATATCTAATTAAATCAGCGATAATATCTTCTCTGTCTGGTCCATGAGAAAGCTGTGTCACTTGTTTTGACCTTCAGCAGTATGTTTTTATCTAATTACTTGTACTGCATTTCTCCTGTGGTTATTTATTTTTTTTATGTGTTTTTGGATTTGCAGCTTGTTTCTCCCAGTGAAGACCACCAAGGCCATTGCAGACCGTTCACCCCTCTCAGCCACCATGGAAATCTCCACATGAGACCATGTCATGAGTTACAGGAGTTGTGTGACTCTGGGATAAGATGAGATACAAAGGACGCCACTTGTGCTGTGGAGGCCTGAGGATCAAGTGATGTGTGTGTGACTTTTAATATCACACTGCCACCACACAAAGTCTGCTCTGTGTTGACTCCGTATCCAATCTGTCACATTTGCAGAGCAAATAAAGAATGTGTCTTTGCAGAGTAGGATGTGCAGCTCAGTGCACACAGACAGACAGACAGATAGGAGACTTGAGTCCATGAGGACCCAAGGTCAGTTTGTTTGTTGGATTATCAGAGTTCTGAGAGGTTCCCCCAAAGTTTATATTCACTGTGTTTAATAAGGCTAAGAGAAAATTAGCTAAACCTTACCTCAAAAGAATACAAATACTAGAGCACTGTGATAAAGGGAAAAGGAGCACTGGGACATAACACAAGTGAGTGTGTATGAGGGCCTCAGTCATTCCATTGTTTTAACAGCCTGCACAATGACAATCAAGATGTTTGATGATTATCTGCTTCTTAGGGTGATCCTAATCTGACCTGGTTTTCAAGCTCTGTGTTCCAAGAAAAGACCCATTAAACATGTCTATGTCCTGGTTTGATCAACTCCTGTCCTGGTTTAAGCCACATGAAACACCAAAATAGTACACCGTGCTTGCATCACTTATTTGTCTGCATGTATGCCAATCAATATTGTTGCAGAGGCTGTTATTGTTTCCACTGTTAGCGAAACATCCCAAATGCACCACAATCACAGTTCAATAGTGAATTTTCTGCATATAATGGTCAATCTCGCAGCAGGCCTGTTACTTAGCCCGGCTCAGAATACTGATGGAATCTGCTGAGTGACGTCAGGTTGGCTGGATGTCACGACAAAGTCGACACTTTCTGAAGAGCCTCGGGAGAGTTACAACTTGTTTCAAAATGTACAGGCAACAAACACACTGTTTTTCCCATACCGCAAGAGTCTTTTTTCAGTCACCCACTGTGAAAATGGCACCATACAAAGCCATTTGGGCAAACACAAACAGTGGGTACAGGCTGGAAGAGGGGGAAAACGCCAACCCAAACAGGCTGCTCGGGAGGCTACCAAAGCAGCAATTGTGTTTTGTGTTTGCTGCTGTTATATAACAACATTTTCCAGATAAAGTTTTGGTTGATCGAAGGAGGAATGATTTTCCATCTGCTGAGGCACTCCCCGTGATTTTAAAGGTGCAGTAAGAAAAAATCTGATTGTACCATGACTACCGTCATCGTCATCAAAAACATCTTGTCAATACAAAGTCACTCTCTTCTAATGCATTTTGCATTGCCATTTACTGAATGCAAAACATGCATGTTAGTCATTCTAATTTGCCTCTTCTGTGCTATAGTAATAGCCTAGAAGAGCAAGATGGCAGCTTCCATGGAGAGTGACCCAATCCTTTGAAATGTTAACGCTTAGTCAACAAAAACAACAGGATTTTTGCATTGATGTGATTTTACACTAATATGAACAGCCTTATAATAATATTTGTCCATGTTTCATTTCTACCAAGTCTGTTCCTCTAAATGCACCTAAATATGGCACACTGTGCCTTTTAGAGTGGCTGTTGGCTGTGTCTCATTACGCTTTTCTTAAAGGCCAAGCTAACTGCTCCCCTGTACTGCTCTTTGTCAGAGCGGAGCTAAACTAAGCTAACATGCTTTAGCTTGGATCCTCAGACAAATCAATAATAATAACAACAGAGCTCCCTGCTACAGCTCTAACCCTCAGAAGTTGTATTAAAGGAGTGTAGGTTGAAGCATGCTAACACTGATGAAGTGTCAGTATCTATCAGATCAAATGTGGCCATATCAGTGTAATAACAAGCAAACAAAACATGCTCGTCTGAAAGCTGGGACAAGTGTACAATAAGATATTGTTCTGGCACATTCCTCTGTTGATAATTCCCCACTAAGCTCATGGACTTTGTCCAAAATATCACAAATAAGGAGTCTTTCTAATAGCAAGACTCATGTTTATTGTCCTCCCTGTGTATCATTATATAGTAACTGTCTGTGAATACATCAAATAAACAGCAACATCACTGTCTAATCCTATAGGCTGGGATTTATTTAGTTAATGCTAAAACCCTTTTGACCCATTTCTGTCACCTCTAGCACATCAGCACCCACTCAAGGCTCTCGAACAAAACAGTGGAGAACAACAGCACCCATCAAGTGTGGATGATGATAATACAGATAATTAACTGAAACCCAGCTCCCAGCATATTGACAGGCACAAATGTGCACCACAAAAACCATAGATATATTGATAGATATGTGTGAATACTGAGAACAATGCCTGCGTGGATTAACTGAGGGGCATCTCTGGAAAAGGACACATATGAGGATGTTTTTTTTTCATTCTTAAGACTATAAACCTGACCTGTTTTACAGAGCTGATGCAGACAAAGGTTTTCCAATTTTGAGACAAAAGTCCTGACTTTTATTCAAACAAAGATGCATCAATTTTTTCAGCACTGTATGCTCAATTATCGACATAATCAAATTAAAGATTAACCTTTCACTTATGACTTTGCAAAAACATGAAGCAACACTTTATTTTTCTATCCGTGTGTTTACAAGCAGCATATAAGCAGGGGGCCACAGATCATCACAGCCCTCTATACTGTGGCTGAGCACTGCTCCAAAATTTAGGTCTGAAGTTAGGAGTGAAAAAAAAGGCATGCACAACACACTAGAGTAGAGAAAAACAAGCAGCTTGAATTAATTCAACCCTGATGGAAGTCAGGAGTTGTGCATTAAAACATTTTCCAGCCCGCTTTAAACCAACAGAACCAAGCAGAGAGACTGAATTAAAAGTTTTACTTCCACACTCTGTACTGCAAGAACCCCAACAATAATTAAGCCTGCAACCATGTCACCAGTAGAAACTACTCAGTGGAAAGTCTTGAAGCCATGGCTCAGTGAGAGGCCTGTGAAGCAAAAAGAACGATTAGTATGGTACTGACCTTATAAACAAAACACTTGTACCTCTTCTTTATTTCTCTCTGCTCTTAAATGAACAGCCTTTGAGTTTGCAGTCCCTCTCCGATGTTCGCCCCCTTTGTTGTCAGTTATCCACAGAGTGGACAGATGGTTCCCTATGCCCTCAGACCGGCTGGAGCAGAGGCTGGCTTTGCTGCTTAGTCCCTCAGCTTAGCCCAAGATAAGCCCCTACGCAGGGCAAGTGAACCCGCATCTCTTGCCTAATTCTCCTAGTCACAGCCACCAAAGAGGCGTTCCTCCGCACAGAGATCCACGAGCTGAAGAGGCCAGAGGGCAGGGCAAAGAGCCTCCAGGCTGGACACTGTCCAGCACTGACGGAGCAGGCTACAGTAGCCGCCACCACAGTAAAAGTTCAGAAACTTCTTGTCTTTTGCAGTCAGATGTAGGAACAGAAAAACAGAAGGGAGGCTTTGTTAACCAGCATTGCTCTGAGACTAACAACTCGGCATGACTGGTGTGTTCTTCATTAGATTTTCAAAGAGCTTCCTGCCGGCACAGGGCCGGATTTTCTCTAAAAATAAGTCTCCTTGTATGAAATCAGTGCTTTATACAAGGCACCCGACTAATTGAGGGCTGGGAAGGACAACATAGCGTTTGAGGTATTAAGTGATGTTAAGCACAATGTCTTCACGGGGTGCCTCTCCCCCTTCTGCTCCCCCTGCCCTCCCCAGCACCAAGCCCTTTTGCCCTTGTAATGAGGCCATACTGGATACAATGCAGCCCTTCTGCACTGGAAAAAAAGTGCTTTCTGCTGAGCCTCAAAATTGTGAAGGAAATGAATCAGTGAAGCATAAGTGGCATATTTAATTACTATTCAGTGCATCGAACGAGGACAATGATGGGCGCTGTGAGCCTCATGGTCTCCTATCAGGCATCTAAGCAGACCACATGACATTCACCCACAACCAGGATTTCAATCCAACTTTCAAGTGTCATTTCTGTGGTTAAAAGGACTGATAAATGCTAAAAGATAAAGGTTGTCTAAAAGGAAAGACTGTCTCAGAATTTCCACATTATTTCAGAGTGTTGTTCCTCTCTTTAAACAAGGTTTGATTCAGGATTAAGGATTGAGGAATGCAGAGCAGTCAAAGTCCAGAAAAGCAAAATAAAACTTCTATAACTATAGTAGATATTTTCTTTACAGATAGTCTGACAGGTTTTCTTTTCACTTGCAGCCTGTGAGATGAGCAGACATTTCATGCCGGTCACATGGGACAAATTTCCTCTTCTTCATGTTCCCTGTATGTCAATGAAGTTAAAGAGCGGGGTTTGTATATGATGGGATTTCCAAGAGGCAACCTGTGACAGTAACCAGAGCAGGGTAGATTTCACAACAAGTATTTGGGTTGCAGTCATCATCAGGGTAATATCACTTATCAAATGCTAGATAATGTGACATTCTTCCTTAATTCTAGCTCTTAAGCTTTACTAACCCTCCTCAGGTGCAGCAGACCTATTACACTTTTAGATTTTGAACTTATCAATAAATTTTCTATTAGATTTTAAATGCAGCCTGACTTTACCTCATTTACTCTACCATGCACCCTGTGTGACTCTGAGGATAACAGAGAGGGATTTTGTGAAATTGGATTACTCTAAACAGCGATTACTGAGACTTCCTCATGTAATCTGGTACAGTTACACGCAGTGTCAGCGCAGTTTTGTCAGGGAAAAAATCTCAAAATTAGTAATCCTCCTACAATGAACTAACAGCTATGACAATGACTTAATCTGCATACATTTCTAGTTAAGTTTGACCAGATTACCGAACTACATGATGCTTCATGAACAAAAGCAGCAAGCAGAGGTTATAAATTAATGAAAAAAAACATACATTTTTATGCTTAAAATTGATGCAACATTTACATTTCTATGAGAAACACATCTGCTGATACTTCGCTGCTGATAAAGCTGCAAATTTCCCTGCTACGGGATTGAGAGGGGTCATATTACTTCATCTTAAAGCTCCCATGAGGAGTTTTTTACAATTATGAAACAGAATTAAATTCATTTCAATAATATCCAAAAGCAAACAAGACCATCAGCAACAAGACGGACTACATTTATACTGTAGTGCTCTAACCGGTGTGAAGGGGTGGGTGTCAGCAGAGTCGCCAAAGAAACACAATAAATGATTCTGACAGAAACCAAAAGTTCCTCTTCACAGGAGCTTTAAAGGAAAAAGTTGATGAGGTGGTTCCCTGTTCCATGCTCCTCCCTTACCATTTTTGGTCTTCATCGGCCTGTAATAAATATCTAACAAATGACTGTATTTGATAAACAGTTGCCTGAGGGTACTACATTAACAAAAGGAGTGTTGGGGCTTCCACACAAACAAAAAATTCTGTTCATTTAAATTCTAAGATCAAAGTACTATTATTAGCAGACTAAAGTAGTAAATATGAGAAAAGGATTGTTGAAGGGAAGAAGAGAAGCAGCTCCTGTCTGATTTACAATGAGGAACATGGATCTTGTGAGCATCTTGTGAGTTTTACTGTAGTATAAATATACATTTTAATTAAAAAAAAACCTGGATTCTTAACCTTTAATCACATCAGCGCCTGGGTGTTGTTTGTATCATGTCTCTAAATCAATTGTGCTGGAAACTGGGTCTGGATGGCCAAGCTAACAGGCTGCTTATGCTTGCTTCAGCTGCTGTTTATCCTTGACGCTGAAGTTTGACTTCACAAGATGACCAACGTTCTTTATTCTGATGCAGACAGCTGGCTGCTCCTGCAAAATGCTATTTCAGTCTACATATAAATTAACCTGCACAGCCTGTTATAATGACAACTCCAAAACTGCAAAACATGATCTGTCTCTCAGAATCTCACAAAAAGGTTAACCACAGTTAACTTCTGTCTGATCACTCTTTATTCTTTATTCTTGAAATACTATAGTATTGCTACAACTTTTTAAAAATATAAATTAGACTCTTCTCTTTCAATGACAAACCCTTCTTAAGACTTTATTTTTCACATAATCCTCAAAGTCTTCATCGTCTTTCCCTCTAAATGTGGCCCTAATAATCACTATACAAACATCAGACTAATGTAGGTGTGCCTTTCTATGCAACTCCTTTGTCTTTAAATAATCATGTTTGATACTCAAACGCACACACACACACGTCACAGTCTTTTGGAAAATATTGCCAATATAACACATAGTAGCAGGACTTTTCATTTTTCCCTACGTAATTAGTAAAGAATACAATCTTACAATCTCATATGAAACAGTGGTTTATTTTTGCCACTCCTGTGCATTTCTCACATCACTATTACAGTTTTTCTCAGTTGTGTTGGCACGTTTCTCACATCACTATTAACATTTGCACAATAGTTGGTGCATTTTTCAAAACAATTAGTACAAACTGCAAAACCTAGTTGATAACCTGCAAAAGTGTGTCACTTGCTCAAATTGGATAGTTTATCCTCAAAAGCAAGTGCTCTGTCTCGGTCCAGAATCACACAAAAGCAAAGGACCCAAATGCAGAACAAAGGATTTAATTAAAAAGAACTAAATGAAAAAACAACAAAAACTTTCCTCAAAAAAAATGTCCAACTAAAAAATCCAAAGCCAAAATCCAAGAAAAGGCACTGGGGGAAAAAACCACAAGGAACAACTGGGAACACAAGCGTAGGCACTCATAGACATACACAATGAACCAACAAGGACAAAGGGGAAGACAGGGATGCTATACACACTGGCAAACGAGCAACAGGTGAGGCAGACGAGATACAGGTGAAACTCATGGGTGATTAATGAAGGAGGGAAAACTAAGGAAGTAAAACCAGACTAGAAACACAAGGAATCAACCACTACAAAATTAAACAGAAAACACTGAAAACTGATGTAAAGAATAAAACGCAGAGAACAGGAGGGAAACAGGGTCAAACACAAACTGAAAACTCACAAGACTGGACTACAGGGGAACAGGAACAATAGGGAACAGAAAGGCTAGGGAAAATACACAAAATGCACTCAAATAAAATCAGGAACAGATCAGATCATGACATACTCATGTCAATGAAAGTGTTAGTGTCATCAAAATGAAAATTCTTGCCTCCATTGTTTATGAACCAGATATTCCAATGGCTTTGTCATGTTTTCATCATGACAGTTGACTCTTTGAGTGTTTTCAAATGAAAAAAAGTCAGATCTTGGTGACACCACTTCGAAATGATCAAGACAACACTATACACTGTTTGCACGGCTATTTGAAAACTACAGTAAAGTTACACATTATTGCATTCAGTGAGGTAACTGAGTACAAGACTCTGAATACTTATTCAGTGTGGTGCAGAGTAAAATTACAGTAATACTGGCGCACCCGGTCAGTGGATCAGCTTTGCGCGTGCTATCCAGTCTGCACGTGTTTTTGTATTTGCAAACCTTTAGTAGATCAGGCCTTTAATGTTTCTTCATTGGAACTGCACATCCATCTCAACAAACTATACCGACAAACCATGTCTACCACACTTATCATTGCTCTTAATCCAGCTCATAGGTGAGCAAGTACTAGCTCTCCAAATAAAAGAACCAAATGTGCTTCTTTTAGTGTCACTGGATCCAACAAACTGCTGGCAGATCATTTTTTATGTCCAGTGTGTCCAGTCTCTCTTTGTGGACACTGCAGACAACCACACAGACCATAGAAGCCCAAAGCTAACTCTTTAATCTGTCCTGTCCTGTCCTGCCATTTGAGACACCATCATAGGTCTGCCCACGTAAGCCAGACATAGATAAGTCTCAATAGCACATCAGATACCACCTTTGCTATGCCCTGGTCTGTTGTTTCAGACACCTTGTCAAGCCAAACAAGCTCCTCATGTACAGAGAGGTCCACATAGTGCAGACAGACAATCTCCTGTTCATCACCAGAAACAACCTAAGAACCATCGACAATCACTGAAAATTGAAGACATGAAGAGACCTAATTTCAGCTTCGTTGCCTGGAATTATGGTATTGGCCATGACGTTCAGAATTTCATTCTGAGATTTGGGGATGGTGTACATGGTATTGCCTTCTGTCAACCACATTTGCAACACTGGGTCATCCTCGTCTGCCCTTAGATTCAATAGCTGATATAGATTACTCAAGGCTTGTCCCCTGTTTTGTAACAAGCTGGACAGAACCTAAAATTTTCTCAAGGCAATATCTTGATATCACCTGCTGTTTACCCCATGTGGTGAATTACTGGGTACTGATGGGATTCTTCTGATGTGCATTTGTAACCATGCTTAGTTGCTCTTCACAGCAGCTGGCTGGTTCAATAAACCCCTCGATTCTGCGTTGTGTTTTTAAAGATGTACAGGAGGCTTATCTGTCTGTATCCACAGCAGTTCATTGTCACCGGCATGTCTTTCATAGAGAACTTGAAACAAATCCTGTATATTTGTATACAAATATAAAAAATGTACTGAACAGGAACAGAGTAAGTTCTGGTAAGTCATACAATGGCTCATACAGAAACACACTCAAGCAACACACTAGGAAGGATAGAGGCTACTTAGCTAGCTAACATTTACAGTGTTATTTGATATGTTAGCTCAATTGAATTACACACAGTAATCACATACAAGTCGACAAACACACAGTGAATTCCTGAGACCATTAAGTGTTAATAGCAACATTAATACACATAATCGTACACAGTGCTGTGCACAGCAACTCACTGCAGGCATGTCTCTCAAAGAGTAGTTAAACCATACAGTTGCTCATTGAGTACACATACTCTACCCGAGATAGGGTGCCATTGAGCCAACTATCCAAAATAAACAAATCCTACATCATGTAAGTGGAACAACAAACCCTGTTTTCTCCATTTCAACTGTCCTGGCTGCACACACACACACACACACACACACACACACACACACACACACACACACACACACACACACACACACACACACACACACAAAGAGAGAGAGAGAAAGAGAGAGATATTTGGGAGAGAACAACACCCAACTACAGATACAGATAATATGCATAATGAGCCTAGATTTAATTTTCCTTCAGTAAATGAAAAAGTTTTGGCATGAATGTGTAGGCTACGAGTCCACAACACTATGAATGAAATATCCAGTATAAAAGCATCTGACTTGGAAATTAATGTAAAAAGTGGAGTTCTTTAATAGAGGACAATAAGGAATGGAAATTAACAGTCAAAATATAATTAGAAACTTAGTGAAAGTTATAACTACTTTCTTTTTAATCAATAAATCTAGAATAGAACATTAAACTCAAAGTAATAACAGCCTACATAAATAAATTTACAAAATCTGGACAATATGTCAGCAGAGAAATCTAAAATAGAGTAATATTTGCATCATAAATGACAGGATGAGGATGTCAGCATGTCACCTGTCTGTTCTCTCTGGCTGTCACAGCCATACACTGTATATAGAATGAACGCCGTCTGCATCCTTTCTGGGTGAAGCCACCAAGAGGCAGCACCCTCTGGTGACGGGCTGCTGTATAGGTCATAAATGCCGCCTCCTCCAGCAATCCTTATGGAGTTGTGGACAAACTTGAGAAATTTATCACATAGAATATAAAATTTTCTCCACCCTGGTTGCGATGTTGATATGTAGTTACTGTAAGACTGGTTTGTGCTCAAGTCCTCTTTTTTCTGTACAGCTCAGTTTTTAAAAGTTATTAGGGGGTTCATGTTTTCTATGATTGACATTTGATACAGCCTATGGGCGTACAACGATTGTGTAGCTCACCTGGGGGATACGCTGTTAGTGGAGTGTCATCACAGCGACTCTCTCACCAAATGCATACAATGCTGCTGCACAAGTGGTGGTTCCAGGAAGTGGAGAAAATCATGGAAAGACCAAGAGCATTTTGGCTTCAAATTCATACAATGATGGAAGGCAGAGCCAAGTTGTCCATAGTATATACAGTTCATGGTCAAAGCCTGTTGCATCAGGCAGAAAGGGGAAGCTGTTTGCCGGCCATGGGAGTGAAAAACTCTGGACAATCTATAGATTCATGCAAACCCAGATTAGCAGCTGTGCTATATACAGTACAAATTTAGTATCAGTTTAACAATTAACACCCTGTTAGTTAGCTTAACCAGTGTGCAGCTATGTGTATTTATTAAAACATGCCAGCAGACTTCGGACAAAGGAGTTGAAGTTTCACTCTTCATGTTCTATGTGTGCGTGCACCATGCGTGGCAGCAGCCATACCAGAAGAAACAGATTGGACCAAACCACTGTGAGAAAACTGTTTATTTTAGGAAATATTTTCAGGAAAAAATGATAAAGATACGGAAAAAGATAAAGCTTTAATGAATCCTGCTGATAATAATCATATAAACAATCCATTAAAAAACAAATAAACATTAAACTTACATAAAAATGGCACGTTGTATTATTTCTGAATAATAAAATCAACAAATTTCCTCGAATGGGGCGGGGTTCAAAGGATAATAAATTGTACAGCCTGCTTGAAAAGCTTGGGAAATGGGTTATGGAGACATTATGTGATGATTGAGGAATTGGATGGCTTTAGGGGAAAAATCTGTTCATGAAGCTGTTGATTCTTGTGTTTATTGACCTGTACCGCCTGCCTGAGGACATGAGGTCAGTTACATTGTGAGAACAAGTTATTCCTGAATACATACAGATTTATTTTTTGTTGGACAGTATTATAAGCTATGGTTGGCTACATCTATTTTGTATTACCACGGCTTTAAAATAATGGATAAAAAACAGGAGATGACATCACACAGTATCAGCTGCTCAGTTTTGCCTTTTTTAATTGCACACCTGAAAATGGTTTTTAAATGCTCACAAAATTTGGCACCAGAAGTTTTATGTAAATTCTTCCTGAGGCAGAGTAGTGTCAGGAACAGCAGGACACAACTCATGGTAATGTTGAAAAAGCACATCCAAAGACCTCCTTTGGGCAGTCAGATTTTTCTGTCTCATATGTGAAACACACTGCCAACTGAAATAAAATAAACACAAGATAGAGATTTCCACAAAAGTGTGAAAGGTTGGCTCAAGCTGAATTAGACATGTAAGCATTTTTATCAACTGTCAATTGTTTTGTACCTCTTTGATATAACATTGATGTAAACTGCTTTTCTGTGGTCTTTTTTGTAAACATTTGGTATTGTATACATGTCATTTTATGTAATCTGTGTTTTTCCTTTTCTTTTTAATCACACAAAAACCAAACAGGGATGGAAGTCTGAAAGTATCAAAGCTATGATATTGGCTGTTTTCGGACTGGCCTACTGCATACTCCTGCCAACTGCAGTATGCAGTCATACTGCATATTAAGTACTGTGTTCGATAACAGTATGCAGTATGACTGCAAGTCAGCCGTTATTATGTCGTATGCTTGGCCCGGTGTAGCTGGTTTCTGGGATGGAAAAGTACATCGTACCCTTGTAAATTACAACAACACTAATGAATGTTGTCCATTCATTTACGCACTGAGAAAAATCTATTATGAATATTAATTTAATTTTTAGTCCAATACCAACCATCAAAACGTGCTCTGTCTATGCAATGACTTGTCGATCTGGTGGCATTTGATTCTCATCACTGCACTGTGAATACGGCAAAGTTATATTATGTTTATGTTGTCCACATTTCCCTCTTAAATAAAAGAAGTTGCAATCCTCGCTAAGTGTGTTAACTGATGCATCTGCATGGTGTGGTCTTATTTCCTTTTGTCCAAATAGTTTGACAACTGCAGTGAAAACCGTTGGATACAAACTCCTGTCTCCTGTCAATTTATTTCAAATACCGTCTTGGCTGCTGATTAAGTCAGACTGCTCTAACGTTTACTCACCTTTCTGCATTAAAGCTTTAGACCCCCTCTTATGCCAGCTGCCTGTCCAGCTATGTGATGTAAACATCGCTGATGGTACACGCTGTGTGTGGTAAACATCATGCGTACTGTACAGTATAAAGGATGAGGAGAAGCAGGAAAATTTGAGGCAATGGAAATAGAGGATAAAAACTGTACGGTACAGAAACAAAACATTGCATTCTTGTCAGTGGTTTGCACACATAATGCCTAAAGAAGGAGGAGAAGACAGGTTGTCAGAAAGAGAAATCTTAAAAAAAAACTAATGCTCCGTTGAAAAGTTTCGCCGCCCTCTGCTATTCTGCCGTCTGCCCGGGCACTTTGCATTGTGGGTAACATTGGGCGAAGCTGACTGGTCCAATGCATACTGGGAGGTTTTCCCGAATCAGACCGTCATCTGGGTATTTTTGACATACTGCAAATTTCGCATTTGTTTGCCTACTGCATTCTACATTTTGGGCAAATCAGTATGCTCTGCAGCCATTGATATGTCAAACATCCATTATTACAGCTTGTTCAAAGCAGGCAGACATTGAACTATGTAATTTGAGTTGTACTTATCAAATGATCTGGATAAATGAATAAATCAAATATATAATCAAGATATTATATCTGATTATAAAGATAATAAATCTGTCCCTACAAGATAATAATCGATGGCTCAACATAATTTACTTGTGCAGACATGAAACACAAAATAGGAAATATTGCTGTTAGAGCTTCAGGGCCTCTGTAAAACTCAAAAATATGTCATATGCATATTTTTTTATATTTAAATGAATCTGTTTGACAGTGAATTCACGTGTAGGGGAGTAGGGGATGGTTGTAACATGGGGACAGTCGTAACACCACCATCTTCAAAAATCAGGGATAATACATAAGTCTTATCATCTTTTCCCTCTTAAATTTCACATGCTGATTTTGAGGCTTATTTTGAGGTTATTAAGCAAATTGTTCTCTCAAGACTTTATTTTGTTTTTTACGATTGCTGATGAAATTATATGACATGTAATGGATTAGATTTGAATTTCTCAGGCAAAATTGTATGATTTTTTTTCCTTTTGTATCTTCAAACCACTCTGCTAATACGGCTAACTAAACACTGTAAGACAGGGATGAGGTGAGTTATAACACATACAGGAATCTTGTTAGGATTTAAAATGTCGGTCATAATGTTAAAGATATTTAGACTGACACAGAGGTGAGCCTGGTATTGTCTGAAAAAAGTCTCTCAGGAGGTGACAAAGAATAAAATGTTGAATTATTATTCTTCGTGCAATGTTTTATGATCAAAACTTAAACATATTAAAAATGTAACTGATGAAGATTACGACTTCTACTTCTACTGCTGCACTACCTACTAAATACTCAAACAGTATGTACTGCACACTGTCCAACTTGGTGGTATTATGTAATTTAACAACATAAAAATACACACTCTTCCTGAGCCACATAACTTCAATCATATTTTTCTGATCTGAAATTCAAATCAATATCATTATCAAAAATTTGGGACTGTAACAGCTCTCATGGTTTGGTCTGCATTTTCTTAACATTTAGCTATTTGTCACCTTTACTACAGGATTTTATGTAACAACCTACCCTATAACAATCCAGTGTGCTAGTTATAATAATGGATTTTTTTACTCATAGACTGTATAAAGAATGGACAAAATCTGCCTCATCGTTGGGTGAAGCCACCCGAGAACAGCACCCTCTGTTGACGGGCTGCAGTATAGGTCATAAATCCTGCCTCTGCCAGCAAAGCTTATGGGACTGTGGACAAACTTGAGTATTCAAAAGGTTTTAGGGGACTCATGTTTTCTATGATCGACACCTGATACAGCCTATTGGTGTTCAGGGATTGCGTAGCTCACCCGGGGGATACGCTGTTTGAGCCGAGCGCCATCACAGCGACTCTCTGCGACTCTCTGGCCGGATGCGCACAACGCTACTGCGCACCGCTGGTTTCAGGAAATGAAGAAAAATCCTGGAAATACCGAGAGCTTTTTGGCTTCAACTCTGTATACAGGCAGGAGGCGGAACCAAGTTGTCCATAGTATATACAGTCTATGTTTTTACTTGACCCCAAGTCTTCAGCAAGTTGCGGGTGCTGAAACAAAAGCGTTACAACCATCCCTGGTCTCCCCTATTAGATGTAAAATATTGCAATATATCTGTCTTTTCAAAGTTTTGTAGGCTTAGATGAGAATCCAGAGAGTAAAGCTATCCATTTAGTGAGTTTAAAGTAATAAACTTTATAGATAAAAAAATAATAATTATCATTCAGGAGAGATAAACCTTCCACTTTACTAACTCTTTCACAGTCGTCTGTTTTTCCCTGCTTCAAACCTTATCATCTGTTTTTTTTTTGTTTTTTTTTTTTCAGCTGTTTTTTTCACCGTTCAGGCTTAAACGTTCAAAAGTGGTAAATAGTATTAGTCAGGCCTTTGACTCGCTGTCATGAGAGCTAGGCTGGTCTGATCACACTGGGCTGTCTCATGACTTTCCAGCAGTTTTTACAAATTACGACTGTCGCTCCCGTGCGCTCAGACCACGCAGCGTCTGTTCGAGACTTCGAATCTTTCAGGTATAGAACAACAGTCCCGAGAGCGCACGGGGTCTGTCAAAGTCAGATACAGGACTTCAACCCCGGACAATGTCAACAAGAGACTTGGTGGAAGTGACTGTGAGCTGACCCGTAGTTCCGCTCAGCAGAAAGCGATCCATGGATTTCCAGAAGCTTTGCTCTTTTGAAACTTTTACACAGATCTGGGATCACTACGGTTATGGGGGGAACTTGGATGAGGTGACAGAGCAGGAGTTCAAAAGGATCAAAGGTAATGAGTGTGATTTGTCCTGAGCTGTCGTGACAGGCTGCTCGTCGCTGTGAGATGACTCACTGCTTACATAGCTGCTTTGTAATTGTAAACAGGAACAACATATCTGGACCATGCAGCGACCACTATGTACCCGGAGTCTCTCATCAGAGACTATTTCCAGGACATATCAAGGAATGTATACGGTGAGATATGTCACATAAAAAGCCCCGAGTGTTTTTGTTTATCTGTCTATTAAGTAATTAATGTATTAAACCATTAAAGGGTTGTTATTTGTCCCATTAGGAAACCCTCACAGCCATAACCCCAGTGGTAGATTGACACATGACACCGTGGAGAGGGTCAGATACAGGTAAAGACTATCTTAAGCCTTCATAAAGGGGCCCATGTGATTCCTCTCAGCAGTACTTGGTTGGATCAAATTAGTCAAAAAAGGCACATTTTCTTACAGAGTATTGCAGCATTTCAACGTGACCCCTGAGGAGTACTCTGTGATTTTCACTTCGGGTTGTACCGCAGCACTGAAATTAGTGGCTGAGAGCTTTCCTTGGAGGCCGAAGACTGAGGAGGGAAAGGGGAGTCTTTTCTGCTACCTCACTGACAGCCATACTTCAGTAGTAGGCATTAGAGGATTGACTTCTGGCCGGGGGGTTGTTACGTTGCCCGTCTTTCCACAGGAAGTGGAAAACAAGGCAAAGGCTGCAGCCCAAGGTGAAGATGTTGTATGCCAGGTAGCGCACCTTTTTTGCTACCCGGCACAGAGCAACTTCTCTGGACTGAAGTATCCACTGAGCCATGTGAAAGGCATGCAGGCGAGACACCTTTACCCGGCATGTGAGCACCCAGGCCGCTGGTATGTGCTGCTGGATGCAGCCTCTCACGTCAGCTGTTCCCCTCTAAACCTGCGGGACTGCCCTGCTGATTTCATTCCCATCTCCTTCTACAAGATGTTTGGCTTCCCTACAGGTCTGGGGGCCCTTCTTGTCCACAGAAACGCAGCGGGCATGCTAAGGAAGTCTTATTTTGGGGGAGGCACAGCAGCAGCGTACCTTTCTGGAGAAGATTATTATGTGCCTGCTTTAAACATTTCTGACAGGTAGTGTATGTCTGTCTTACTCTGGGTTCCTGGGTTTTTCATTCAACCTCATACTTGTTGTACTGCTTTTGTATCCCTCTTTATAAATACTGTTTTTTGTTGTTGTTGTTGTTGTTGTTCCCTGATAAAGATTTGAGGATGGGACTGTCTCTTTCTTGGACATTATTGCTGTAAATCATGGTTTTGATGCTCTGAACAGGATCACAGGTACTGTTACAACAAAGCATGCTGCTCCATCAGAAACATGAAAACATTGATTTGATAGATGATTAATGAGCATGTGGAAGTTGTTGATATAGATAATCGTCTGTGAGTGAACATCAATATCATACATGTTTACACTCCTCTCTGCCTTCAGGGGGCATACATAACATCCAGCAGCATACATTTGGTCTGGCACGCTACACTTACATTCTGCTGTCAAGTCTTTGCCATGGCAACGGGAGACCAGTGGCTCAGATGTATACTGAAGGCCAGTTTGAGAGTCCTAGCACACAGGGTGCAATCCTAAACTTCAACCTGATGGATTCTCACGGACAGATAATTGGATACTCACGGGTGCATTTAACAAATAGAAGGATTTCTATTAGGCAGCTGTTTAATTAGAGCGTGTCTATGTGTAGGCAGTGCTTGTGAATATTAAATCAGTTCCTCTTTCCCCTCAGGTGGACAGAATGGCGAGTCTTTACAACATTCATGTGAGAACAGGCTGCTTCTGTAACACCGGGGCCTGTCAGTCCTTCCTCAGGATCTCCAGTCAGCAGATGAGGAGAAACCTGCAGGTAAGAGATCACGGGATAGGAAACACTTTAGAGTCTGTACGCGCCTGCTGAATAACAACATTGTCTTCTTCTACTGGAGGCTGGCCATGTCTGCGGAGACAACATCGACCTAGTGGATGGTCAACCAACCGGATCTGTTCGTGTGTCCTTTGGCTACATGTCAACATTTAAAGACTGTCAAAAGTTTCTGCACTTTGTTGCCGAATGTTTCGTGGAGAAACCGGTCACAGTGGACCAAGAAAGACTAGAGAGGCTTAAAACTGGAACAGCAGCACCTGAATGCCCCTATCACGATCATCCAGTTAAAATTTCCAACGGGAAAACGTATGAAACCGATGGGAGGAAGGAACCCAATGAAGCATCAATGAGGGGGCTTCAGAACAGAGAGTCTAACAGTAATGCAGCACGAACTCTTTCCAACATCTACATCTATCCCATCAAATCATGTGGAGCATATGAGGTTTGTTGATTACCCACATTTTTCTTCCCCTCGTGTTTTCTGCCTCAACCATTTTCTCCCTCCTCTCTGCTGTGATTTCATTTGTGTTGTCCTCTATGCAGGTCCACGACTGGCCGTTAGGACCACTGGGTTTACTGTATGACAGAGGCTGGATGGTGGTGAATGAAAACAGTGTGTGTCTGAGTCAGAAGAGAGAGCAGCGTTTATGTCTCATTCACCCACAAGTTCACCTGCCCTCAAACAAATTGCTCCTGCAAGCATCAGGTCAGACAATTTGCCAGCAGCTCACTGAGAATAAACACTCCGCTTAACCCATAGAAATGCCCATCAGCTGGATTTCTGCTGTAAATCCTCTTGGTTACAAGGTTTTTGTGTTTGTTTCATTGCCCTGCAGGGATGGATACAATTGCAGTTCCCTTGGAAATAAACAGTCAAACTCACACGAGCGATCAAGTGTGTCAGAGTAAAGTTTGTGGTGACAGGTGAGCTGGCAACACAAAACAACGAGACTGAGAGCAGCAGCTAGACACACTATGACACATGTCATTTGTTACCCTTTTTTAGTCGTATCACTGCAGTGTCTCACTGTGTTGTTGTTGACAGCATCCTTTTACAGTGGATAGCATTAAAAAGCTCCCTACTCTGCATTATTAGAATTTCCTCCTTTTTACCATTTTCATCGGAAAACAATGAGCTGAGGGGATATCTCCTTGTGTAAACGGATGATAAGACAAAAGTTTAAGAACAGATTTTCATGCAGTGATTCTTAAATAAGTTATTGCACCAGATACTAAGTAGCATCAACCTCTGTAGATTTCCCTCGGGGCCCCCTGAACATAATCCCCTCCTTCCCTCAGGGTGGAGACTGTCGACTGTGGAGATGAGGCTGCATCATGGCTCTCAGACTTCCTTGGACAGCCATGCCGCCTGATAAGACTGAGTCCTGATTTTACCCGACAAATGAAGAGGAGGAAAGAAGGTATCTGCATAACCATTACTCTGTTACAAAATGCATGAGCCATGCAGGGTTTCCCTTTCTATGAATACTGTGGTTATCACAACTATGACTGCATAGCCCTCTTCTGAGGGCTTGCAATTCAGGAAGTGTTTGTCTTTAACTTGAAGGTTTCTCTATTCATAAGTACAATTCAGACAAGAAAATGTAAAACTCAGGAAAGACATGTGGAATGTAGGCAATGCATGTGGGTGGAAAGATTGTGAGTTCTTAGATTAATTAAGATGCCAAAAAAGAAGATTCACACAGGATTAGGTCCAGGACCTAAAGCCAGCTACTGTGAGTACAAGTCTGTTTAAAGGTACAAGCAAACAGACAGCCGAAAGAGAGAGGGTGAAACTCATTAATTTAAGAAATGTTTTAACCAGTAGAAAATCACTAGGCAATTGATTGACTGTTAAAGGGATATTCCGACATAAATTTAATTTATGGTCAAACACACCATAACACTGAGTTAGACACCCCCTCGAGAAATGAATGTTGCTGACTGCTTGCTTCTCTAGTTATACCAACTTCAGCACCGACTGGACGATAGCAATACACAGTGGTCTACGTCTCCACGCGCAAACCTTAACCAAAAAGCCACTCTATAGCTACAACTAATGCTCAGAACAGCACCTAACTTCAAAAGAACATATTAGGTCCCAGCCATAGCACGAGCCATCAAACATCTTTTTAGCTTTGCCTGATGTCTTTAACAAAGAGACTAAACACAACTCACCCACTCTCCTCCAGCAGCCGCTTGTTTGTGGGCGTGTCGATCACCGAGTGCAGCGGATTATTTCCATGAATGATCATCATAATAATCATTTTGCACTGCAGTAGTTTTTCTGCCTTCTGATTGCATTTTCATTAAGTAATAATCATAAATGTTCTTGCTTGAGCTGGGAAACTCTGCTGCACTCAGTGATTGACTCATGAGGGTTCCCCCCTGAGGTTTGTGTGTGGAGACGTAGACACTGTGTATTGCTGTTGTGTGGTTGTTGCTGAAGTTGGTGTAACTAGAAGGCTAGCGGTTGGCAACAATCACCTCTTGAAGGGGTGCCTAACTTGGTGTTGCTGTGTGTTTGACCATGACTTAAACTTAAACCAGAATATCCCTTTTAAAAAACCCAAAAGCGATTGATAAAAAAATGTACTGTAAAGATTATTTTCTCCAACCGTGCTGAAACTGAACCTAACTGAAACACAGACCGTCAATCAATTTGGAACAGTATTAACCTTAAAACTTGATAGTATCCAGTTTTTAATACTAAATTTGAAATAAACACAAGGTACATGTGCTTTAAGTTTGCTCACCCTAACTTTGATGCCTCACCAATAAGTCCCTTTATCTACTATATGGCCCCAAATCCCCCCAACATCCAAGCCCAAAGATAGATGGTCAGTAAGAGTAAGCACATCACTGCAGTGGTCCAATGGACACTTTCTTTCACCCTGTCACCTCAGAAAGGCTCATCAGTTATCTCTGCATCCTGCAATCACCTATCTCTATGCAAGCCCTCACCTCCCGTCACATCCACATACCAACATCAAGACGTCAGGAGAAGAAAAGAGCAGAGCAGAGAGAAATGTTAGAAAGAGGACGGGGTTAGCAGATCTTGAGAGAGCACTCTGTCTGGGTTAGAGCTCCCCCCCTGCTGGGTCAGGCTGTGTGCATCTACCTCCTGCACCTCCTCTATTTGATTGAAGAAGAGAAGAGAGAAAGACAGAGACAAACCTTTTTCTCTTACTTTTCTTTTGGCCTCCAACTGACAATATTCCTACTAATCATCATATTTGGACCTTAGTCAGGGTTTTTTCTGAAGAATTCATCTGAAAAGGCTGAGAGGCGATGAAAGAGTGTTACATAGCATCCCAGAAAACATAATTCTTCAGGAACAGACCAACTGATCAGGCAGAGGATTAATTAGGCCAGTTATTGGCTTTCATATCTGCATCTGCCCTCACAAGGCCGATATCACCACCATCTTTTCTCAGTGATGACGCATCTTTCCCATCATCTAAAACAGTCATTAACCAGTGTTGTAATATCATGTTGTATAATTATATTTAGTATTAAAAGCAATATTGGCCATGTTTTAGCAATCTACTTAATGACCCAATACGTGTATCTGAATTAATGAAGTATAAATCCATCGAAACACATATTGCTGGCAAAGATAACAACCAACAAAAAGAAAATTTTGCAGTCCTTTGCAGCGTTGTGCTCACCTCACACATTTGAAGCTACCTGACTGACCACAGCCCACATCATTACATTTGTAGGCAGGTTTGCCATGAAATGTATTCAGTTTCCAAAGGCATGTGAAGGCAACGCTGATGATATTCGCAAGGTTAATCTCTCGACCTTCGGGAAGCTTCTTCCTGACTGTGAGCAGCGCTTTTTCCGACAATAACACAAAGCCTTGTGTGCATGTGTTCGTTTAAGTCCTATTATCTGTCAATGCTGCATCAATAGATAGCTCTCCATCTTTGCTCAGCGGAGGTTTAACAGGTTTAGTTTAGGGTTTCCTCATTAGTGTGATGAATGTCTGATTTGTTCACAGGACAAACCAACTTTTTTTTGACAAATTATTCAGTTTCTAGATTACACCCACAGAAAATATGTGGAATGACAAATGTGTGCCTTGTCATGCTCTGTTAATTAACTGTTGGAGAACCTTTGATATTTTGACACTATCTCTCTCTCTCACACATAGAGCTGTCACTGTTGTCACTGAATAATAGATGTTCAGGTTTACACTAAAAGACCGTTTTACAGACCTATTGTAGCTGATAAGGTTTAGATTGATATTCAAATCAAAAATCATACACACAGGTGTAAAAGATTTCCTCCTATTGTCTTCTCCTCATTGTGCTGTGCTTATTGTAATGTGAGTGCTCATTTTGATCTGTGCTGATAAATGTTTAGCTCCGTGGTGCAGCTGAATGTTTTTTCTCAAATGGCAGAATTTACTGGCTTGATAGAAAATCTTTCCATTCTAGCTGCCACCTCCTCGTCCCTCTCTCTGGTGAATGAGGCTCAGTATCTCATGATCAACCGTGCCAGTGTGGAGCTCATTCAGAAGCTAATGAGCAGCAGGTTTGAACACATGGAGTGTTATTAAAAATATGAGATGCCCCAGTGAAAACCATCAGGATGTAACAAGGCTTGTACATTTACATTACAGTGGGTGATTTACAAAGTGGGGCAGAATAACATGCAATTTTCCCACATCCCCTTTCTCAGGCAGGATGACTTGGAGCTCCTTGACACACAGAATGTCATTAGCCGCTTCCGAGCCAATTTAGTCATAGCTGGAGAAGAACCATTTGAGGAGGATAATTGGTCACACTTGATTATTGGCAACACTCAATTTGTGGTGAGCTGACACCGTAAGATAAATGGTGAAATCTTCAGATGGATTCCTTGAAATCAAATGTGCTCCCTCTGTGATCAACTCAAAGGTCACAGGTCAGTGTGGAAGGTGCCAGATGGTTGGAGTGGACCAGGAAACTGGGACCAGAACAAAAGAACCCCTGATGTCCCTCTCAGCCTATCGCAGTGGGAAGGTCGGTCAGAAACAATTAGTGCATCTTCATGAAGATTGTGTCTACGATAGTGTGTCAGCAGCTGTGGATTGATGAAGTGCACATGCATGAAAAGACTAATCACTTTGTCATTTGATGAATTTGCAGGTGACCTTTGGGGTGTACCTGACCCAGCAGCTACCTGAGGGCTCCTCTGCACCACATGTCCTTTCTGCTGGTGCTCTTGTACATCCAAAGCAGGAAAGCTCCTGAAGTGGCCCTTCGTGACATTATCTGTCTTAACCATTGACTGTATTCAGGGTGAATAACATGCTTCATGGTAAAGCCAAAACACCACCTCGATAGGCACTGACATATTATTGCACTGGTGCAGCTGAGGCATGTGCAGGAGAAACCGGGCTGATAGAGCCATAGGACTGGACTGATGTTGCAGCCTTTTGGCTGATGAGGACACATATTTAACCTACTGATAAAGCACTGCAGCTCCCTCAGGTCCAGAGAGAACAGACTCTCCTGCTGACCTAAGGTGCATAGAGAAACTAAAATGACTCATGTGTTTGGGTTTTTAAGTTTTCTCTTACCATTCCTCCTCTATTAATTTGGTACAGAGTGCTACAGGAGCCCCCCCATTTTTACCAGGGCTGTCAGATAATATTTTTTTTAAATAAAAATCAAATAAATAATAAAACCTTGTGATGAGCGTGAATCTACTATAATGACAGAAACCATGAAAAAATTGTATTTTTAGTGCATTTGGAGTTTGTAGTTTGACCTATGTACAATCTGCACTGATAAAGAGAACATGATTTGTGAGCTTCTCTGCAGGAAGGTCTTTTTTTAAAATACATTCCTACATGCATACAGTGATATGATCTCACAGTAACTGTCCTTTATTTTGGTTACCCCGTGTCATGAAAAAAAGGAGAGGCGAAGAACAATTAGTAGACGGCTAGCAAGCTTGCTGGAGCAGCCTTCTGAGGGATGATTCAACACTTTTGACATTAAGAATGTTTTGCAAAGTTAACCCAAGTCATAGGTGATTTTACTGGACTGCTGTCTTTATCCCAGTTTTGAAGCACTGGGCAAGAAACTACTAACACAAGCATGTCCATCTCTGCTGCAGTGAGTGGCAACTTTCCCTCTGTCAGCTAGTTACAGTTGGTAAATAACATTAGCAAGAGGCTGATGGGACTGTATCGTTTGTTAGGAAAGTTTTATCTTTAATGTCCTTTCTCCAACTCTTGAGGTTTCTTTTACTAACCGCCTACATTGAGATGCATTCATGCCATTCAACCTCCAGCTCATGTGTGCGAACATTGGAGCATGCTCAGAACGATTTGGCCACCTTCAGCTCAATTTAGCTTTATTCATGCCAGAGAAAATCGATCCCCAATTGAATTATCCAACTTTGAGAAGTTTGAGTCAGTGTGATTTCAATCAGACTAATGTGTTTACATGATCTTTTAAGTCCAGTCTCAGTTGGAATGAGGCAATAAATATTTTTAACTGCATGTAAAAATACTGACTGGTGTTTAACATTCACTATGAATCTATAAACAACTTGCATCTCTTTAGGTTCCCTAATCAGCCTGAACATTTGTACCTTTTAAATATTCTTTTAACTGGTTTTATTTAGTTAAGTTACACATGATCTACCAGTTTTAGTAAACTTCAAAATAAAAGCATAATTTGACAATACAGGAAACAAGGCACCCTAAATGTATGACAGAAGAGCATGACAACCTAAGATTTAATGAGGTCATGTCTTTTCTGGGGTGAATGTGTTTACTAGCTAAATGTATGAAATAATGTGTTGCTTTGCCCTCATCTTGTCTTTCCTCAATTTGATAGAGTTTTTGTTTATTTTTTTTCAAGTGTTCTATAAAGTAATGCAATAATATCGTGATCATGATTATCATGAGGTCAAAGATTATATTGTGATATCCCTAACAGCAGGCAGTCAGTAGGGGGAGCTCTTAGTGTTGTGGCTTCACAGTCATTGAACATTTATTACATTCATTTTAATAAGATACAGTCTGTGGTACTGAAGTCATCCTGCTCTGCATGTGTCAGACACCACCTGCCAAACACAGAGGATTTTTTTATAGTTTCTGGTTTCTCTTTTTCTGTGCGGCCCTGGCTGCTTTTGCCCTCTTAAGTGTCCTTGTCATTTCAGAGAACTCGGTTTTTAATCTGTTTGAGTCCGTTTTGATTGAAAACGAATGGGATTTGGTCCCCCCCCAAGTGGCTAGACTCCTGGAAAATATGCAATTAAGTAGATGTGACACATTCAACAACATCATAATTTGAATGTGTTACATTTGCTCCAAAACGTGTCTGCCTTTGAGCAACAATCATGTCCATGTTAACCTTCCTGACACTTTATGCTATGTCTGTACCCATGGAGGATTACACAGCTATTTTTTAAACATTCCAACACTGCCACTGCTACCACAAATCTGAACCATATTGCTAACGGCAATGAAAAAACACACCAGACGCTTAGTGCTCAGTATGCTGCCAGCATGTTGCAGACAACAGATTTTATACCAGAAGGTAATAATTTGATGTTTCCCCTGTAAATTTAAGGTTAAATCACAGTGACATGATTGTAAACAACGCACATTTGTGCACAACTGATCTGTAAAGGTGCTGCAGTAGAATTGCCTCAGCAAATTGCTTAGTAATGGAGGTGTGGAGGCTGCTGGGGCTGCTCTGTGCTCAAATGTTTTGCACTTTTATAGCTATATGTTTGCCCAGGCTGCCTTTTTAATGTGCATATGAGCTAAATGATTGTACAGACTGAATAGAATTGGGGATGATGTTTTCTAATCAAAGGATGAGCTCAATGCTAAGATTACTGATAAAGAGAAGCAAACTAACTATAGTCTACAGGGGCATACTCAGTCTGTATAGGGGCATGGGCAAAAAATTATGAAAAGGGCACCTGCTGTAATTCATTGAGCACCAGGGCACAAAATGTCGTTTTAAACAAAGATCTGTCTCTAGCAGCGTTTTGTTGTTTCTATAGTTTTCTGCCTTGGCATTTCTTAATCATTAGGTTGAAACAGCCTAGCCACAGTTGGTCAGTCAACAGGGTGGGCTAATACAGATTTTGGGTGGGTAACCTATATAGCAGATAGCCTTAAGGTTATGAAGATGGAAATATTTTTCAAATCTCTAAAACGCAGAGTCAATTCAAAGGAGTTGAGGCATAAATAACAAAACAGGGATACCATACCAGGAGCTCAAAAATTGAAAAACAACACTTATCCAGTAGGTGTCACTCTTGGGCTCTTCACCTCAACGCACTTCAACTTTCACCGAATGCAGCAAGACGAGGGTGTGCATCTGTTTTGACCACAGAGAGATACCATACTAACTCAGGTGAAGTGTGAATCTGTGAATAAAAGTTTACATTGAAGGTTGGATGTGTCTATTTTTGAATGACCAACAAAGGATAAATTAATCCTGAAAGGCACTGCAATGTCTTGTTTCCACAAGCTGCACCAAAGTAACCATAAGCATCAATTTCCAATGAGCCCAAGACTGAGTTTAGCCACGACAAGGGGTATGAGGGCCCCGACTCTGCTTTTAGATCTCTTAAGGATTGAAATGGTTCATGTTGTCCATTGTCTTTGTCTCTAAAGGGACCTGAAGTTCTGAGTTAATAATACAGATCCAGCCAATGTCATTCAGGTATGGTGTTGTAGTGACTCCAAAGACCAACCCCGTCACTTGAGAGGAAAGTTGTGGGTCCAGTATTTGTCCAATGTGCTATCGCTATATCCATAGACAAGCATGAGGCTTATGATGCACTTCACGGTGTTTGTAATGAAACATCTACTAGTGGTCACACACACAGGACTCCTTTTTGGTATACAGCAGGATCAAACAAAGGCGATGCTATGCTATGCTATATGATGCAATGCGATTCGAAGAGGTCAACAAAAATTACGGCTACCCCGCTCCCCTCTCTCCACCTGACTGCAGGCAAGCCACATCTTTTCATAACTACCCGGCATTCACCTCGTGCCCCACATAACCCATGCTCCCGTACGTTACCACAGCAACCACGAACACCACATGACACATACAGACTTATTACTTCATGGCTCCTACAGGTGTTGGCAGATTAAGTTAGTCGTACAGCTTTTTACTCGTCTTGTTTGTTCGTTTTTTTTTTTGATTGTTTTAAGAAAACGCTGTCGCAAATCACACTGGCAGCAGCTAAGCTCTATTTGACTTTTAAGGAACATCAGGTTACTGGATATATTTGCTCTTGTGCTATTGCCCTTTTGTGCCTTCACCTGTTTAACCTTCTCTCTGCTCAGCTGGTGTTTAAGAGAAATTTGTTCACAAGCTCATATTGTAAACCAGATAGTTTCCTGATGAGACTAACCTTTGATACTGTTAAAACACCCCAAAAGCATCACTGAGATAGAAAAAAATCTGTACATAAATGGAGACAAAATTCATACATATTTTACTGGTCATTAACATTATGTTAAGGATATTAAACAGAAACTCTCTTCCCTTCTCTATGCATGCATGCGTGTGTGTGTGTGTGTGTGTGTGTGTGTGTGTGTGTGTGTGTGTGTGTGTGTGTGTGTGTGTGTGTGTGTGTCTGAGTGCGTGCGTGCGTCTGTGCTTGTGTGTATCTCAGGACAAACGCCCCCAGGGCACTATTGCTATACTGTGGAATTTTTTCTTATTCCACTCACAGACAAATTTCTCCTCAAGTCCTACAGCTTGAAGAGTTGTAGGACAAATTATACATCAAAATGTGTGATTTGATTGGGATTGATGTGATATTAGTTTCTCTATTGTATATGAATATATAAAACATGTGCAATTAATTAGTTTGTTAATTAATATAGAACATTTTAAGTTTTTTTAAATCAAATGCTCTGTATTAAGAGCACATGTTTTGGTGTTGACAATATGTGTATATTTTTATGCCTTTAATGGGAAAGTTGCCTCCACTATGATGGTTGCCACGTAGGCACGCAGCTCAAAGGGGCATGCCATATTTACTGTCCGTATCTGAAATTATCCAGTTGGCAATTCACGGTGAACAAAAACTACCACTTTATTAACACTTAATTTTTTAAAAATCTTAAAAACCTGATATTATGACTCTACTACCCTACCCTACCCTACTACTACTTTCCCGTGATTCATGTGAAGTCTGATCCTCCATTTGTCAAGTTTTTATGATCAAAAAGTTCACCGATAGAAATTTCACCAACTCTGTTGTGTGGCCATTAATAAATGATTCTGATTCTGTATCTGCACATCACCAACAACTGATCTTTCTCCATCCTCTCTGTTCTCATTGTTCTCATTTGTCCATCCTGATTTTCCATAGCAAACATAACAGTGTGACAATGTCAGCCTCCAGAGTGAGGACCTGCTTCTATAATATAAAGGACTTTTTCTACATCATCAGAAATGAAGTGATTATGGTATTCCAGGCAATATAAACTAATTTAAATATACTTCTGCTGAATACATCATTCCTGCAACTTCCGCAGCTCTTCTGGAGGGAGGGAATCAGTTTACCTTTCTTTAGTTCCATGTGTTTGTTTAATGGTGCTTTAAATGCATCAATCAAAATTCTGTGTTTCTCTTCAGTCATATTGGGGTCATCCGGGCCTGGGGTTATTTTTTTGTCTCTTGGTTTTGTAACTGATGTCATGAAATTTATCTGGATTGAGACTAAAGAGTCTGCTTCACATGTGGCTAACAGTGCCAGGTCCCTTTTGATAGTAAAGACAAATAAAGGCGGATTAAGAGAACAACGTGTAATGGCTGTTCTCTGTTAAGGTGGTGTTGGATAAAGACAGTGGGCTTCGTTTCACAGTATGTCTCGCAGTACTACCTTAACAGCGGGTTAAACTGTCACCACCTCTGATTGTACTTTGATCAAACTTCGAAATTACTCCCACTTTGTATGCCAGATGAATACACTGGGCCAGACTTCTCCATAAAAACCTTTCGGCTGTGTTTCACTCGGTCAAAACTGACGCTGCATGATGAAAAAGCGGATCGTTAAAACGGAGGAAAAACCCTCCACGAGCAGCGAGGCACGGGGGGCAGCCCGAGACCGGAAGAAGGGGGGGGCACAGTGAGTAACCCGCTAACCCTCTGCAAAAATATATTTTGGCCGTTTTAATTTAATGGGCTTAACTCAAAGTACTGTAAATATTGCTAAGTGTACACGCGAAACAGGAGGTCTGTCTCTTTGAATGTGGCCTGGGCTCTAATTTCCGCTATCCCTGTACAGTCTAAGTTCGAGGGGGCGGGGCAAACTGAGGGCTGATGTTGGATGGACAGCGGTAGACAAAAGGCGGAAGTTTATCACGGAAACTACGTTCATGCAACTTAACAAAATGGCAAGGGGTCCAGTGAAAAATTAAAACGACCTACCTTTGATCGGTTTAAACTTTTTAGTGCATATATCATAATGAATGAAACCCTGATTAAGAAGAACCAAAAGACACTGTGGGAAAGACAGACTGAAAGCAGTTCAATTCCTGAAAATGTTTAGAAACCTGAAATGTTGTCATTAAAAGCCAAACATTCTAAGACGTGCAAATCTGATAAATAACTAGTTACTCTTGTCACATTTAAACTAAGTTGTGTTAAAATATGCTGCACTTTCCAAAAGAATCTGGTTGTATTCTCCAGGTGTTTGTTAAAACTATCTTATGGAATATCATGATTGTTTTACGCTGATGACTTAAAACAAGTCCTTAATATTAATGAAGCTGAGGGTCATCATTGCGAAGGCTGCCATATGGTATTCTTTTCCACAGTAGCTCAGTGCAGACAAAGTAGCAGGAACCAAACATGTTTTGTTAATTACTGGGCTGCAAGTGGGTTAATGGAGAGGAAAGAGTTATCAGTTGTTGTGCTTCAGTGATGTACTGATACAATTTTTCATCAAAAAAACCTAATGTAGAGGACTATACTGGAATGTGAATCAGGGTTTTATCCAAAAATCAAAAACATGAAGAAGTAGACTGAGATCAGCACAGGTGACAGCAGAGAATTTAGGGTTAGCATGGGTGTTAGTTTTCATAGATGACAATCCTAATGATGAATGAATGTGAGCGGTGCTGAAGTTGTCTGTTCCTCTGGGTGGTAGGGGAAGGTTTATTCCCTCAAAGGTTCATGAGTTTACAGAAACATAAAGCTGAATGATCTCAGTTGGAGCTGCTGCTGTCAGAGATCCTGCTGATGTATCCTCAGAATGATCAGAGTCAACTATGAGGAGACCTTTACAAGTTTTGGTTGTTATTGTATATTTACTTAATTTCCAGTGTGTTACAGATTGTATTGCATCACACCAAAATTTTGGTGTACTTTAAAATCTGTCGAGAGCTTTTTGGACATCTTCAGGAATAGATCTGAAAGTTAATGTGAAGTGTTAACCCTAAACAGAGGAGACAGTTTGATGGCTGCTGAAAATGAACCTCCTATAGGTTTCCCTCCAGCAGTGAGGAGAAATCACTCTGCAGCCAGAAGGACTCCTGGCTGATGAGGGTGTTAATGGAAGGGGTGGGATTTATTGTCCATTAATTGACTCCAGTCTGAATAGTTTCCTACTTTCCCCTCTAGGAAACGGACTCCACTGACAGTTCATCTGTATGGTTAGATTTCAGTTCCTCTCACCCACATTAATGTATCCATATAAATGTTGTTGTCATGCTCTGCTGGTAGGACATATGGAGCAGGTCTGAACATGCAAATGGGCCTACTTCTGCAATCCTATATATCTACTGAACCACTTACACTGAGATTCTTTTCATTTTTGCCTCCACTGAGTTGAGATTGTTCTTTTTGCACCTCTCAGCAAAGTCATCCACACCCACATCTCTCTCCCCCTGATGACGCAGAAGTGTTCAGTACATCTATGAGCACGGTTTTATCCACAAATCTTCTGGGGGAACTCTCTCTACTGGAGACCAAAGCTGTAGTGTTTGGTTAACGTACCTCTCTGACGATGATTTATTAAATTTTACTTAATATGAAAGCCTGTAAGGGAAACATTTATGACCTGATAACTCTTCTGAGCAGTTCAGGTCATAAACAGTGTTTGTAAAGAATAGCTGCAGCAGCATCAGAGTGGGTGGGGTCTGAGTACCAGGGTCCAGGTAAGGAGGGGGGCCCTGATTTGCCTAAAATATACATACAGTTTTTGTTTTTTCTCAAAGCTGTTAATAACATAGTAAAACTTAAATTGTCCAAATAAATCAATAGATACTAAATATTTCTTTCTATAAATAATGGGAAGTCTCCGTCACTCTTACCCCTACCAAATGCAAATGGATTAAATTATTCATTATTTTTAGAGTGTTGAAAGAAGTATAGCATACTAAGCTTTTCTCAGTGGAGTAAGAATGATGAAGAGGGCAGACAAAGGTTGGTAATTTAAGTTTTTGCCAGAGGACCCAGGTCTATGGTCAGAGGAGCTCATCAGTCAACAGAGACACAACTGTTGGCAAAAAAAGGGATAAAAAAGACTGAATGTAACCAGAATGGCACCAGAAGTTATGGAGGGAAAGCTACACTGCTCTTGCTGAGGAACATTTACTCTCTGCCGATTTAGACATGTCAAGACAAAGTCAGTTATTTAAAGCCTTAATTAGGTTGTTAGGGTTAGGGGTTAGGAGGCATGCTTTTAATAACTGTGCTGGGTTGCTCAGGCTGTGGTCCAAGAGGATATATTTTCATGGGGTCCAGAATTCTCACTGACGCCTTTGGATAGCTGAATACCAAACTGAGTTCAAGAGTACAAGGGCTTTGAATAACAACAGACTGGGCTTCATTCATAACTTATGAGTCCAAACCAGCAAGTAGCACTGATTCATGTAAATGGTGATACATTCACACATGAAGCCCATTTAAACACCCCCAACTGATCTACCATCTCACACTGTTTACTTTGTTCTTGGCTCAACATTGATAGACTATTTAATTTTCCACTGATTTCAACTCATCAACACCCTGTGAGATTTAAAGACAAACAGGTTCAGAGCGTGAAGTGTTCATGTTCAACACACGTGCTCTCTGCTCCAGAAACCTTTGTCTCCTCTGCAGCTCCAGCCTCTCCACTTACTGACCTAAGGGATCCACGAATCTCTACACCAAGAAGTGGTTTTCTGCATCTTAACAATTACAGTTTGCTTAGCTGCAACAACTTTGATCACTCAAGTATAATATTATTATCTCAACCCCAGCCAGCTTTTTTGTTCTGGGACTTGGCTGAAAAAAGAGATTAACAATGTTGTTCTTCTTTTATGATTTTAATACTGTCAGAACCCACAGAGCTTACAAAGGCAGGCAGAGGTGTTGCAGAGCATATCAAATCATCCACATCTGGGCTCGAACTGACATCTGTTTTAATTCCTAAACATTTCTTGAGGCACAATACTTCAGCTGTTGTGATTGGTGTCTACAGACCTCCCTCTGTCTCAGGGGCACTGGATAAACTGGCTGAACTAACACAGCTATTCATTGAACATGAAGTGACTTGGTTATCTCAGTCTAGACTGGCTTACCTCAGCATCAAACACAATCAATAAGCTTTTCTGCAATCTTAATTTTCAAATTGATTTCCTCTCGCTCTCTCCTCAGCCTTCCAGATTTCAGCAGGTCAGGTTTGATTTAGTTAATATTAACAGACCTGAGAATACTCTGCCACTGTCCTATGTGTGCACTAGAAATGTGAAGAGGAGTAGATTAACTTACATATTTCAGTGAAAAGACACCCTGTAAAATATAATGAGCAGACTTTTTTACATGACCTTGACATTGTCAAATAGCTGGCGCCTTAAGCACCCCTGAAGTCAGCTTCAAGTTGTTTCACCGGATTTTTTACACAGTTGTAGATAAACATGTACCTTTTATGACAAGGACAAGGTCTAACTCCACTTTCCAACATTGTTTTATTCAAGAGACAAGGCATTCGCTTTAGCTCGACTCTCACCAAATATTACTGTTTTTCTTTGAAACAAATCAGGAATGGGTGCACTGCTGACAGAAAAGCCAAATCTGACTGTTACCTACAGTACCTCACTAGGTCTAATTGCAACTCCAGTAAATTTTGGAAAGTTGCACCATTCTGTCCATCTTTGCTCTAACTGGTTCATGTCAGATAACTAACATGAATAAAATTTGCACTGCTTCCAGTCATTCACTCTCCAGCCTTGATGTTGAAGCCACAGGTTCCTTAGAAACACAAAAACCATTTTACTGCTGAGAGGTGCTAGAGTAAACCAGTCTCTCAGTCTCACTCCCTGTGTCATCTGAAGCAGGAACCTCATGAATGTTGATGCAAACAGATCTACTGGTGATGACAGACTGGAACCATTCGCTCTCAAACTCTCAGCACAGCTCATTAGTGTATACATAATTCATGTCTATAATGTCAGAGTCACTTTGGTCATTGGTGTGTTCTTTACCAAAGTCAAGGGTCTGTCTGCTTGATCAATTAGGAGAGATCCGCAACTTACATATTTTATGAATAAAAAAAGAAAACGAAAACTTCCCCTCATCTCTTAGCTCAGTTATGGCATATGTCATGGCAGACCCGCAGGTCCCAAATATTCAGATTTGGAAAGATCAACTTTTAGTTTGTCTGCATTGAATACCTGAAAAAATTCTAAGCCAACCATAGTAACATCATTTACATTCTGAGATTACATTTCTGTATTTATTGATTTCAATTGCTTTTCCTTTGAATGAATTTATCTGTTCTGTGTATACTTCCATTGTTCATTTTAAATCTTTTCCTGCAAAGTCTTACCTTTTTTTGTTGGTACATGAATTTCTTTGTTGTCTTCTGTTTCTCTGGTGTTGCTGCCCCCTGGCCTGATCTGATAGGCTTTTGTATCTGCTTTTATTCTTATATCTGCTCTACAATTGTCTGCACCTTGACACCATTGTGAATGACTGTTATCCCTCAGTATTTTTCAATAAAATAAAGTACTGCACAGAGGTTGAATGAGTGCAGATACATGGTTTCCCCTCTAAATTCCTGAGTCATCACATGACTCCAAGTTGCGGCTGAAGGTTGTGTTGTCTTATTTATGATGCCTATTTCAGTTTGGCCCTGTAACATGTTAATGCAAAGTGTAAGATAAAGATTTCATTGGTTTATTGATAGAACCTCTGTGACTTGTTAGTATGTAATTATAACTTCATCCTCTGTCTGCTCTCAGGCACCATTGGTTGTCGAAAAGAGGCGTATTGGCCCTTATTGTTGTCTTAACCTTAGGGACTTTCTCACTGGTGAAACTCCCCGAATTAATCCAGCATTTTGTTTATGTTCACAGAAGTAAGTGATTTTTTGTACCTCTTAAAAGTCACACAGATCATCTAAATGTTCATGCACTGAAGGTAAACGGAGCCCCTCCTCTTTTTTTCTGACTTGTAGTCAGGGTGCCATTTTTCATTGACCTTCAACAACCTGCAGACTTCTCTCTTAATCACACCATCAACATGTATCTAACATCAGAGGAAGGGATCTCCTTTGGTGTATGGTAAGCTTCATTGAACTATTTTCCATTTATAGCCTTAATAAAAAAAGAAGTAAGAGTTTTTTCCAATTATTAGTCTCTAAGCAAGTATATCATTTCGACCTGTTCCAGGCAGACAGTCCCTGCAAGTCTGTGGAAAGAGGCACAAGGGAAGGACTTGGCGTGGTACCACAAGAGCCTGGGTGATGGACGTCCAGTTTTCATCTATTTTCATGGGAACACCGGCACCAGGTATGATAAATTATGCATTTGTGTCATAGTTTGCTGTGAAAGAGGCATAGAGCAAAAATGCCTCAAAGCAAGATGTATTTGTCATTTTATTTTGGTGAACACCAATGTTGTTTCTGAATCATTCCACAGGGCAGCACCTCATCGAGTGGGAGTGGCAAAAGTGAGTGATCGCCAATAATAATGTAACCATCTTTTGGAGGTCTCATAGAGGTATGAAAGTCTTCACTGCTGTTCTAGTGACAAATGAGTCTTATGTGTCGACAGATATTGAGCACACTCGATTACCATGTGCTTGTGCCTGAGTACAGAGGTTGGTATAAATTAAGATTTATAAGTCTTCTTCTAAGCATATTTTCCAAACCTATGATTCTACACCTTCTCATTTATTGTAATGCATAATCTTCTCACATTAATCTAATATCATTTGCAGCAGTATGATTACTGTAGACTAATGTATGCATACTTGATGAGCTGTTTGTTGTAAGGCAGTCGATAGACAGCAGTTCAATGAAAGGTCAGTGTGAGTGCGGGGTTTCCTGATCAGTTGCTGCCCTCTGGTGGCAGTGTGGAGCAGCTCTCTGATCTGTAAGTGAACGTCTGTTGATGTGAGAAACTCTGGCAGGGTTTGGAGATTCAACTGGGGAGCCAACTGAAGATGGTCTGACCACTGATGCCCTCTTCTTGTACAACTGGGTGAAAGCGCGCAGTGGGAACAGCTTGGTGGTCATCTGGGGACACTCACTCGGCACAGCGTGAGCAAGGAACCATTTCTTATCTGCAAAATGTACCTAAGAGTAAACTCTTTAGTTCAGCTCACTGTTGAATGAATATTTCTAATGCACATCATTTACCAGGGGTCAACCCGCAATGGTTTTTCAATGCCAATACCAAGTATAAGCTGTCCATGAGGCTGCGAAATGATATTTGGTGCTAAGAAATATTTGTTCCGTCAAATTTTAGATTATGGGTTTGTCAAAGAAAATATTAGGTGACTAATTAGTATAGATTTATATGTGCAACAGCAAAAAGATGAGTTTTTATCTCTGTAGACACATTTTACAGTTTATCAGCCAAGTGCTCAGATTTTACACATCAGTTAGAGGACAGAGACACACCTGCAGCCAAGCTAAGGAAGCACACATTGAATCAATAATATCAAACATTAGTAACATGAAACACCCATGCAGATAATCAGCCAAATGCTGATTACCAGCCCGCAATAATCAGCCAGGCTGATCCCTCTTATTTACTTGTGAATTAATATTTTACCACATTTACACCTTAATGACACCTTTACTTTCTGTGTCTGGTATATATAAAACATCAGTAATCCAAAGTCATGAACATGAGCAGTGATCAAACGGTGTATGTATACGAGGATGTGAAGAGCTCCACGTAAAGAAAGAGCATGTAAAAACCCAAATTGACTGTAGAGCAGCTGTGTAAAAACTCCACATCAGGCCAAGGTCAACACAAAGAGACCCGAACACTTCTCTAATCTCTACTAACCTACTTATTTAATCTAGCATAAACACACAGGCACATGAAACCCTGCACAACTCCGCACATGCACTGCACTCAGTGTTAATAGCAAAAGGCTAACATGCAACACCAGTCCACAGGAGGCTTTTGTATAATACTTGGAAATAAGGAAAGATAAGGAAGCACCAGGAAAATACATGATAGAAGTATAATGCATATGATAAAGCAAAGCTGGTAAAATATTACAATTAGAGGGCTATATACAGTAAAAAGTCTACTGATGTGTGAGCTCCTGTTCATGGTGTGAAAAACATGTTTTTCTTCCAGTCAGGACTTAATACCTTTGTTAAAAACATTAAAGTTTTGTTGGAGTTTCATCTCAAGTTTATCTTTACTGTCATCCCGCTATCTTGTTACAAATTCATTAAACAGAGGAAGGACTTATCAAACGACTGAGCTACTATCCTAGTGGTTGTCAGTGATTGAGCATGAGCAGGGGAAGGGTTTTGGCATTAAGACAAGGCACATAAAACCAAATTTGAGAAGCTGGCAGTAGCACATTGATGACTATCGTACAGATCTCTCCACACGGTGAAATACAAATTCAAGAAAACAAAGGGCTAAAATTCAAATAGTGGCTATAACTATCAGCAGTTTTTGTATGCAAAGTCAAATGCTTGTGTGAGTGGGCAGTAAGTACATAAGGGAAAATGTACAGTAGGTGGGTTGCTATAGCGTATTGAATCCCAAACAAAGCAAACAAGACCTCCGCATGGCCTAGATATGATAATGTAAATATGATTATATAAGCGAATATATAATCCATAGTAAAGCTCTGTTGCCTTGGTTAGGAAAAAGCTACCAAACATTCCCGTCATAGCCTCTAGTCTTTGTGTTTCAACCCCATTGCATTTACTTTGTGGGTTTTATCTCTTTAGATTTTCCCCATCGTAAACTCAGAGACAGAAAATAAACCAGACTTCTCTCAGCGGATTGATTTGATTACATTTAGCCCACTAGAGTCTGTGACTAGAGCTGTGTTCATACCAACAGTGTGCTGGTGAGACCTAACAAATTGTTGTTTTGGAGTGTCGAAAAGTCAGGGTCAAGTGTTTTTGAACTCATCTGTGCAGTTAATACAAAACAAAACAAATCTTACTCCAAAGACACACCAGGCTGATACTGGACAGTGTTAAACCAAACCTTTCCACAGTTAGGACAGGTGAATAAGAAGATGTTGTTTTCAAAAACAAACTAAAGCTGTTGTTCATGTCTCTCTGTGCAGAGTATCAACCAACACTGCAGCTAAACTGATTGAAATGGGTAAGTTTAGGTACTGAGGATTTGAACAGAAAGGAATAAGAGAGTTATGATTGATACAGTGTGCTGCTGTGTTTTTTTCCAGGTGTGGTTTTTGATGGTGTTATCCTTGAGGGTGCTTTCAGTACTGCAGGACAAAAACTTACCATGCATCCCTTTACTTGGGTAAACTTATCTACAGCGACTCAGCTTTTCTGATCTTTATTTTTTTTCTTTTCATGTGATTGCTGCTTCATTGTACTATATTTTTGTTTTTCATCTATTATTTTCCTTCTGTTTACAGTATTACTGGAAATTTCCCGGTATGGGCTATTTATTCCCAGAGCCGTGGGCAGAGAACAAGCTTGTCTTTGCCACTCATGAAAAGTGAGTTGAGATGAACTGCTAAGTAATATTTCAAGACAATATTTCATCAGGCATAATACTGAGAACTGATTAGGCTGATGAATTTGTAGTTACCAGTGTTAAACAATGTGTTTTCTTGACTCTGCAGCCTGAAAAAAATGAGATGCCCAATCCTTTTTCTTCACTCTGAGGATGACCACGTTGTTCCTATTGAGATTGCTGATCAGGTAATAATCTTCTTAAAGCTTCTCTTCATCAAAGACACAATAAACAGAAGTGGTACTTTTTCTCATAGCTGTAGCAGAAGTGACTTATCAAACTCTTTAAGATTTTAAAAGTACAGTGCACAGAAATGGGAATATATAGCCCTATCTAGCAATTCTATTTGCCGGTGTAGGTTCTATAGTGAAATGCTCCCTTGCTCTCCCCTTTTGTGAGTAAAGCTATGGTGGCCTTTAAGGACAAGAAGCACATGATGACTTTTTTTGTTTGATCCCCTGTTTTTCAATTTCTTACCATTAAACATTAATCATTACATTTTTTTGCAAATACCAGCAGCATCCTCCTCTTCTTTGTCTTCCAGTTCATTGTGCACACACTATGAACAAAAGTGTGTTTGATATTAGTGTGTCCAGTCTGAGCTACTGCAGTAGGTGCAAAGTGGCAGGCCCTGTGGTAGGGGACCTGCTCCTATATAGTTAAAGGTGGCATATTGTAAAATTGTAAATTCCAAGTTAACAAACAGAACAATTTTTATACCTAGGTAAAGCAGTTGGCTCAATAGCCATTCAATCTCGATTATGTTATTTTTATGACAGGAGGGACCAGTAATCACAATCATAATTAAAATCAGATTAATTGGATTATAACCTTTGGTTATCTCTAATTTTGCTGTTCTGTTAAATGCCACTAAATACTTTACACTGTATCTTTAATTTTTGTATGTAAATAGTGTAAGGTTGGTTGTGTGTAGACTGTTCTGTCCTCTGTGTCCCAGTTGTATGAGGTGGCAGTCAAAGCCCAGAACACAGAGCGAGTCAAGCTGGTGAAGTTTGATGGTTCTAAGGGGTACCTACACAATGGCTTATACAGAGACCCCAAGCTGCCCGACGTCATAAAGTGAGAAAACATTTCAGTTTAGGTGATAACGTCTGCCTACCTTTGTGTGTTTTTTTTAATCTCTACAACACAAACAGTATCTCGTTGTGTCTCCTCTGCAGAAATTTTGTGACGTCCTTGTAAAGTTGGATGAAGGGTATGGAGATTATCTGAGTAATACTCAGGGGACTGATTTTATCTGATTGCACATTACATCCATGTATGATGTCTTTATGCTGCACACTGCATCTTCTGAATAAAGATATGTGATTATCATTGTGATTTTTTTTATTTATTAATGTTAATGATGAACACGACTGATTTAATTTATTCTGAATTCTTAAGAATGAAATTAGAAATAACAGTTTTTATTAGATTTCAGTTTGGGGTTTTCTACTGAAATAATTTTTGGTGATAATGATGATCTATATCTTGTTTAATTGCCCAATGATTATAATGTCAAGGTTTCAGCAACATTTGGGAATAATACCAGATCTGCTTGAAAATTAGCAGATCTCGATGTAGATAGTTTTGTGCAAATCACAGTGGTGAGTCGTCAACAGCTCTGGTGGGGTTTGAAGACATTTTAAATTACCTGGGCTGATCACAAAATCCTTAAATATAAACAGCAAGAGTATTGAGAGCTGTGTTTTTGGTTTATTATGCAAGAATCTGACTCTTATCCAACTGAAAATGCTAGCATTCAGTTCCTCTTCATTAGTAACATGTAAAGATGGATGTGGGTTTTTAAATTCGAACCATGCAAGCCAATCTTTTTTTATTCAGCCTCCCCTCTGTCTCATGGTAAACCTCCCAGTCTGTATCATCCTAATGCTGGCTTGACGGAGCAGCATCTAAACAAGGGAAGGTGGCCTATATACAACAGCCGCCCCCAAATTTGCAGAGTGAAACTTTACATCTTGAAAAAAAACAATAAGGTTACTTTGCTTGGGCAGTAACTTCTCTTTCAAGCTGGGCTTCAAAATCAGAAATGTTTCATTTATCCGAGGGATGGGAGGCAGGGACTTTAGATATGAGCTTTGCCACTATTAGATTGCTATTAGATTTATGCTCTGTCCTTTACCAACACTTCAGGCACATGGACTTGTCCATAGACACCAGAGGGAACTACTTCAATAATTTTAATGGCAGGCCAGAGGGCTGAAGGCAACAGATTGGTGATGACCATGAGGACTTACCCCACCAACAGGTCTGCTGATTCAGTATGCCATTTCAGAGCAGCCTGCAGACATGAAACATAGTGCTTGAGAAAGTCAGTATGTTTATATATTGTGGAAAAAAATAATTATTGCCTTAGTCTGACAGAACCTTGACTTTTGAAAAAAATTTAGACACATTAGTCCAACTGAAATTACACTAAATCAAAGTTCTGATCTTCGGACTAACATACCTGGCTGGCATTGCTAAAAAGCTAAATCTGTACAGACAAAGAAGGGACGTAAGAAAGACAAACTTTACTATCGTAGAAACAAACAGTACAGAGCTAAAAGTGAGACAATGTATTCATCGTTTGACGTACACCCCTTTATTATTATAATAATAATTATTATTATTACCCATTATTTAGGCCTCAAAAATCACTGAGGTTTTGACAATGAGGGAAGCATATTGCTAATGCATTTTGTTGATTGTTTTGGTGTATAAAAGGTCAACTGGGACCCCAACAGTAAGCTGAAAGGGGGCATGTCACTGACCACCATGCTTCTGTCAATAATTTGATTTTAGCTCAGCGCATGTTAACTGGGACGAGGACAGCAGTCAAGTTAAATCACCTTATCGAGTTGTAATTATAGCTGTGCATGTTAACATACTGAGTGTTTCCAGCAGCCTTCTGCCAGTACCATGGTGGTTCGGCCCAGTATGACATCTCCTCTGCATGAGTGGTCAAGCATTAGCATAGTACCCCACATGTTTCTCATGTGCATTCTTGCACTCAACCACAATGAGTTATGGTGCAAAATAAGCCACGCTTGCAGAAAAGAATCACTATATAAAAAAAGAAGGTTAGATGTCTTGCAGGTGGTACATCTACCATTTTGCAACCCCTCTGCCTTCTGTCTTTTAATTACTCACTTTCATCTGAAATATATCACAATCTATCTAAAGGGATGCTGAGGGTCAACAGGGTGAACCCCTGAGGTCCGTGTTGAAACATAAATGGACACTAACTCTGAAGAGTCCTGTTGCCTCTTCAAGCTCTGGATCAAGGATCACAGATATCTTGATTATTTTCTTGGGGCAATTTGTGCCACAGCCAGCTCTTCCAAACAACCATCACAGAGAGGAATGACAACACACAGATAAAACAATAGCAATTAATATTCTCAATAAAGTCAAGTCGAGCTATTTACAAGGCTGATGGCAGCTGGAACAAAAGAGTTTAACAGTGATATGGGACTTTGTGACTGGTTTATTGGGCTTGCTGAGTTACTACCACTTGGGACATAGGTGTCTATTGTTGCTCATCAAAGGACTCCTGTTCAACAGCAGCACAGGCATCTGTGGCTTCAAGGGTCAGCCACCCCATGAAGCAACTTCCTGATAACCAGTTTGTAAGTTTGATGGGTGAAGAGTAAAAGCAAGCTTTCAAGGACAACAGTTGTTTCAGGTCATTGCAGGAAAAACATGGCAGCCCCGGTCAGTCATATTGTGGTTGCTTTAAGGCAGCCAAGCCATGAGTCCATCCGCTACCATCAATTGTGTGTGTGTGTGTGTGTGTGTGTGTGTGTGTGTGTGTGTGTGTGTGTGTGTGTGTGTGTGTGTGTGTAATGTTTTCATCTGGGTTGTTTCCTGTATCATGTAGTAAATCCTTACAGCTCTTGGATTCCCCTCACTTGAGTCACAAAAACTTCTGTCACAAATATGACCACATCAGAAAAGTTAGACAGTCAGGTCATTGTATGCAGCTATGAATGGACAGGCTCAGCTGTTTAAGATGCTCACACCAAGCGTGAGTAAAATCACCAACTCGCTTGATTCGTGCAAATCTAGACGTGAATGAATTGTAATTACTTGCTTCATTTCCACGTCAACAGTTTTTTCAACAGTAATCCCTGCCAATTCAACCGGCAGGATCAAGTGATAGACAAAGGTTTTTAACAATTTACCAGGTAATCTGACCTCCTCACTCACTTGCCTCCAGGCGAGCTCCTTTTTAATCCGATTTCAGTAATTGAAATAATATGTATCATAGAACCCTGGGCACCCACACACCAATTCATTCACGCAAATTATTCTTTACTATACTCTGCCAGTAATACTCTTCACTATCTACATCAAACACATCAGTTCTTCTTTGAATGGTTGTAATGCTCACTTTTATGTAGATGACACTTTCTTTTAAGAAGCTCTTATGAACCACAGGCTGCAAAATGTATGGTGTTTTCTAGAGTGAAGAATATTGACTTTTAAAGTCTGTACTTTAAACAGGACTAAATCTGGGGGTTTAAATATCTTGGCACATGGCTTGATGAAGATTTTTTTATTCAAATGTCACGTCAACATTTTAGTTTTTGAGTGTTAACAGAAACCTTGGCTACCTGTACATAAATAAGGCCAGTTTTCCATTATCCCATAAGAAGAGACTTGTTGGATAAGTGTTTTTATCTGTTTTAGATTATGCACTCATGGTAATATGTAGGCCTCATTGCATATAAAATTTCCATCCATTTGAATTATTTACATTTAACATAAACAGGGCTATAAAGTTTATGTGCTGTGTAATTGACAGTCAAATGTAAATGAAACAATAAGAATTAGATTTATGTAATAATACACATGAACCTGATGTGTTTACAATCAATAATAACAGATTTATGTCTTCATCATTGATGAATCCAACTTATATATGCAGAAATTTTAACTGATGATATTGAATTATTTTCACAATTAACAGATTCATACAGATTTTAAGAAATTTGAATAAATAAATTCTAAAAATGTAATAATTTAAATAACATCCAATAGATATAAATACTTAAAAATATTCTGTGCCATGATTTATTTTTCTGTGTTGCAGTGAACTGCTACCTCAGATCACAGTTTTGTTGGAATAAAGTTATTGAACCTATAAGACATGTTTGTCTGGAATTGATTCATATGTGTTCTTTTATTTTTCATGTTTTGATTGCACATGTAATCTCAACAATGGTCTGAGGCTTTGCAAGACACATGGATAGATAGATAGATAGATAGATAGATAGATAGATAGATAGATAGATAGATAGATAGATAGATAGATAGATAGATAGATAGATAGATAGATAGATAGATAGATAGATAGATAGATAGATAGATAGATATTGATTTAAGGAGTTGGATCTTACATGTTAACAATGAAAAGCAAACTTTTTGTCTTGTTTTGGGGTATCAAATGAATTCAGTGAAATCTAATTAATGATCTTGACTTTTAGCTTTATTACTCAAACAAATGCTGCACTGCAAAAGCGAGGTGGCCAGAAACCCTGACTTAAAGGTAGGAGACAGGAGTTCAAGGGGATTATCCAGTGAAATATGTTGTAGGTGTGCCATGTCCAGTCCATGTCCAGTCTGTGTCAATATAAGGTGCTCTTATTATAAGAAAAAAAAGGAAGGATTACTAACTGACTTCCAATAATACCTGGTTAGGTAATTGGCATTTGCATTTTTCAAGAGTTACAGTTTGGTCGCTTTCTCATTTCCTGTGTGTGTGTGTGTGTGTGTGTGTGTGTGTGTGTGTGTGTGTGTGTGTGTGTGTGTGTGTGTGTGTGTGTGTGTCGTTCAGAGAGAGAGAGAGAAAGACAAGGGCTTAAACTTGCAAAAGGCCAGTACAAAAAAAGTAATGATAATGATGCATGAAATAATAAATATAGACCTGATGGCCTATTACTGGCATTTTTTGGTAATCAGACCAGCATTGGAATTCACATGGCCAATTTCACCATTACCTTTCCCAATAAAAACACTTTTATAATGACAGCAAATCAAATCTTAAACAGTAAGGTCCTGACGTTTGATATATTTCTCCTACGATGAAAGCAATAATGTGGTTATTGCTTTTGACAAACATACCAGCCATATCCTGGAATTTGTGGCACTACGTATTGTTTTTCTCTTTTCAGCAATCCATTAAAAATCCATTAAAACATGTCACTTCACAAAGAAAACTGACAATATTTGATTTTAATTAAAATGGAACAATGTATCTTTCCATGATTTCCTTTTTTCCCTTTTGTTCATTTCAACAGCAACTTAAATTGACCATTCAAAAAAATGATATCGGTTGACTACCTACAGTGTACTTTATATTCACACACTCCCCATCAACGCAGGAATAATAAAAAGCTGAGATCGTATTGAGTGTTATTAACACCTAACATGGAGCTGTTAGAAGTGTAATATGACTCGAACACCTTGGACGTCATTGTGAGACTTTATCACACTCTTAATAGACTCTTTTGTTGAGTGCAGGGATCAGTTTTCGTGTTCCTGCTCCGTCAACGTTTAGGCGAACCTTCAGCGTTTGCAGTCGGGTGACGTGGCTGAAGGTTGCGGACGATGCGCTGACGGAGTTTGGTTATTCACCGTTTGAGTCATCGCTTAAAACAGCGATTGGAGACTTTGTACCATGTGACTTAGTTCAGCCAATCGAATATTAATGCGATGTGTGTTCCTGAAACGCTTACGCTATATGCGTACGATAGCATCCCCTAAAATTGCCTCTGTCATAGAACCAGGAAGAAGGTGGGATAGCCCTACAAAGCTGACATCCCCTGTCTTTCTACATACTTTCTCTGAAAATTATGGGATCTTCCCGGTGGAGGGTGGCAGTGGCGGCCTTTCTCGCTATAGCGGTGTCTTTATTAGGCGTGGACGCGGATGAACATGAGCATACGGTAAGAAAGCGTTTAGTGAGGCCGATTGAAACAGGCAGCGGAGAAAATAATGGACGTTTGTGCTCTGTTAACATGATAGCTTTAGCTTTAGCTGTCCAGCAGCAAACGGCAGAACATAACACATCCACGACATGTTGCATGGCATGATCTCCGGCGTTTTGGACAAATTCTCTGTGTGCTGTTTAATTGATAGACATTAAATGATGTAGCGAACTGGTGACCACTTATCGGCCTAAGTGCTTATGGCTAACGTTTTTACTGCTAGCCCATTAGCACGTCTTCCACACTACTCTTAGATTCCCCCAGATACCGGTGTGGACTGGAGTTAAGCTGCAAAGTTATTGGCTTAGTTATTCAACGAAATCAAAACCACCTGAATACTGAAAGCGTAAAGCTCTGGAGCCTCAAACCAGCTCGAGAAATCAGTATCTCTTCGTAAGGAGTGCAACAGATCCACGTTAGTCTGAGCCGAAACACCGGGTATACGTCAAGGCCTATCGGGTTTTTTCTTTGCTTTTGTCCGACCCAGATGCCTAAAATGCCACTTACTCAACTTCATAAAACGTGCAGTGACGACTTTCCCTTTTATATATCCCTGCCCTGTATTTGTGATGTTGTTTCTATAACCAACACTAATGTTGAAGATAACTTCCCTGTCTGAGAGCAAACTTAAGTCGCAAACACCAATTATATCCAATATTATGAAGTGTTAGACTGACACAACGAGGGGACTGTTAACGAAACATTCCCCACTATGTGCATGCATAAGAATAATATAGCACTAGTGTGAGCTTTCACTTTTAGTGGAAATGTCATGATAACAAAGCCTTGAAACAGCCACCTTTTATTACACATACAATGTTGGTGTAGGTATAGTTTGTTTCATTAACGTCTGTCTGAAAGAGCTTTAGTTATCTTAAATATATTTATTTCCTTCTTGGCATTTTCTGGTAGAGTAACAAATACCTGGACTATGAAACCAGTAGGACACGCTTAACTGGTGTAGCAATTGTTGTCTCCACAGTGAGAGTCCTTGTTTTTTCCTTTGCAGTACACAGATAAAGAGGAGGTAGTTTTATGGATGAACACAGTGGGGCCTTACCACAACCGACAGGAGACATACAAGTACTTCTCCTTGCCCTTCTGTGCGGGCTCCAAGAAGACCATCAGTCATTACCATGAAACTCTTGGAGAAGCTTTGCAGGGAGTGGAGCTTGAATTCAGCGGCCTAGACATCAAGTTCAAAGGTACACAACATTTTCACCAATTTTCACCTGTTGATGCATCTGAAAGTGTAAGAGGTTTGGAACAAGTCTGCGTTTGATTTCCTCTGACTTTTATTATCTCTGTAGATGAAGTCATGCAAACAACATACTGTGAAATTGACCTGGACAAAGCCAAACGGGATGCCTTCGTCTACGCTATAAAGAACCACTACTGGTACCAAATGTACATAGACGACCTGCCTATCTGGGGTAAGTGATACTTCATGACGTATACTTAGATGACAGTTTCTGATGACATGCCAGCTTTACTGGTTGAAATTTTCTTGTAGTATTTTCTATCATCTCCTCAGCATCAGTTATGAGTGACGTATGATTTGGTGCTTCACACAGCAGCCTCCTCCATCATATATGTAACGTGAATGTGGCAAGCAATGTAAAGGTGCATTATCAATCCATCTACGATCCGTTTATTGGCTTGGTGGCCTCTGAAAATGGTTCTGCCTTTCTCAAAGTGACTTCTTGGAGGCAGAACTGTCACTGTAATAAGCCGTCCTGCTTGCGTGGAATCAGTTTGTACAATGAGGCAACTCCTGCTGCTGCTCAAACATAAGAGTTTTATTTGATGTTGTCAATGATGGGTGGGACCTTGGCATTTACTTAGACAACTGTACACAGTGAATGTCACATATTTAAGCCTTAATCACAATAAATAAACATAGACTTTGACCCCATGTCCGGTTTGCCAGTGTACCTGAACATATGTGCAAATCATGTCTTAAACAATGACATGATTTGATGGAGATCTTCACAGTGACAGCCATTCTGTAGTTTAGCTATCCTATTAAGGACCGTCTGATTTGGAAATCTTTAAGTTTGTAACCTTCAGCTCACTTTTGCTTTCCAAGAGCAGAGCAGTGAAAAGTTTTCTGCACATGTTGGCTTTACCTAACACACAGATGGTTAGTTGCCAGCACCAACCTCGAGTGCTTAACGCGAACTACCTGTATTTCTAAAATGGTCTGATGTCTATTGTACTGATTCAGCAGCAGATTCAGACACAACTGAAGGAGGAATCTTGGTTGTCAGTTAAATTTGCCCAGTATGAGGCAAATGGTTGTGATTGGCTAGGTGCATGTGTAATTCTGTCTAAGCAGATCCACCCACTGGAGCTTTTGAAATCAAGGCTAAAAGTTGATAAACTAGAAGAAGTATTCAGAATAATGTGCAGTTTTCTACATCATCGTAGCTGTAACCAACAAACAAACTAAAGCAGTCAAAGTTTATTTAGCACTTTTTTCAAAACTTTGGCTGAGATCATTTTAAGCTATTCAAAAGTGGCTTTTATTCTGCCACCTAATACAGTATATTGTCAGAAGTGAACTACATAAAATATCTTCATAGTCATTACATTAGCCAACTCTGGAATCTGGAGGTTGATGTGCTGTTGGTTTGTGTAAGAAAAATGGTCAATCAGCAGGGAGGGACTGCATTCATATAAGCTGACTTGAAGCTGGATTCCTCAGTTCCTCAGTGAGCATGCTGGGCTTTGACTGAGACGCTTACATGAATAAATATGAAGAAAAAGAAGGAAGTGTTGTCTGCCTTTGGATATCACCACAAGTTTTTTGATATAGCATGCAGTTTATTCACACCAAAATGTTAAGAGTTGACAACATTTGACATATGAAAGGTTCAGCCCTTTTAAGTTGTCCATGTATTCACTGTTTGACATAAAAGAAGTCTAGTTGTGTAGATGGTGTACATTGTTTTGGTTTAAGACACAAAAGATTAACTGTAACTGCTAAATATTCAATGGCAGCAAAGGGACACACCTATGGTAGTGAAGGCCGAAAAACTTGTGTCGACAAATCAATTCTACCCAGGCGTGGGGACAGGGACAGTAGTCCAGTGAAACTACTTTACTGAGCTACAACTGTAGCCTGAGTGCACCGTGCATGTAAAGGTACCAAGTCAGAAACTGTGACCAGCATAGACTCACTTGAACAGCGACTCCAGAAGGACACATAACAGCTGATTACAGTTTTGCCAAGTTAAGCAGAAAACCGTTATTTAGGCACTACTCTAAGTACAGGTCCCTCAGCTTAATGCATGTCTTTCTTTTTGACAGGTATTGTTGGTGAGGCAGATGAGAATGGAGAGGATCATTACCTGTGGACCTACAAGAAACTGGAGATCGGCTTCAACGGCAACAGAATTGTTGATGTCAATTTGACCAGTGAAGGAAAAGTCCGTCTTGTACCGAACACAAAAATTGCAATGTCTTATTCTGTAAGTACTGCAGTAGCTACTCAGTGGTCCTTGATATACACCAATGTTATCCTAAAGGCTGTTGTTTGGCTCTTGTCATCAGATCAGGATCAGGTCAAGTATACAGCTTTGTCATTGATTTCTAATGTCAAGAAAACCCTTTCTGTTCACAGGTGAAGTGGAAGAAATCTGACGTGAAGTTTGAAGACAGATTCGACAAGTACCTCGATCCATCCTTCTTTCAACACAGGGTTAGTGGAGTATTGCACATTCAGTGATCTGTGCCTCATTTGCTTTCAGGATGTTTAAGTAATCTCATATTTAGGTACATCGTAATTAAAAAACCTGGTAACTTAAACTTCTTTTGCATCAGCTGTTTAGGCAAGATTGTTGCACCCTGTCTTCTAAGTTAAAGCTACAAGGTAGAGGGGTGGGGAGAAGTCACAGAGGTGGTATAGGAGATAGTAAGAGAGGGGTGTATGCGTACACAGCTGAGTTTGAGAGATGGAATGGCCCTGTGTGTTTGTGATGTTATTTGACTTGATGTGCCTCTTTTGCTTCTTCAGTGCCTCACTGCTGTATAAAAATCACACCCCAGAACAGCCTTTTTACCCTGTTGGATGGTTCAGTATGAAAATACACTGAGGATATAAAAGCAGAGCTTTGTTACATTTATTTGAAGACACTGTTGTTTAAAACAGGCTTCAAATGCCACCTTTAAGTGTGGCAGGAATCCAGTCGGGTTTATCTTTTAATAGTTTTTATCAGATTTAAGATTTAAAGTGGGACAATAGGTAGAGGATGAAAATCCTTGTTGATTGTTAGTGAGGCAAAGGTTGTGGCCCAAGCTGCCACGACTGTGGTGATAGCTTACTAAAACATATGTGTGTTTTAATGCAAACTGATTGATATGGTGATCCATTTTCAACTTTTACCTTTGTGGTGTAGGTAATTTTGCTTTTGATAACAATGGAGGTGGGATCTGATATAACTTGTAGAGTTTCAGCAACTTTATCAATCATGAAAAACTTAACTGTTTGTGAACTTTACCTGCCACATCCCCCTTATCTTTGAGCAGAGAAAGTCTGTATGAGAGCAGACACTTTACACAGAAGAGTGAGATTTTATCTTTAGAGGAGAATAATCAAGAGTATTATAATTGTCAGTACTTTTGCCTATGATTGACATTTTTGGTTCATCATAAATTAATGGAATGATCTCACATGCAACCTTGTTTAGCTAGCATGCTGAACCTAAATCTGCATGTAATCATTGCAGTCCAGTTACAGTAGCAAATAAATAGATGAATGATGACAGACAATATGTGCGTGATAATTATTTTCAAAGTGTATTAGCTTGTGTCATTAGTCTGGGATGATCAAATGCAGCTGTTGACTGATTATTGAACTGAGTGACATCACCACAACATCTGATCCGACCGCTTGGTAGACGACTGTATCCTCTGTTTGAGCTGTGAGGTTGCACTGAGTGTGAATCAAACTGATTATTGATCCAAACATTCTCAGATTCATTGGTTCTCCATCTTCAACTCCTTCATGATGGTCATTTTCTTGGTCGGCCTGGTGTCCATGATTCTAATGAGAACACTAAGAAAGGATTATGCCAGATACAGCAAAGAGGAGGAAATGGATGACATGGTGAGTTTCAGTTTGGGACAAATCTTCAGCTTGAGACTTTGTCATTGTCCAAATATAAACAGCATGCAGAACTCTTTCATTTTAACAGATATTTCATAATGATGACTCTTCAGTGTTAATAATTCCCTCTAATTTTTCATTGTGTCACTTTGAACCATCAGGACAGAGACCTGGGAGATGAATACGGTTGGAAACAGGTACACGGGGATGTGTTTAGGCCGTCGAGCCACCCACTGATCTTCTCCTCGCTCATTGGCTCTGGCTGCCAGATTTTCTCTGTCTCCCTCATCGTCATCATCGTTGCTATGGTCGAGGATCTGTACACAGAGTGAGTTACTGCTCTTCTTGTAACTCCTGGTTTTAAAGTGAGGTTTGGTTTTCCACCAGTCCTAATTTAATGTCACTTAATCAGCTTGATTTGTTGAGTGGAATATTTGATGAAACCTTTCTAAGTTTATGTTTTTTCTCCTTTTAAATGTATGAAATGCTTAGAGTGTGAGATTTGGGCTGAATCATGCCAAGACGGAGTTGTAAAGTTTTTGTCAGGAAAATAGCTGAAAGGAAAATCTCAGTCGTGACATTTGTGACTTATTTCTCACATTCAAATGGAATTCAAATGTTTCACCCTTTTTGAACAGACAGAGGAAACCAATTGGACCTCCTAACTTAAAAATGTAGCCTCGTCAATATATAGACAAAAACATGCACAACTGACCACATTAGGAGAAAAGTTCTATAATAAGAGGAGAGGACCTCAGGAAATGATCGAGAGAAAGGACAGAAGGTAAAGGTGATTATGGTGATTGAAATGTATCTTACAGTTTGAAGCCTAAAACATACAGGATCCGCGTTGAGAGCATTCTGTCAGCGAGTGTAGCAGCAGCGTAGTGCAGCCCCGGTCAGCTGGACTCAGTAAAGAGGAAACAACATGCTTACAACAGGTTGTTTTGCCTTTTGGATTTCATTCAGTGACCGTTGAGCCTCTACTCTATGTGAAAAAGCAACATGATTTTAAAGTTTTGGTTTTTGCAGGTTTACTCATATTTAATAGAGTAAACTGTGGTCTTTTATGCTGGGCTCTTACCTTCAGTTCACAGTCCTGTTGGGGTCCATATGGATCAGGGACTGACCATGAGATTTTTCTGTGTTAACAACAAATCCATAACCAGGAAGTATTTCTCATCTACATGAGCTAATACACAGTCAGGAGTCTGCATATGGTGTTTTATTTTGAAATTTACTGGATGATGTGTGGTTTCTGTGCTTGACATCCTGTCTAGAATGATGTTCTCTGTGTGGATTGACAAGTGTATGAAGCGTAGAGCAGAGAAAATAGACTCGGTGCGTATCTTTAGCAGTGCCACACTCGATACGTTTCTGAGACGGAGCTGAGACACATCCTGTGTGCGATGCTGCATTGATTAGAATGGCAACCTATTTGGTGCATGACACGTGATGCTGATGGAAAGCGCTCAACACGGATGAGGTGGGTTTGAGACTGTACTCTCGCAAAGAATAGAAATTTACGTGCACCACTGAAAACCTAAAGCTCAAATACCAACAACATGACTCCAAACTTTGAAAATCTAAGGATGATACCAGTGGGCTGACTCAAGTATCATTCAAATCTCACAAAGTCACAAATTCTTAGCTGTAAGCTATAAAAGGTGTTTCATCTTGTGTCAGATGAAGAAAACACTACATGAACTTTTCAGGCAGGAGAAGAATGAAGCCCAAAGACCGAGACAGTAAAGGATCTAATATCATGTCCTTTTTTCACCTCAGGCGAGGATCCATGCTGAGCACAGCCATCTTTGTGTATGCAGCCACTTCTCCTGTCAATGGCTACTTTGGAGGAAGTTTGTATGCAAAACAAGGAGGTAATAAAAGCCTTCATGCCTGACACTCTCTTTGACTGAATACTTTAAGCTTGGGGTTCCCTCTGAAAAGCCTGTGTAACATTTTCACATTGTGCTGTTTGACCTCTCAGGCAGAAGATGGATTAAGCAAATGTTTATCGGGGCGTTCATGATTCCAGCTATGGTGTGTGGAACTGCCTTTTTCATCAACTTCATCGCCATCTACTACCACGCCTCCAGAGCCATTCCGTTTGGCACCATGGTGGGTTTGACACAATAACAGACCACAGAGTTATGAAGAACTTGCTCTGAGTCGACAGCTTGGGTTTATTTGTGTAGCTGTGCTGCGGTCCAAATGATTTGATATTATGTCATCAGTTGTGGAGCAGAAAGGGGATTGAATTGATTAAAATACTGAAAAAGTCTTGAGTTTATTATACTCGCTGTAACTCATGCTCTGTATCTGATGAAAAAGAAACATGTTGGCTATAAAATGATCACTAAAAAACAATCACAGCTTATAAAACACAGGCCATATGACGCTGCTTCATCTTACCTGATGCTGGTTTTCATTTCTGTCTGAAGTGTCCCTGTTCCCAAACTGTGCAGAATGCTATTGCCTAAACCTCTTAATTACAAACAGCTGTTTGATGGCACATGACAGCACCCATTAGTCGTGATTTGATTAGCACAACACATATCCATCATAAGTGTCAAAAAAGAATCTCGATAACCAACAAGGAATCATCTACATTCAAACTCAATCTGTCAAATCCCTCAGTGAATCTGAGGTGACAGTCTGAGACGCCTCTGAGAAAGGACTTTTTCTCTCCTCCTGTGTTAGTGAGATGTAGAAATGACACACACACTCATTTCCTTTAGGTGCTTTTACGCACCTTTACATCACACTGTAAGCAGTTTATTTTCAAATCTGTGAATCCAAAAGTCTGCCATATTAGAAAGTGCTGTCAGTGTTTTATTCAAGGTAATTAACTCTGTATACTCAGACCTACACAGCTGAGCGATTGTGTAACTGTTTATTGTTTCCTGCAGGTCGCTGTCTGCTGTATCTGCTTTTTTGTCATCCTGCCACTGAACCTTGTGGGAACCATCTTGGGGAGGAATCTGTCGGGCCAACCAAACTTCCCCTGCAGAGTGAATGCTGTGCCTCGACCAATCCCTGAGAAGAAATGGTATGACTTTGGTCCGACAGGGTCGAGTTTTTAAGGATTGAAACTGGAGCAGACTTTAAAACCATTGCAAGTCTGTTGATATACACTTGATAAAAATATAGATGTGCAAGTAAATAATGAAGTGGTTTCAGCAGTTTAGATTGTAAAAGAAGGTGGAGCTTCCACAGGAGCCTTTCCAGCCTATACTGATACTCAGATACAGGTGCAGTGACTCACAGCAGAACAAAGATCCACTCAGACCAGTATGGATCATGTGTGGTCAGCCAGTCAATGGCATTTCTCGCTCAGTTTGTACACCTAGCTTTTGCTCTTTGTTAGGCTCTGGCCTCTGCTTCATATTAATGCCTGCATGAGAGAGGTTCCTGTCTGTCTGTCAGTGTTGGCCCTGCCTGTGTGAGTCAGTGTAGTGCAAGCTCACACTTTAAGGGAGCTAGGTCAAAGCTCAATTCATACAGATCAAAATGAGTTAGTTCACGTTCATTTATGTCCAGTTGTACCTACATCCCCCCTCAGCAGAGCTTCTCAAGCTTCAGTCCCTCATCCTTCATTATTCAACTAAATGGATAATCATGCATATCATTATTCAGCTGTAGAGAATCATAAACAGAGATTTAGTTTAAAAGCCAGAAAATTCAGTTTCACTGCAATTTATTCATAAAACATGGGGAACAATTCAGCAGGTTTGCAAACTTAGACATATGAAGCCTGAAACTTTCATATCTCTGAAAATATTTGGTTGAAGGTTTTGAACTTTGTACTGAAGTACACAAAGAAATCTGCTTTGTTCTTGGTAGTGCGGGTGCTGTGGTTTTCACACCCTGTAAAACAACATTCAGCAAAGTGAGGCTTTATAAGTTTTCCAGTTATGCTATGCAGACGTTTATGGATGAAGAATTGAAACAGACAGCTCAGCCATTTACTCATATAAAAAGAAATTGCACTGTGTTGGTCTCCCCTTCCTCCTAGCCGCTTGTCAGCATCGCTCCACTCATGCAAACACACAAACAAACACTGCCTGTAGAGAGGAAGAGTCAGTGGGACAATAATAACTGCAGTAAGAGTCTGAAAACGTGAGCAGAGCAGGAATACAAGCGTGCTTAGTTCACTGAGACGCAGGAGCACCTCATATGACCCTCAGAGCACACAGCTGGAACACACACACACACACACACACACACACACACACACACACACACACACACACACACACACACACACACACACACACACACACACACACAGGATGACTGATGTACTTGTTTCATAAATGTACCCCACTTCAAATCAAAACTCAGAACACATGTTTCAAATTGCATATTCTCTTTAACTGTCCATCTTCATACCTGTATGTTGTTTTTATTTATTTTAATTGTGTTTTAACTGTGTTTTTAATGCTCTGTGCCGTGTCCTTGAGTGTCCAGAAAGGCGCTTTTAAATAAAACGTATTATTATTATTATTATTAAGTTTCTTAAAAATGTAAAGCTCCTGTAAGGAGTTTATTGATTTCTATGAAATAGACTTACATTCATATGAATGTACAAAAGAGGATCATGAGGGATAATTATTATTACAGATGGTCATTTCAAATGGGTAGAGCTGAATAAGCAGTAGATAGTGAGGAAGGTGAACTCACACAGGTAGTTAATCCTCAGTATTGTTGCGCTAAGTGGTCAAGGTTTTTTTTTTTCTTTTAACAAAAGTGTCAAAACAATAAATAGAAAGCTTAACATTTACAGTCTTCTGTCACCACTGTGGTCAGGAGAAGGTAGAAGTGACTTCAGGCATACTTCACTGGAATTTCATCCTGAGTTTCACTTTCCAGTTTTCTTTCTCATTACACAAAAGGCCTCCTATCTTTGTGCGTGCGTGCGTGTGTGTGCGTGCGCGCATGCGTGTGTGTGTGTGGATACACCTTTTGTATTTATACTCTAATCTTGTGATGTCTCAGGTTCATGGAGCCAGCTGTCATCGTGTGCCTGGGAGGAATCCTTCCCTTTGGGTCGATCTTCATTGAAATGTGAGTTTACTGAGGGTCTCCTATGTGGTGAAAATGCTTGTTGCAGTCAGTGACATGTTTTCTGTCCTCATTTTTCAGGTACTTTATCTTCACATCCTTTTGGGCCTATAAAATCTACTATGTCTACGGCTTCATGATGCTTGTCCTGGTCATTCTCTGCATTGTGACTGTGTGTGTCACCATCGTGTGTACGTACTTCCTGCTCAATGCCGAGGACTACAGATGGTGAGTGCAGCCCTGTTGTCACTGCAGTCTGATAGTAACTTTTAGAGCTGAGTGCAGAGTGGCAGACGTCATCTTTTTCAGGTTTTCAACATGTTTGCATGAAAACAATGGGATATTTGTTCACGTTCAAAGGTCAGTTACCTGAAGTGCCTTTTTTTTTTTTTTTTTTTTTTAGGCAATGGACAAGCTTCCTCTCTGCTGCATCCACTGCTGTCTATGTTTACATGTACTCCTTTTACTACTACTTTTTCAAAACCAAGTAAGTAACTTTGTGATTCCACAATAAAAGTGTCCCCTTAGGGGCAAAATATTCTTGTCATATACATACAAATCAGAAAAATCTACCAATGCCAGAAAGAACAAAAATCTGTTTCTTATACAATGATTCCTTTTACAATCCAGGATGTACGGATTGTTCCAGACATCCTTCTACTTTGGCTACATGGCTGTGTTCAGTACTGCCCTAGGAATCATGTGTGGTGAGTACTGGTTCACGTTTTTGGAATGCTGATAGACTGACTTATTTCTAGCTCCGAACTCAATCAGGTTACTGTGTGGACACCAAACTGTCCTGAAGTCGCCCATAGACAGAAAAAAAGTTGAGAAAACATCGTAAACATGGTGGTTCTACTGCCGGGGTAAACGTGGTTTATGGTTTCAGGTTAAACTGGACTGTACCAAAAGCTGACTCATTCATGAGCATACAATAGTGAGGAAGTGAACTACTTCCACTGCAGTGGTCTTCCATGTTTGGTATCATGCTTTCATGTCTGTGAGTGGCTACTGATCACCCCTGTCCCTCCAGCTCTGAGCTATGACAAGTGCCATTTGAGAGGCTTGCCGAAGTTGGTTTTCAGGCTGAGGGTGCATGGTGACAGATCTGTATCTGAGTGAGGACCCTGTATGAAGGTGGCTGAAGTCTAATGAAAAAGACCTGACTACATGCAACTTGGTTTATCAGACTGTCGTTGAAAAATCTGATCGGCTCACATATGAGTATACAAACTAAATTTGGGGCTGCAGTGTGGAAATAACCTGAGATACACTGAGATCTGGCAGGAGTGAATTCCAAAGGGGTTTTGTAGCCGGTAATATTTCTGTTTAAGTGCCACAAACTTCTCAGTTTGTTCATCAGTCTAGTTTGATGTAAAGACATTTACATAAATCTTTAATTTAACCCTCTTTTCCTGTGAGGTGTAAGTGTGAGGAGTCAGACCTGTTCAACTCTCTCAGCTGCTCAGATATATCCTCAGTGTCTTGTGCTAGCCTGATAAACTGGCTCTGTTTAAGGAGGGGCCCTTTTAGAAGTCTGAAAAATATTAGAGGGCCTATAGTGTCCTGGGGCCTCATTTACAACAGGGCATAAAATCCAATCTAAATGCGTACCTACATCTAAAACCAGAGTAAGTGCTCCAGAAATAGTTCCGATTAATTTAAAAACTGTGTGAAAGCACACATTCACACTGTTTTCTTTACAAAACATCATCCACCTGATGACATGACCATATGGATCAGCCTCATATTCAGCCTTCTACACGCCCACATTTTTACATACATGGTGTATGCAAAGCGCCCAACGAAATAAAATACATTATAATGTACCTGCAGATCAAAGGTTCTTGATGGTGATTAATAACAGCAGCACAGAGGATGATGGAGAGAAGAAACTCAGACAAACAGTTCAATGCATGTGGATGAAGGGAGGTAGGAGAAAAAAATATTTGCAAAAGCAGGAGGGTCACAAATCAAATAAAGAGCAGAGAGTGACACCATGCTGCTGCAGCATTCATGCAGTCTTTAGGAGTGCTAGAACCTCCATCATTCACTCTCACTTACAGGTGTCACTGCAGCTTCTGTACAAGATGTTTGCACACATCCAAAACTGATTTTTTCATTGTGCCAGAGTGCTCATGTCAATCAGAGGTTCACCCTATCCCTGTGAATGTATTGCACATATGTTTGATCTGTAGATGTGAGCTTTTAAAACTGAATTCCCACACTGTCAGTAAACTGCATCTAAAACAATGAAATTTATTAATGGTTTTACTGCCTTTGTTTTTCTTTTTTTTACAAAACATTTTAGCCGTGAAGTTTGGCTTTGTTGACCATAAACTGTCAATTTGAGTCAACCCCTTAGACAAAATCGATGACTTGCTTGCACTTTTTTGCCCCTTAATCACCTGGTCACAGACCACTTTATGGCTGAACAGTAAATGATTGAATAAGTTAAGTGTATCCCCTAGCACAGGAATCAATCTGTAGTGGTGTGTGATTTGGGGAGCAGGGGGACGATGTGTGTTGAGCAACTCAGGGAGCACGGTGGGGTGGGGGGTTCAACCAGCCGTGTGATCACCGACAATAACTTGCTAGTGCTAGTACTTTGGGTGCAGCACCCATGTCCGTACGCATACTGATACATATGAATCCAAGTTAGAGCCACGTAAATAAAAAAAAAATTTATTTAGCCGTGGCACTGCACCACGATTAATTGCACACAGTGGAAACCCTGAAGTTGGTCGTGTTGCCCTGGGGAGCAGACACGACAGCGTGACAAACTTTGCAAACAATTTCCTTTTGCTTGACATCCGTCAAATTGAAGCCAAAGTATTTTTTAAGATGTCCTACCTTCCATCTAAACTAAAAATGGCCCTCCTGCCATGTTTTAATCGCTCAGTCCTCATATTAATGATCCACACACATCACACACTTGCTGCAGCTGCACATAGCGGGTACATTCAAGGTGTTTTTCCAGCACGAGATCTTAAATAAATGCTGCACGGTGCGGCGCATTAGTTATCTTTCTTTGATTATATTATCAAATATCTCCACAGTTAATTAATCTGCCATGTAAAGGTTTGTCATTGAACGTAAAGAGAAGTTGCCATGTCATCTAAAAACACTCACGGAGCTCTTTTGTTTTCCAGGTGCTGTTGGATACATGGGAACAAGTGCCTTTGTGAGGAAGATCTACACAAATGTGAAAATTGACTGACTAAAAAGCAGCGCAACAACACAGGGATATGAAAAGATTTTGCCTATGCTTATCCAGAGTGACGGCGGGCATAAATCATTCTTTATTACTTTTCTTTCTTGCAAAGAGATTACGAGAATCTCACTTTGTACAATGTAGTTTTTCCATTTTATGAATGAATTTCAACGCCGTAACTTCAAGTGAATCAGAGCAAAACCTGCAAAAAAAAGATAAATACAAAGTTCTGTTTTTATCTGTTGCTTTCAAAGACCGTCAAGGCAAATGTTTAAGGCTGACATGGCTTCTCTTCTCCAACCCAGTCCCCCTGAGACCAGAGGACATAAACATGGATTGATGGCATTAGTGTAGCTCTCTTCAGTGAAGAGGCCTAAGTGTATTGAAAGCCTTTGTTCTATTGTGTCAGAATATTGGAGAGTTGGGTTCGTGCCCATGTTTTGACTTGATTTCTATTTTGTATTCTTGAAGTCACCCGAGACACTGTTACGACACACTTGCTACAGTTATCAGTTTGATTCAGTTCCCATTCAAAGATGATAGACAAAAAGTTTGCCACTCGTAAATCATTCCCCCTATTCAACAATTCCTGAAACCCTTTTACAGTAGCAATCCATCCAGTCGATGAAAGATTTTAGTCCTGCTGTAGTTTACTGTACAGACAAGAGCAGAGGGACTGACGAACAATTGAGGTACAGTAAGAAAGAAACGGATTTTTAAATGGATGTTTGATGTGATCTCATTTCCGCGTTTTGTCGGGGTTTTCTTAATGTTTGGGTTTGAATGAAGTCTACTTGTAAAGATAATATATGGATGGGGGGGAGTGTATATAACCTTAATAATGTAACTCTAGATGTAGATCCCAAATGTATTTTCGTTGTACAGATTTACTACAGGGTGTTTTTTTAAATGATTCATTCAGTTCAAGTTGCTTTTTTGGTCTTTGTTTGGTGCTTGGGATGGGGTTGGTGGCACTGTTACATCTTGCCTGAAGTTGCATGAAGTTTCACCAAACGACCTGCTTATCAGACTCCACTTCAGTCAGCGCTGTCAGGTTTGTTTTTGTTGCTCTGGCTCAAAATGTAAAAGGTACATTTTGATGACTGGTGGGCCTGCTCATGGGCACTGTTCTTACTGTTCTTGATTTCATCTATTATTTAAAGCTTTAAGAGGCTCTACATTTCCTGGGAAAGCCATTACCCTCATGTTCTTTCTGTTGCCTAACCTGAAACATCATTTGTGAATGTCAGAGGGAATGAGGCTTTTGCTTTGTTTCTCCAAACACACTGTACAAAGTGAAGTTTATGTACACTTAAAACTAGATGTTTTCATAACCACACACAGTGCTGCGGTGTTTCAAACGCTTTCTTTTTTCATTTTGTGTAAATACAGTATGTACCCTACTTGTACAAGAAAGTGGCAATGCCTTTTCAGTTCCGATTTCCAATTCTGCCCCCACTGAAGTTGATTTTGGCACCTCATCTTGTGTACCAATGTCTGATTAGACATTTTGAAACTGCATATTAACTTGCTGTAAAAAGAAAAAATAAACATGTTTATGTACAGGGGTTAAGTGTGTCTTTGATTGTGAGAGGAAATACTTTTTTTATCATCAGCTGTCACACCAATCAGCCATAACACAACGATCACAGACAGGGGAAGCCAATAACGTGATCTTTTTGCAATGTCGGTGGAAACTTAGTCTGTGAACTTGATGTGCAGGAAGCAGGAAAAACTGTCAGTGTGGGGTTGGAAGCAACTTTGCTGATTGGGACCACACAGACTGGTTAGATGACTCCTCTCCTCCATTATAACTGCCAAACAAGACCCCTGAGCTGCAGAACTGGACCACTGAGCAATGGAAGAAGAAGGTGACCTGGGGGAACATCTTGGTGCCACATACCACCAGTGGAGTCCATGTCTCACCAGGTCGGAGCTGTCCGGATGAAGGGGGTCCTTCAGGATATTCGACAGGTGGTCAAGTGTGTGTTCATACTACAAGTTTAGGATGACTCACCAGGGCAGTCAGTGAACATACTACTACTAAAGAGATAATGCGATCAGAGAATAAGTCAGGAATGAAACCAGTCCACCCACGGTCATGGGTGGTAAAGACGAGTAAATCACAACCTCACACATGGATGAAAACACAGCAGTCTTTAATAAAGAATAGATTTATTAGAGGATCTGTTGTGTATGGATACTTACAGCTTAAATTTCAAACTATAAGAAAACACTTGTCTAGACGTGTACCCTTCACCACCTCGGCTCTAAGCACTATGATCGTAGTCTTCTTAGTTGACCTTTTCAAAGTACTCTTTCGAACCTTCTGGGGTTGGTTTGATCTGGAAATAAACGGTGACACAAAGTGATCTTTAACTGTTTTACAGCTGCCTCAGTCTTACAGAAAACCTCATTTACATTTTAGCTTTATGTGTGAGCAAAAACACACACCTTCAGGAAAGCTTATGAACTAGAAGGACCCGAGAACTCACCGTTGGGGACTTAGGGGTCCAGCTGGCCGGACACACCTCACCATGGGTCTCCACAAACTGGAAGGCTTTTACCAAACGCAGCGTCTCTTCAACACAACGGCCCACAGGAAGGTCGTTTACACTCATGTGCTTCACAACACCACTTGGATCAATAATGAACAGCCCCCTGAAGAACATTAATAAAGCGTTGCATACGTTATTAAAAACATTCTTAATTATGGTTCGTTTGCCCCGTGGCCCTCATGAAAATTTTCTTATTTAAAATTGTAAAGCAGTTACGTATTTATGTCAAACTGCAACAGGTTATTCCTAATTTGTCCTGCAGAGCTCCAAGTTCATCTGACCTCAGTGCGATGCCTGGACCCTCCAGCAGCACTCCATAATCTCTGGAAACCTGCTTGTTGAGGTCTGACAGTAGAGGGATGTGGATGTTGCCCAAGCCTCCAGTCTGACAAAAACACAGAAGAGTACCCAGAAGATGAACACTGACACATGAACTGCTGTTTCAACAACCAACAAATCATCTATTTGACACTATGTCAGAATTACAAATGTCAGAAACACAACCAAGACAATGTCTGCAAGTCAGTCTTTTGCTAAAATCTCCCATGGGGCTCGAGCACTGGTTCCCAAAGTGAGGGTCATGATCATAAACTGTATATACTATGGACAACTTGGTTCCGCCTTCTGCCAGTATACGGATTTGAGGCCAAAAAGCTCTCAGTATTTCTGGGATTTTCTCCACTTTCTGGAACCACCACTTGCACAGTAGCGTTGTACACATTTTGGTGGGAGAGTCACCGAGATTCGCTGTGATGACGCTCTACTCAAACAAACCAGTCTTACAGTAACTACATGTCAACATCACAACCAGGGTAAAGTTTGTCCACAGCTCCATAGGAATTACTGCAGGAGGTGGAATTTATGAACTATACTGCAGCTCATCACCAGAGGGTGCTGTTCTCGCAAAGCAACTCAGTTCAACACCCGGCAGAGAATGGGAGAAGAAAGTACCTTGCGTGGAGTGTTGATCCATGCCAGGTGGGTGAAGTGAGAGTCCACAGAGACGCCCACCACCTCACAGTTGACATCGTGGAACTCATTGGCTTTGTCACTGAACGCAATTATTTCTGTTGGACACACGAAGGTGCTGGGAAAGGACAAACATCAAGAATTTAAGAGCACTGTTTGTAAACTGTTCACTGTACTGATCATCATGAGAGGTTTGTGTGATTAAGAGCAAGATGAAGCTAAAATGATTCACTTCAAGTCTTTGCAGCATCACAAATACTCACAAATCCAGAGGGTAGAAGAAAAGGACCAGGTATTTTCCCTTGAAATCAGCCAGGCTCATCTCCTTGAACTCCCCGTTGTGAACTGCTGTGGCTTTAAAAGCTGGAGCAGGCTGAGTGACGGCAGCGACCCATTTTGATGTGCCTGATTGAGGAAAGTCAAATACCCTTTGGTCAAGTCAAACTTTTTGTTTGGTTAAAAATATTTAATATCTAACTTTTGAATTGAAGAGAGCAAATGAATCTAAACCCCTTTTTATGAGAAAACATCTGCCTTTGAGTGAATGTTGTGCATCGAGTTGTTTCAGGACTTAGATTGTTCCTATGGGGACTATAGCCTCTACATGGGGAGCCTAGATAAACTAGTGCCCTCAAGAACACTGATCTGAGCTGAGAAATATTTCTGTGAGGAAAAGGTAAATGAAGATCGAAATCAAGTACTTAATCACGTCTTGTTCACTTAATCACTTCCAGATACTCTGTTGATGTCTTTTTGTTAAAAAACTTCCATAATTCTGTTTTCAGGTGGATCAAATTTCAAAATTAAAGTAGAGTATTTGATTGATTAGGGACCTATTTTCTAATTCTTTTACATTTATTTCGTATACATACATGTTGAGAAACAAGCCCTCTGGACTGCAGGACCAATGAGATTTCTTGTGGTCCAAGTCAGTCCATGTGAACAGGAAGCTGAGACCTTAAGTCTCTGTGCTGCAACACCTGCCTGGAAAAGAAGAAATTTTATTAAGACAAATACTTTTTGTTTGCCAAAAGGATTTCTGCCCCTAACATGAGGACTAAAGTACAGTCAACATTTTTGATTCAGCTAATTGCCTACATTTTATCATAGACAGATATAACCGATCAATAAGTATTTTTAACCTATTATGTAACATCCTTTAAACCTCAAGGCTATGGCTTAAAAATTCATTATAATTCAGAACAATGTCTTTCACTTTTTAGCCTGGTAGCCTTTAGCACTTTTGGCAAAATCCAACCACTACAGCCTCTCTCTCTTGTTATGCTTTTTCTGTCCCTAAGCCTTCTGGACTCTTTCTCCTGCTCCTTCTCTCCCTGCTTTCCTCCTGCTTTCCTCTCTGCTCTCCTCTCTCCTCCTGCTCCTTCTCTCCTCCCTCCTCCCTGTGCTCCTCCTCCTGCTCTCCTTTTTCCTACTGCTTCTCTCCCTGCTCTCCTCCCTCCTCCTGCTCCTCTTCCTACTCTCCTCCTGTGGCTGCCTGATAGTTTGTACTACTGTGTTGCACTACATGTAAAAAAAAAACAATGGTCCACTATTGATTTTAGCAGGAACTGCACCTTTCTGGTGCTTCCAAACTCACTTTCTTGTTGATCTGAGCTGCCTAAGATGAAGTGAAAATTAGAAATTAGAAAACTGCTGTTTGAGCAGAGGGGCCACGCCCTGCAGTTAAGAGTGTGGACCCCCTTGGGGGTACATACCAAGCAAGTTCTATTTAAACAGTTTAAACTGCTATAAAGCTCATCTTTGATTTACTATCCTGACTTTGATTTTTATGGTTAAGAAAGGATGTTTGTTTCTTAGTTCGCATATGAGTTAGTTAATTTACTCTCTCATTATTGAAGGAAATGATATTGATCATGCCTGTATTTCATTTAATTCCCTTTTGTTATTCCTATGTCATCCTTTTCAGAGTAGAGAGTTGAATATGTTGGAAAATGAAACTCTGGACTGGAACTGCGTTTTGATGCACTTTCTTTTCCTTACAGTCAAACTACTGAGTTGGAATTCCACCTTAAGCCAGCATAACTCCTAACAGTCAAATAGTCTTCAGTTAGTTTCATTCAACAAATAGAATGTAGGGGGGCAACACAGCAGACAGAACAATAATTGATCAGTCTTGAATATGATATTTTTATGATTGTGGTGAAAGGCCAAAATCGCAAAATCTAGTGATTCGCCCATATTTAGAAGCCTCCCTGAAGTTTGCCTCGCTCTGTACTTTGTAGTCTTGTTGGCTTTGAATCACTGTTGCTGTTGTTATAAGGCATAAAAACAGCAGCAGTGAAAAATGAAGGAAAAAATGATCAAGTCCAAAATCAGCTTAGTTCATGATAAAATAAGAAATACCAGAAACCTGAAACAGGACTCAGCTATCGTTCATCTCATAATCAGTACATGTAATTAGCAGACCTATAACTGCCGTCTTTGCAAATCCAAATTTTAAACTGACCAAGGTTCTGTAATTTGAACCTATCATCTTCCCTCAATCATTAATGCCAGCTAATTTGCAGCAGAATTCAAGAGCCTGAGTCACTGATCATCAGTAACCCAGTTTCTATCATATCAGCAGTGTGGAAATATTTGAAACTAGAAGGTGAAAACAGCCCAACAGTCTCATTACAGGCAACATGATCCCTTTACGAGGCAGTGGAAGTAGAGCTGTCCTCAGTACGGCCAATAGATACAACAGAAGTTAATATTCAACAGAATATGGGATCTTTGTGAGAGCAACAGAGAGAGAAGGCTGCTGTACTGAAGCTTTGGAATTAAAAAGAAAAAGTTTCTTTGAGAAAACAAAAACACCAAAAGGTGGTGAAAGGAGGCAGCCAAACACTGCAAATTTTATGATTTAAACTGAGCCTTTATTTTGCCAGGAATATTCGCTATGAAATTAAAAAATAATCTTTTTCCAGGGGAGGGATGAACAAGGTTGAAGCATGTTATCCCCTCAAAAGACACAGGGCTCTATTTTGGTGCCTCGCCGGAGACGTGCCGCAAGCGCAGCGTCAGTCAGATCCGCCGCGCTGACAAGGCGTTCCCAAGCACATTTTGGTATTTTGGTGAGCCGCGCAGCCCGGCGTAAGTATCCCCCCTCCCTAACTCAGCTCCTCCCAGCACCATAAGTCGTAGACTGGGAGGAGAAAGGCCGTATAGTGGGTTTAACACAGCCGAGACCTGTTTTCACCAATCACATAAGCTCCTCTCCTTGCCTTTAAATCCGCCACCGGCGAGGCGTATTACTATTTTCATGAAGTAGTCAAAGAGATCAAGAGATGTCTTAAGACAGTAATGCCACAAGATGGCGACAGAGGGCAGCTCCTCAACAAGTGTCCTCCACACTCTCTCATATGAGCACAGATGGATTTAGTGTGCGTAATGTTGGACCCACTGGTAAGACAAACGCCCTTTTCCACAAATAAAGACACTCACATAAAGTTGCTCATATTCAAACCTCACGTGACAAAGGTGGGTTGAGCGCACAGATCACAACATAAACTCCAAAAATGGCATTAAAATCGGAACCATCTGTGCGTAAATGACGCATCGCGCTCCGTGGCCTGGCTCTTTCTTTCATAGATGTTGGCATATAAAATAAATTTGGCTCACAAAACTGAATATTATAATATCCGTATGTCGGCTTAAAGTAGATAACGCATCTGAGCACTGAAACAAATCATCTGTTCAGCCGCAGCAGCAGCAAGACGGACAGAGGACACGGAGACGTGTCCAGGTCGAGCTGTGCGAGAAATAAGAGGAAGAGGAAGAAAGAAAAGAAGGGAGACGAATTACATATCTTGTTAACTTCATCATGTGTGTTTATTTACTAGATATTTAATTTAATTTGATGCGGTTTCAGCTGTGTTGATTCGGTCAGGTTGTGTGTCCAAACGCGTGCCAAACGCGCTCATCAGATCAGATATAGATCAGAATATATCGATATAGATCTAAATGTATGTGCTGACTCAGATTAATAGTTGTTGATGATTATTTATTGCACTGAAATGTGCCTGACACTGTGGAAACCTGCCGGTGAGGCATCAGTGACGTATGTCGATACGCCGCCGGTCTACCAAAATACTACCAGACCAGCTGCGTTCCGCCTTGCGCTGAAAGCTGACCAGGTTTGAATCGGCGAGCTTTCAGCGCACTTTACACGCCGTTGGCGAGCACGAAAATGTCACTGCGCCTGCTGATTCTGTCGACACCTCCCCCTGCCACACCACCACGCCCAGCTTGGCGGATCTCGGCTCGCCTCCGTGCGGCTCATGCCACGAAAATACCAAATTGGCCTTACGCTGGGCTCCGCCAGACGAAAATACAACTGCGCGGGGCTCGCCGCCCTCCGCCGCCTCACTGGCGCGCACGAAAATAGAGCCCACAATGTGACTGCTGCTACTTTCACTAGCTCTGACAGTCTCCCTTTGTCATGACTGAGCTGCACTGTATTATATATTATTATAATACTGTATTGTTCAGTATTATATCTTGTTCTTATATTATTTTATTATTCTGTCTGTCTTTTAAGCGTATTATCTTGCTGTGTTTTATTATCCTATCTGGTATTTATTAGGTCTGACTTACTTATTATCAGTTAGTTTTTATTGTTTTTCTTGAATGTCATACCTCATACCTGTTTACATCTGGTGTCTTCATCATTGAAGCCTTTCCTCAGTCCCTCCTGTGCTTTTTAAAATCCTTTTTCATTTAAATATATCTTGGCTGTTGTTTTTGTTTGCTCATCATAGACCTTGCACGACTTCGAGTTTTGATTGATTTTGATGATTTACTGATCATGTAAAGCACTCTCTGTGACATTTAGCTTGTTTTTCACTGTTTGTTTTTATCTGTCTTGAGGGGCATCCTTTGGTGTTTTAAAGGGTACCTTAAAACCAAATTCATTATTATTATTATTATTATTATTATTTCATCTCATGATGAATTCCCTACACAAATACAGTCTAATTGATTGATTGACTACAAAGGCAAATACAAGAATCAGATCTGGACTTGGTACTGGCAGATAATCTTTTTTCTTTTACTTTTTCCCTTTTTTTTAAATTGGATCAGAAGTGAAACCAATTGCTAATCTGTAAATCCTCATTGTTCAAGTGAAATGTGGACATGTTTTGAACAGGTGAATTTTTTTATAACATATTATTTTATAATATATTATATTTCATTATAATATTGTTTCAAGAATAAAATGTAAAAACAAAATACTGCACTGAAACCTACTTAATGCCTTGCATTAGTGTGGAAATTGACAATGTAGTACTATATCAGTTATAATTTAAAAGTATGAAGGTACATTTTGCTTGACCTTTAAAAAGCATGAAAATGCTCGTATTTTCTCAACCTTATCGTTCTCGTCTGGGGCCGCGGACCCGAGGTTTGGAGGCACACTGTCAGTTGGTCCCTAGTTCAAAATGTGCGACACTGATATGGACAGGGCGATCCAGGGCAGAGGTTTTTTATCCAGCTTCACCATCAAACTGGACGAGTGACTGCTTAATTTAAAAATATGAGACGAATAAGTGTCGGAGGTAGGTGTCTTTAAATTAAAGCGTTTATACTCACAGAGGTCCTGAGGAGTCTTCCGACGGTGGCTGCCATTTTGGATTATGTCAGAGGAGGGCGGTAGGAGCAGGTAATACGTCATTAACCAACGTGCTTGACGTTAACTGGCAAAAAAAGAAAAATATATACTTTAATAATTTTCTGACTTGTTTCCGTCCGATAGTGTTAATCGTTATCAAAACACATTATTCCGAGAAATCCGATCAAAGCAGTTATTTTCCTCTTACGCACCGATATCAAACGTTAGCTGCTCAAGAGTACTTCACAGCCGGCCCGGGAAATATCACTACGGAGGGAATAACTTGAGTGTTATTTACGATATTGAGTAGAATTTTGGCTATAGGATTTAAACAAGCATACCCAGATATTGTCGTTTTAGATGTAGGTCATTTATGTATTTATTTTTGTTATTTTTTCACTTACTTGCTCGCTTACTAACTGACCAACTAACTAACTAACTCACCAACTAATAATGAATTATATAAAGCAACTTTTTGTGACACCTTAAACTTTATCTACTGAACCATTTCCAGAGACTGTGAACACAAGGCTCCCTGCCGTCTTAAAACAGTAAGGTTCTGATACAGAATATTGTTCTCAAATGCAACATAAACACGCCCACAACTGAACACATGGACGTTGCGGAAGTAATCAGTAAGGCTTGACCTTAGGATCGCTGGAAATTCGTCCTGCTACAAGATTATGTTGCAGCCTTGTTGAACGTGTTTATTCTCTTTTCTTATAAATTAATATCTATTAAAAATACACTCGTCGTTGCAATGGACCCTAATCTGTTGTACTGGAAAGACCACGGACAGGTAATAGCAAACATGCAACCCGTTATCACAGATGAGAATATCATTAGACTGTGTTTGATTTGACTGTGTTCACATGTTATTCCTTGAAAGTAAATAAATTAAATCCCCTTCAAGTCAGTCTTCAGTCGACTGCGCATCTGGGTCAATCTTCTCGATCCCGTTTTCCTGCGGGCCTCAGATGTAAGTGCGAGCACCATCAGAGATCCAATACTAGGAGGAAAACTGAAAAGTTCAAATGATTCAAAATCATCTTTTTTTAGGAGGAAATACAAAAGGCCCACGACCTCCTTAAAGATGGAACAAGCCTTAAAGACGCGGTGAGATTATGAAAGGGTCTTCATCTGCACATCAGCCCGGTCAGTCAGTCAGTTTCATGGACCCACATTTACTGACCTCTTTGTTCTGTGTCCTCCTCCAGGATGAAAATGCTCTAAACCTCTCACTTGTAAGTATGGAAGAAGCAGAGAAGAGCCCACAGCATGAGTCAAATAGATGAAAACTGGCTGACATTTCTTTACAAATATATTGACTTCCATTCACTGCCATTATTTCATAAATCAGCAGGGTTGACTGCTGTTTTATACTTAACACACAGCTTTTAAAACAAACTTCAGCCAAAGTCAGACTCAAATTATAAAGGCTGGTGAATGCCTCCCTGTGCCCACTGTTTTGGTGGTTTTATGTTCTCGTCAAGAGGACCTCATTGTGTGAAAGACCTAATAAGAGTTCTATCTTCACAGTCCTCTGTACATGCTGATTCTGGAAAACCCCTGCCACTGCTTTTCCGACCTCCAGGTACAGAGCATGCTTTTCTCAAATTCAAATATTTCTCTTCCACTATTATACTCAGGACATTGTACATTCATATCATGGAGTAACAGCAGGTATTTGACTGTCAGAAAGCTCAAAAGTGTTTCAAATGTAAGGTAAAATCAATTTTCATAAGTTGGTTTGAATTCCACATTACGATCCCTATCTGAGACTGCATTGTTAAAATAATACATAAAGTACCATGTTACCATGAATTATATCAATAGAACACTGAATGCTGCAAAGTTTATTGATGCCTTTATATTATTCCTTTTATTTCAGCATTCATGCCTCTATCGTTACCTTTGGTAAGCCAGTTATGAATAAACCCATCTAAAGTTGACGCAATACAGACACTCTACCATTAATATTGGTTGTGACATGATTGTTTAAAAAATATGTTTTCAGGTGGCTGGCAGCGTTTTGCCAATTCCTAGAGTCTCCATTGCCCTTTCTTGGCAGGTAATGAAACAGTCATTAAATTGATCAAATTCTAATTCATAAATGAGGTGATTGTGCATAAATGATTGAAAATGCGTCCTCTCAGTTTTTGCTGCAGAGTTACAGTGTTGGATTTAACCATGCAAACAGGAATTTGTCATCAGAGCAGGTGATCATTTAGATTATCAGTCATGAGATTTTGAAATTCAAAACAGTATTATTTACTTTTTAAAATCAGTGATTTTTATTTTGCTATCTCTTCTTTTTCTGGGACACTGAATCTGTCTTCACCTCTCTCTAACAGTGTAGGAAAGTGTCTTTGAAGCAGCTTCTGATACTGACTGGGACAGTTTCCTATGCGACATGGGCAGGGGTGAGCATAAACTATTATACTCATGGAATCTATGTTTATTTAAAGTTTAAGAAAATCTTTAAGGTCAAAAAAGATGCAAGTTATCATTTTCTTTATTTTTCTTTGTTTTTTTCTAGGCACTTCCTCAAATTTTCATCAACAGACTTGGTGTAGGAAGTGCATCAGCTCTGATATTTTTTAGGTCGATATTTCCAGTCCCCCTCTCAGGTAAGATCTTGCCGCTGATGGTCTTGTTTGCTTTTATCGTAAAGAGGATATCAATTTGGCTTTTAGTCTGTTTCTATAATGTCAAAAAACTTCTCACAGGAGCTTTAGTAATTTCCCAAGAATAGGCCATTGATTTAAAGGGATATTTGGGGATTTTTTTGAAGAAGGGTTGTGTTGGGTACTTGTCTAAAGCGATAGCATCACCTACAGTGAATGCAAGTCCGTTTGGACCCTTTGTTAAAAATCTGGTCGGAGAACCAAAACAGGCTGAGCTATCAACCTCTGCAGACAGGCTCAGCTCTACCTCATCATTCACCTCTGAGCTTAACACTAATGCCTGTGTTAGTGTACTCTCTTATTTGAACATTTTCACTGCTTTTCTCTTCCCAGTCATTTTTGCACTCTTCTCAGATGCAGCACTAACTGTATTTGGCTTTCCACCTGTTGCACGCTGATCAGCTGTTTGGGTCTTTTAAACAGACAAAAATACAGCTAAACTTAAAAAACAGAGTGATTTTGACTGTTTATTGTAGTCACAGACCTCTGTGCTGTCTGGAGAGCAGGAGAGATCCTAAGTTACCCCTTAATACAATGGTGTAAACTACCAATCACTGACAGTTCTTTAATGAAAGGTTTCATTGAATTCTACTGGATACAATCATCAAGAGATTTTAGTTTGACTACTGAGGAACTTCCTGTGAATGTTTTTTTTCCAATCAAACAGGGGGAAAAACTGTTTTTCCTCATTCAAAATTTAGTTGAAGTTTCAGATTTGTAACTCAAATAGTGCTTCATACCTGATGATGTGGGAGAGATAATTCTCACATCCTCTTGAACAAAAGGGCTAAAGGTAAAGAAACACTGAACAAACATTATCTTCAAAAGCTGGACCTCTCTGGGACCAAATAGGGACACTTGGTATTTCTTGAATCCTCCCCCCAGTAGTCCATCTGCATTTTCAGCAATGGGGCTGAACTGATCAGCACTCCTCATGGGTAACACGGTAGCTTTTATTAAGTGTCCCATACAGTTCCACTTGGAAAAAAAAACAAAGAACTGTCCCTTCACTAAGTGAGTCAGCTTTGGCTTTTTAACACATTTTGTGACTCTGCAGCTGCTCTGGCCGTCTTCAGTGTATACGGCGTCAGAGGTGAGGAGGCAGAAACTGGAATCATGGTGTTTGATTCAAGTGGAAGTCCTGTTGGCCTCTCAAAAGCAGCAGGTCAAAAGGTAAAAAGACAGTAATGCACAAAAAAAAAAAAACGTTTTATATTTCATAGTGTCTGATGAGTAGTTGTTCATTTTGTTCAGGCTGTGAAAGAAACAGCGTTATCCAGAGCGGCACTGATGGGTACAGCCACCGCTGTCCCGAACCTCTTGGGGTTGCTTTTAAGAAGGTCAGTCACTTTGACACAGTATGTTCTGATCATGTGGACAAAAAGATGCCTTAAGACTTCACTGAATCTTTTTTTTTTTTCTTTTCAAGAATAAAATCGTTTCAGAGGAACCCTTTCAAGTTGGTCCTTCTCCCTTACCTCAGTGCTTTACTTGTTATGGGCTTGATGATTCCCACCTCATTCAGTCTGTTTCCACAGCTGGGGACAGTAAGTGTTTATGACCGTCCTGTGCACCGATGTTTTCCCTGTGATTAGCAAGGCTGATCCAGACCTCTTTTTCACAGATAAGGAAGGAAGATGTTGAAGAGAAGCTAAATGCTGGAGTACTCGATGGACTGTTATATTACCACAGAGGACTCTGAGGAGCTGTTTCACTAAGTAGACAAGGTCTAAAGTAACCCATTCCCATTACTGCACAGCTTTACAACTATCATCTTTTCCACATCATGCAGCTGTAAATATAAAGAAAATGAAACAGCACGTTCTCCATCTTTTCTTGGGAAATGATTTTTTTAATACATTAAAATACATGAAAACTGTTCTTTCAGAGTAGTTTATACTTTGTTTGAGTAGTAGCTATATTTGTGTTTAAGAAACCTTTCATCAACTTGTGAAAATACATTTAGACTTTTAAGTCACATGAGCATTGCTGGGTATTGCACTTGGTGTCTTATCTGAAATACTGAGACACAAAACCTTTAGTTGATGGATGGAAAAGGTGCAAAACCATGAAATAGTGGCACATGTTAGACATTGATTCAAAAAATCCTTTTACCTGCTAGACACACAATGAAGAAGAAGCACCAAAAGTGAAAAGTTGGAGATTGATGAGGACCTGATTATATTTTACAAAACTAATGCTGCAAAAGCCTCAGCACAATCAAACTTACAGTTTTGGTGTATGTCTAAATCAATTAGCAAAATAAGTGACACAAAGTGAACAAATATTGATAAAGCCACTGTATAAAATATCCGTATCTGATCAGCCCTCAGTGACCATGTGCATTTTCTGTTCATTGGCTCATTAAAGGTGCAGTGTGTAGTATTTGGGGCCATTTAGAAGAGCAGACTTGGTTGAATTGGAATCAAGTTTTCACAAGCATGTTTAAATTAGTGTTAATGTTGTTCCTGTTACTTTGAATAAGCCTTTTAAATTTGCACAGAAGTGGGTCCCTTTGCACAGAGGCCGCCGTCTTGCTCTGCCATGTTTTTACTGTAGCACAGAGCGGACAAAGTAGTACTAGCTGTGCATGTTTTTCTATTCGGGGGGGGGGGGCAGTTGTGTGGACTAAAATTTGTTCTGATAAAAACTTGACAAATTAATCATACTCATACTTATCAATATGTCACAGCAGCTTTGTCTCCTTGAAGACCTCTGTTGCTCTGGAGCTTCACCAGAGGGAGATGTGAGTAAGGGGAGCCTTTCAGCCCAGAATCCCAATGCTAGATGTTGCTACATACTCCCATGTCTACACATGTCTACATGAGCCATTCCATTGATGCTACAGCTGTATCCACACAGAAAGTATGCTATGAAACAACGTCTGACTCTTACCGGTGTGAACCAAACACTTCAACCCAGGAACTTGGTTTGTGACATGATATTTAAAAGTTAAGCTTCAGATGTACTAGCTGAAAAAGTACCAGCTAACCCACTTCCATTTCACCAAGCTGGAGACAAATACTTTGCACCGGCTAATAATAGAAAAGACAGACGACCCATGAAAGGACCACAGTCAACAGTGTGTGTTCGTTGTCCTGTTTTACAACTTACCTTTTGTTTGGGTGCTTAGTCTCTGTTACCTTAAGACTTTTATGAGTAACATAGCTAGCACTTTTAAACATGTTAGCTAGATTTTGGCCTTTGAATGGGAACTGTGGGCCAAAAAGTGACAAAAGATATGTTTGTGTAGGTTCTCGTTCAACCCGGTCATAGTTATCCAATTCTTCGTTAAGGGGGAACTGGACTGGTTTGAGGTCATCTCAAACAAGCCCAGTTTCCCTTCATGGAAGAATTGGATGACCAAACACATCCCCTAATTCTGAGAGTAATCCCTGGTCCTGGTTTGATATGTGTTATATAGACTATTTTTATGTGAGTGCATGATGCTATTGACTTTCCTACCTCACATGGAGGTCATTGTAAGAGAGTAACTGCTGCACATGGTTATGATGATCATCCTGAGTGTTCACAAGCATTAAAGACAAACAAAATTCTCCCTAAATCAACAGGACAGTAGAGTCCATGCTGTGATAATTCCATCTTCCTGCAGCGTCTTGCCTGATAAAGTGATTTATATTCGCAAGAGCTGCTCAGCAGCTGCCAAATGAAAGAGAAAGTTCTCTGTCGCTGGGGGGAAATGATGGTGCTTTAAAACTTCCAGTGTTATTTTGGAGTCTTCACACTCATCAGCCATAGACACCAAATTGGAAAGGATCTCTTTCGTCTTGACAGAAATATCCTGTGTGGGAATGACAGGTAATTATTTCAGAATTAACACATTTCTCAGAGCAGTTGGTCAAAAACTGGGAAGTCCTTACCTTTATGACCTGACTGTCCGACCTCTCAGCATCTTCTGCAGACTGAAGAATAAGGTGGCCAATGTCCTTGTGTAACTTCCCCATAGCCATGGCCTCTGTGGTGAGACAGTGACTATCAGTGCTGGACTGAATAGAATCAAATTGCTGTTAAAGACATCTATCTATCTATATATCTATATCTAGCTATCTATCTATCATACCTTTAGCACTCTGGGTTACTGTGATGACACTATCTGGGAGGTTCACATACACGTCGAACAAGTCTGCTCTGTTGCTCACTTCTGGATCAACAAATCCTGCAACATATCCTGAGGAGAGAATGAACATATTGGTGCATAAATATTACATTTCCACCATGAGATCAGAGTGATCATGGTGCAGATGGTGGAAAATAACCAACTGTGGGGAGGTTTACTGTTAATGAGAGTCAGTAAACCAGAAGGCAGCCTCACCGGGACACTCCTTCAGATCCTCTAGCTCAATATCAGTCAGATGCACATATGGATGCAGGATCGACCAGTCTTTCCTGTGCCATGTCAAACAAGGTAGAACTCTAGGGGAAACAGGCAAACAGTTACTCAATGATTAAAAACATGCCTCTTTTGATTAATTAACATTTTGATTCAGGGTTTGTGATGTAAAGGTCTCCGTTCAGCCTCTTGTCAGTGTACATGTCCACAGTTAAACGCTAAAATGCAGGGCTCTAAGAAGTGCTTGGTGATGAGCAAATTTCAAAAGTGATAAAAACAAAAGGACCCCTTTAAACTAACAATGGGTTATTTTCGCACATTTTTACCCTATTTGGCCACATTAAATATCAACACCTAACATCACAATAAAATGTATCATAGAAAATAAAGAAAAAATTATTGAAGGTTTCCTGTAAAAGTCTAATGCACCTTGTAAACTCCAACAATGCTTCAATTCGAGGGTGATGGACTATGATCCTCTTCTTCAGCATGAGAGCCGTATAAAGAATGATGGTCTCCATACCAAACTGAGACACCACATCTGAGGAAGAGCAGGAGTGTGTCAGTCAACACTGAATATGCCTCTTTGTCTCTGAAGAAATCAGCTTTAAGAACTATCAAGAACTTTCAATGAAGGGTACAGATGTTTCTCTTTCTCTTTCTCTCAGATGTTTTTGTTTTTTTAGGCACTGAATTAAAAATATCAACCTTTGACCATAAAAAGAGTAAATCTCTTATAAAAGCTGCTGTCTGATACAGAATCACTCCTTAAATTTCCACCATCATTGTAGGACCTGCCTATTACAGGGTTTGAGGTTTGCTTTTTTGTATCTTGAATATGAATGCATAAAAAAATAAAATAAATCAAATAAGATTACCCTAAACTCGTGGCTGACTCTAAAAAACACCCTTGAAATGGAAACGAGGCCACTACTCACAAAAAAAATTTCTTCAAAATTAAAAAGGATCATGCAGGTGCACAACAGCCAGTAGGATTTGAGAGCATTTACAAATACAACCCTCCTTTTTCCTAGATGGTTGGGACACTCCATAAATGTTTATTAATCATATGTTGATAGAAAGAAAATCATTAAAATTTCGTATTAAACAGTAAATACATTAAAGAAAGCATACCAAAAGTTGCATTGCATTGTGTTTTTAAAAGGATAATTTGAAATTTGATTCAGCGTTTAAAAAAAACGCTGAATCAAATTTACAAAGGTTTTCTTCTTTGCATGATACATTTGTGATCTGCTTTTGTGGATGGGGTGAACACCCATCTTTTACTTTTAACAGACATTGGTTTTCAGAAGTTATTTGGACTCTAAAGTAATTTCTACTTCAGAGTCACAGTCACCATCAGAAGGCCCAAAAATCACAGCTCTTTCACATATTCACTGGACCTTTCAATTTCATAAAGATGATTAAACCCCAGTTTTTTGTTTTTTTTCATTATTTTGGAATTGTTGAATGACAGCATATTAGCTCATGCACCTCCCCTAACAGACTCCTCCTAGTGTAAATTAACCTTATTAGTTTGGAGATGTTCCCTCAGGTTGGTTTCTGCATTACACAACTTTTTCCGCATTTTGTTGTCCCTGTCCTGACACTTTTGAAATATTTTGCTGACATCAAATATTAAAAGTACACATGAAAAACAATAACAAGTTTCTATTTTAACATTTCTTTGCACTATTATCAGTTAAAAATGCGCTTTAAATTGTTTGCAAACCAACCTCTATTTTTATAAACACAGCGTCAACTGTTCATGGGTTTCACACTGAGTCAGAATAAAGGTTGAATTCCACAAAAGTGGTAATTATGGTCATTGTAGTACCTCTTTAAGATAGTGTTCACGTACCTTTGACTGAACCAGCTAAGTATGCTTTCCGCACATCATAGTCCTTGATTAGAAATGAGCCGTTTTCATCACTCTGGCAAATGCCTTTGGTAAGGACAGTGACATAAGCCTCCATCATTTTCACTGGACTCCCATTTTTGATGTACATCCTGGAGAAGAAGTATTTTATTTTAATAAATACACTAACACTCTTCACAAGTAATTATTAAGTATCTACTTGGCTGCTAAGAGTACCTGCAGAGAACTCTGCTGAGTGCGGCGTACTTCTCAGGGTTGAAGTCTTTGGCTGTAACAACCATTGAAAAATGTGTGACCTGGAAGGAGAGAAAAGAAACAACAGTAGAACTAAAGCAAATCATTTAAAGGTGCACTCTGATTATTTCTGAGTTTAGATCCAAATGACAGGAGACTCGTTGGATACTGCACCTTGTGAAGTGCTGTGGGTTCTTGCACCTCCACTGTGGAGATATAGTACCAGGTACGTCTGAACTGACCAAACACAAAGGTGTGAAAATCCCGGCCATCATGTGTCAGACAGCACTTCTTTAGCAGGACTTGCCTCAGGTCTGAGCCCACAGAGGGATAGCACCACACCCACAGAGTGTCTCCATTCACATCCTTCTCTGGGACAAAGAGAAAAGAAAAAGAGCATTACTCATGAATCTGCACGTATTTAAACATGGACTGTCACTGAAGATCCCCCTGACTTTTCTGAACCCAATCCTTGACCCATGAACCACAGTATGACCAGTTTATAACGCATACTGACAGAGCTGATGATGGAGCAGTGGACCACTGAGGACATGGAGCTCTATTGATGAGACACTTATGGGTCACACTGGTATCATGTGATCCTCCTGATCGTTGAGTGAGTTTGAACACCCAGCATCTCCAAAGCCAACCGACACACACAAACTATCCGAGGGCACAAACTTACCGATTAATCCGACGCTCAACATCAGCTGTGTTTCAGTCGCTGCCATGTTCCATACCTGAAAGAGTTGAGAGCCACAGGTGAACTTCAGAGAGCACAGCAGCTACCTTCAGAGGACTACCCTGACCGAGGAGTACCTTAGGAGCTCCTGCTTCGTCTCAGACGAGAATGCGATGTCTGACACGTTTAGTAAAATGGTAATTGTTGTTGGTGATGTGAATGTCGGTTTCCTGGGTGGGATTTCTGCTGTCAACAGGCTTTCCTTCCTCTCTGAGCAAGAATTCGTTCCTCTTCCGGAACAGACATACCGCGGGAGGAGGCACTAGCTCAGAACCAATCAAAACCCGCGATACTAAAGCGTTGGTGGTGCATTCATGGTCACTGATTTGCTCGAGTTTCATTTGACAAAAATTAAAATTTAATTAAAAAAGACGGTTCACTGGTAAATGTTGAAAATGAAAACACATTATTTTGTTTAAAAAATTCTCCCCGTGAAAATGATACCAATATAAATCAAAAGGACAACAACAAAAAAGAAAAGTTATGTGATACGTAAAAATTGATAAATAATAATATATGTATTGAACATTTCCCATTATGTCAATATGCAACAAGACTGAAATATGACTGAATATGAAACGGGCATTGCAGGGAGTTTGTCTTTCACATAAGTAAACATAGAAGGACGTTTACCCCTTTGTGAGAGACTGTGTGAACAAATGGTTCAGCAATAAAATTGAAAAAGATTTGAGATTGTGTCAAAGGGCCAGGGCACAAAACTAGTACTGTATGGCTGTGCTTTTCGAGCCCTGAGGTGGCACTGTCTCAAGACAAGACATGACTCAAGCCATGGAAATCACTGAATGAGCTCCAAACCAACTCCAAAAACCACAGTCTGGAGATGGAAACTGTTTCGTGCAAGGAGTAAAACATTTTAAAAAATTTGAGCCAAAGACACCAGCAACTACTCTGGGCCCAAGACCACTGAACAAAAACTGAACAACTTTTGATTTATGCCTACAATGTAGGCCATTTCAAGTGCAAAGCTGCAGTTTTTGAGTTGTTGGTCACTACTTTAGCAGTTGAGGATGAAACTTGCAAAACGTCAGTAAATTGGGTTTCCCCGAGGTTACCTAAACGCATCATCATGGGAGCTCATACGGGAACCTGATACACACAGGTAAGTTTGCAGGTTTAAGTCAAGCACTTTCTTCCACTAATTATCATGACCATTTCATATTGATATGTTAACCATATATTCATTCTGCATGTTGAATAAATCCAGCAGTAACGCTGTGCTCAGACAACCTTTCATTTCCCCAAAGTTCACACGATTAATTAATTTCGCACACAAAACTGACCCACCTGTCGATCACACATGGTGGAGTAACACATAGGTTATACATATCACTGAAAATTGAAGTAAGCAATTAAAAAAAGATGAGTGTTAGTGGATGTTGCTGCACACAGACCTACAGATGCAAGCAAAGTCCAAACTATGTAAATGTCTTTTTAAACGATCTCTATCAGATAATACTTGGACCTGTTAAGGTGCATTGACTTGAAAACGTCTGCACAAACACATAATCACCCTGAAAAACAGTGTAGTGCAAGTTGAAAACATGCTCATTATGCTTTAATTAATCATTAATGATAAAGTTATTCAAAACGCTTCAAATGTGTTAGTTTCATAAAGGGTTGCACCTTATTGTTTCATTTTTACTTTATCTGCATTGCGCAAAGACTTAAAATTAATATAACAATGGCACATATAACATACAATGGCATACAACACATGTGCTGAAAAATGTTGCTCCATGTTTTTCAATATTGAAGACCTTCGCAGACAGTATGACTTTAGCCACATATTCAAGATGGGTGTCTTTTGTATAATTATAAGACGCAATGTCTTTAAGGTTATGAGAGTAAACACTAGGTCTGTCTCTTGAGGTCTCTGGAATCTTTTGGAGAGTTGACATTCAAAAAATACGACTGCGTCCATAACTTTCTATGAAATGGTATCAGACATGTCACAATTTGTAGACTTACAATATGTCAGTGAGTTGTGCATATCTAATCTAAAGTTTAAATGCTGCCTTCCTCTTTAGCTTTGTTTGCAAAGCCAAGTCCTCTTCAGATTATCAAGCTCAAGTCTTCAGAGAAAGTTTCCATGAAAAGTTTGGGGCAGGGTTGCACATCGTGATAGGGGGATAGCGCGTGACGGACTTGCTGGCAACCCTTGGTAGGCCGCTCACGAGGTTCTTCCTTTCTCAGCTAGCGTCGTTGCAGCGGGTGAGTGCGTGGCGTGGATGGACTGGTGAAATTCCGCAAAAAATCACCAAAGTCGGTCGTGTCTGAGTTTCGCTAGAACGCCACCACCATGCCGGCGTATTTTCAAAGGCCGGAGAATGCTCTGAAACGAGCGAACGGTGAGTGTTGAGAGAAACACAGCTTTGTATTTGACGGGTGTCAGACCTTCACGCTAGCTCGCGCATGACTGTGCTGTTAGCTGAGCTAACAGTGGCGGGGAGGTGAAGTCGCTGTCTCACGGCCACTTTTCTCAGTGAACAGGCCTTGCTATGGCCTTTTGTTGACTGTCTCACCTAGTGCCCTTCCTTGTCGGACAAACTTTGACATGTTTGTGGTATTAATCAAAACATTAACCGCTGTCATCTAGCCTTGCTGCGGCCGTCCTTCTCGTAGCAGACAGTCAATGCTAATATGACGCTCATGAACCGGCTCAGGCCTCACCGCTCACTCTCTTATTACTGGGTGAGACAAAGGTAATGTTACTCATTCAAATGTGTACTGTTTACTTGAACATGTAATGGTGCTGATGCATCACTAAATTATAAAGAGCCTATATCTTTGCCTTGTTGAATGTGAAAGGCAAACTTCAACATTTTACGTCTATCTGATGCAAGTAAAATAATGAAATAATTTGAACATGGTAGTGATCGACTGATTACAATTATTCAAAGGCTGATAGGTTGGCTGATGTTAGATAATCAATAACAATATCATTGTTATTTAAAGTTTCCTTTATTTTGCACAATATAAAATAGTTGTAAAACACTTTACTAATAGCCTACTGTCAAATGAGAAACTATGTTTCACAACAGTAGCGAACATTTCATGGAAGAAGTGTAGACACTCTATCTTTGCCAAGACGCAATATTGGGTCTGTCCAGTTATCACATCATTTAAAAAGCAATGAAAATCCAAGGTTATTATTGTGATCAGCATTTGAAAATGTCTTGTGTAAATCCATTGTTTCACACACATTAAAATCCAACATTCATGGCAAGCCAGTAATGTGTAAAATGTATTTTCAATTCATTTAAAATACACAATGACAATTTCAACCTTGTGGGGACCATGTAAGTTTGATGCTGATAACAAAAAACTGCCATTGAGTGGTCGTATTAATCAGTCTCTTCACAGCATATGGGTCATACAGCCCAAGAAAATTTGAAATTCAGTTTTTTAAACTATCCAATTTTTTTTACAAGTTAAAAACAGAAATTACAACCCAGAAATACACAGTTTCTTGAGGGCATTGTCATTTTACTCTCCATATTTTCTAGGCTTTTTTTCCCCATGAATGTTATTGTAAATATTTTGTGACATGACAGCGATCACCCTATATCTCTGAAGTCCAGGTAGTTCTGATAGGAGCTCTCAGCACATCTGTAGTTTTGGATTTGGTATTGGTCATCTTCCTTTTAACACTGATTCTCTCAGAGGCACATTGCAGCTGACTTGGTTTGCCAATCAAGCACAGTAGTTTAATGGTCAGTAAACCATTTTGAACAATGTGAGCAGGTGCAAAGTCCTGCTGGAAAAAGGAATGCTGCATTTCTGTAATGCTTGGCAGGAGATGGAAGCATAAAGTGCTCCAAACCCCCCTGGTGCATAGTTGTGAGTCTAAAATTATATTGAATAAGTGATAGAAAGGTTGAAATTTTTGCATAACATCCTAATTTTTTGAGATGCAACTTCATGTCCTTTCACAGAGTTTCTTGAGGTTGGGAAGAAGCAACCAGCCTTGGATGTTTTGTACGATGTCATCAAGAGCAAGAAACATCGAACATGGCAGAAGATCCACGAGCCAATCATGCTCAAGTATCTGGAGCTTTGCGTGGATCTTCGCAAAAGCCACCTGGCCAAGGAGGGTCTCTACCAGTACAAGAATATCTGCCAGCAGGTGTGTGAGGAGAAATCAGTGACACTTGCACAGATTAGCTAATTGTTGACTTTGGTACTTTTGAACTCATTGTATAATGTTATGATGTCTTTTGCTACAAGGTGAACATCAAGTCCCTGGAGGATGTGGTCAGGGCCTACCTCAAGTTGGCGGAGGAGAAGACTGAGACAGCCAAGGAGGAGTCCCAGCAGATGGTCCTGGATATTGAGGATCTGGACAACATCCAGACTCCTGAGAGGTGAGAATACTCAAGTGTTGGAAGCAGAAAAGATTTGCTTTGTGGATTTTTTTTAAATCGGCTAAGCATCTTCTTTACATGATATGCAGAATTGCCTTTAGGCTAATTCAAGTTTAGCCTTGTAAAATAACAGTGAAGAGGATCTGGTTTTACATTGTGCTGGTGACACTGCCTGTAGCAGATAGATGAAAGGTTTATTGTTCTTAACAAACCTGTTCTATTTCCAGTGTGCTTCTGAGTGCTGTAAGTGGTGAAGACACTCAGGATCGTACTGACCGCCTGTTGCTCACCCCCTGGGTGAAGTTCCTTTGGGAGTCTTACCGCCAGTGTCTGGACCTTCTTCGGAATAACTCCAAAGTGGAGCGTCTGTACCATGACATTGCCCAGCAAGGTGAATATTTGTTCAAACAAAGTTGTTAATCCAGTTGCTGTAAGAATTACTGTCATCACCCAGCTTTACTTTGGTTTCATCAAGGTTTATCTTATGAGATAATAGAACATGACGTATCAATGCGCCATTTAGAAAAACACACTGTCATTGTCAAGCTGTAAATAGTAAGTCACTGAGTTAAAATATGTTCCCTTTTCAAGTGTTCATCTGGATTTAGAATGTGAGATGTACATCTTTACAATAAAAAAAAGATCATGCACTTGAACAACTTCTGACAAAACAGACTTTGAACATGACAAACTGAAAAACACAGCTTCATCTTTCCACCAGCATTCAAGTTCTGCCTTCAGTACACCCGCAAGGCAGAATTTCGCAAGTTGTGCGACAATCTGCGAATGCACCTTGGTCAGATTCAGCGTCACCACAACCAGAGCACTGCCATCAACCTGAACAACCCTGAGAGCCAGTCCATGCACCTGGAAACACGCCTGGTGCAGCTGGACAGTGCCATAAGCATGGAGCTCTGGCAGGTCTGTCCATTTTGAACCAAAAAGATGCATGCATGTTTTGGTCTAAACTCTCATATTGGTTGTCTAGTTTCAGTAAGTATGTGATGCATGGCCTCACTGAACATGTCTTTACTGATGATGAATTCTTTGTTTTTTAGGAAGCTTTTAAGGCTGTCGAGGATATCCACGGCCTGTTTGCACTTTCGAAGAAGCCTCCCAAACCCCAGCTCATGGCCAACTACTACAACAAGGTGTCAACTGTGTTCTGGAAATCTGGAAATGCTCTGTTCCACGCCAGCACCCTCCACAGGCTCTATCACCTCTCAAGGGAGATGCGCAAGAATCTGACACAAGAGGAGATGCAAAGGTATACTCGTAATCTGCTGATAAATACACAGGAATACAAGTGCGCAGTGGGTGAATAATGCTCACTGTCTATATTTAGGATGTCTACAAGAGTCCTCCTGGCCACACTGTCGATTCCCATCACCCCTGAGCGCACTGACATTGCCCGGTTGCTGGACATGGATGGAATCATTGTGGAAAAACATCGCAGGCTGGCCACCCTCCTTGGCCTGCAGTCTCCTCCTACTCGTCAGAGTCTCATCAACGACATGGTACACTTCATCTGTATTATTCCAAGGAATTTAAAAAAGGCTCTTGACTGTGTGCTTTCATGAAAAGATTTATCCAATCCTGTCGAATTGTGGCAGTTAGATTTGGAGAAGTTTTCAGATCCTTCCTTTTGTGTTTCTTTTTCAGGTGAGATTTAACTTGCTGCAGTATGTCGTACCTGAAGTTAAAGAACTTTACAACTGGCTTGAAGTAGATTTTCATCCTCTGAAGCTCAGTGGAAGAGTGACCAAGGTAAGTGATCAAGCTGCATCCAGCCTAGTCTCCAAAGTCTCTTAACAATGTTTATCAATCAGCCAATCTTCAATCAGTGTTTATCAGTATAACCCCAGTCCACAACATATGTGCTCTGTATGCTTTACAGAGAGGGTGAGACTAGGCTGTACTCTTTGTTATCCTATTTACAAAGACTCAGCATTAAAATAGGATAAGTCCATTTGTATTTTAAGATCCCATCTTGACCCACCATGAGCAGCAAACTTGCACAGTTGAGCAACTTAGAAGCAAGAAAAAAACTTCCCTTTAACAGGTAGAAACCTTCAGCAGAATTCAACTCATGTTCAACAGCCATCTGCTGTAATCATGTGAGGATAAGAGAAGGGGGAGGGCAGAAAGAAAGAATGGATAGAAACAACAATATTCACAGATGACAAACAAAATTGATGATAATAGACTGAACGAGGCAAGCCAAGATCAACTTTAGTTTCACAATAGTCACAAAAACGATGAGACTGATATTTATTGCCTTAGCAGCTGGAGTCAGACAGCAGCAGGCCATCTGCAGCAACAACCCAAAGAGACCTACAAAACAAGGGAGATCACAGGCTCCCAGGAGGTGTTTCATATTACTTTGTGTAAATGGGACATAGAGATTGAAATTGCAGACAAAGGTGAGAGAGGGAAACAAAGAGAGGATCCCAGTGTGGCAGCTCTCTATATGAGTATGTAGCATAGGGCTGATCCAGTCTGTGAGCTGTGTCAAACAAACTGGTTTATAAAGCAAACAATAGCAAATTAACTTTGGCTAATATAACCTTAAACCCAGTAAATGGTCTTTGTCTGTCTCCCTTTCTATTTAGGTGTTGAACTGGGTCAGAGACCAGGCAGAGAAGGAGGCTGATCTGCAGCAGTATGTCCCTCATCTACAGAGCAACACCATCCTAAGGCTTCTTCAACAAGTAATTCACTTGAGTCTTTCAAATCTTTCCACATGCTTTCATTTCCTACGTCTGCACTGTGCTGCTTGAAACTTCTCTGATGAAACTGTGCCCCCATTCTAGGTTGCACAGATCTATCAGAGCATTGAGTTCACTCGTCTGGCCTCTCTGGTTCCATTTGTGGACGCCTTCCAGCTTGAGCGCTCCATTGTGGATGCTGCTCGCCACTGTGATCTGCAGGTAAGCTCAAGATCAGAAGAAAGCGATGGTCTTGGATGGACAGACATCATTGATAAATCAATCCAAGTGTTATGTGTTGAGGATCGGTGCAAAGACCAAAGGGTGTTCTGATGAACTTACCCAGTAATTTCCTTTCTCTGGCAGGTGCGTATAGACCACACCTCTCGAACTCTAAGCTTTGGCTCTGACCTGAACTACTCCACCAAAGAAGATGCTCCTGTTGGTCCGTTTCTGCAAAACATGCCCTCAGAGCAGATAAGGAACCAGCTGACTGCCATGTCCGCTTCTTTGGCCAAGGCCATCCAGGTCATCAAGCCTGCCTCCATCTTGGTGAGTCCCTCTTACCCTCATGTATAGACACACACACAGATAGATGATCGCCACCAGAGTGAAAATCTAGGAAACCCAAAAGTTTATGTCTGCTAGTGACATTGATTTTTCTTGTAACAGTAATGTTTGAGAGCAGAATTACAACCTATGCAATTAAGCTTTGGTTTTCGTTATTGACTGTTTTACTTCAAACCACCAAAACTTGTGGAAATGTCTGTGGTTCATACTATTGAAGAGCATCCAGTCCATATGTTTTAGAGAGGTATATCCTCCTGACTCATGATAAGGCTCTTGAGTTAAAAAAAAAAAACTATTTTCTGGACTCAAAAATGCATTTGGATGTTTTGTCCTTTCTCAGCAAGAGCGTGAAGAGCATAACCAGCAGGCTATTGCTGCCTATCTGAAAAATGCCCGAAAAGATCACCAGCGCATCCTGGCTCGCAGACAGACCATTGAAGAGCGTAAAGAGCGGCTCGAGAGCCTGAACATCCAGCGTGAGAAGGAGGAGCTTGAACAGCGTGAGGCAGAGATGCAGAAGGTTCGTAAGGCTGAGGAGGAGCGTCTGCGTCAGGAAGCCAAGGAGAGAGAGAAAGAGCGCATCATGCAGGAGCATGAACAGATCAAGAAGAAGACTGTCCGAGAGCGGCTGGAGCAGATCAAAAAAACCGAACTTGGAGCCAAAGCCTTCAAGGATATTGATATTGAGGTCAAATGAAGCTCAATTTACAGCATTGGTTGGATACATAGTAATTTAAAGTGAAAATAGGAGACTTAACAGATGTGTTCTTACAGGATCTTGAGGAGCTGGACCCTGATTTCATCATGGCTAAACAAGTGGAGCAGCTGGAGAAGGAGAAGAAAGAACTCCAGGAGCGTCTGAAGAACCAGGAGAAGAAGGTACCTAAAGAAAACATGATTAAGACTATATGATCAGAGGTATCACAGAGTTCAATTGGTTTCTGTTTCTGTCCAGATCGACTACTTTGAAAGAGCAAAACGTTTGGAGGAGATCCCTCTCATCAAGAAAGCTTATGAAGAGCAGCGTGTCAAGGACATGGAGCTGTGGGAGCTTCAAGAAGAGGAGAGGGTATGTTTGCTCTGTGTTTACAAAAACTCTTCTTAGCTGTAATTGTTTCTGGTTTGTAATGCAAGGATTACGTCTTTCATTTAGATCAGCAACATGAAGGTTGAGCGGGAGAAAGCTTTGGAGCATAAAAAGCGCATGTCCAGGATGATGGAGGACAAAGAAAACTTCTTGTCCAAAATCACCGCAGCCCGTAGCTTCATCTATGAGGTGAGATGATCCAGACTCAATTCTTTAGCTGTGCTGAGAGCAGCAGTTAGTATCTAGCCTGTATGTGTGGAGAGTGACACTAGAGGGCAGTGGTGTGTCAGCACAGTCCATCAGTGATGTGAAGCAATGACAAAATCAGTTGCAGACCAATTTTACTGTCAATAATTAGTCGTTATATTATTGCATGTTGTTTATGCTGTGTGCTGGTGGACCATTGTTTTCTGGAGCCCAGTTGCTGAGCGGTGAGCCATCTTTGATCTTTGCCACCTCCCCTGAGAGCTGCAGATGCAAAACGGCAACCAGGCAGTGACCAGTAAAAATGGCTGAGTGGAGGTGACTGATGTGGCACCATCATGTCGAAAATGTTGGGGCATTTTACTTTCAATGCTGGGAAGAAAAGGGCTGCTTCCAAAATCTGCAGCCCTTGCCCACTTCATTGTTTGAAACCGTGTTTCCACAAAGATGTCTGGTTTAGATTTGGATGATACAAAAGAGCTCTGCGAGTAAGTTATTTCACCAAAGAAGTGTCATTTGCATGTCTGTGGTCTGCTGTTAATATGTAAACAAGATCAGGATTAACTTTAACAAGCTGCACTGTACTGAACCGCACCACTTGGTGGCACCATTTGAAGCTAAGCTACTCATGGAGGTAAATTCAATCTTCTTACAGCAACACTAGTGAGGTTTAAAACTGGGACTAATAGGGCCAAAACAAAAATGACATTGCACCTTGATTCAATGTATACTGGCCTAAAAATCGACATAAGTGAAAACTCTTGGACAAAGCTGAAAGTACACTACAGCCCCTGGTTTGAAATGAGCGCAATTGTCCAGCAGAGGTCTCAAATACAATTTTCTGTCCTTAAAGGAAAAACTCAAAGCTTTCGAGGAGCGCTTGGTGGAGGAGAGGAAGAAGCGAATGGAGGAAAGAAAAAAGCAGCGCAAAGAGGACAGGCGTAAAGCTTTTGTCCGTCAGAAAGAGGAAGAAGCACAGCGCATTCACGAGGAGCAGCTCAAGAAGGGTAAAGAAGGGTGTTTTTACAAAGAGACCAGCGAAGCCCACCCATCGTAAAGACAGCATGGCATTGTTTTGTCCTTTAGTTGGTTTGAAAACCACCTCAAATGACTCTGCTTTTTGAATTCATGTACAAGACAGTAGTTCTTAATATTTTAAGAGTTTATGGAGTTTGGGCGCACCCCATAAATTATTTTCTGTTTTTGGCACAGAGCGAGAGGAGCGGGAACTCCTGGAACAACAGCAACGAGAAGAAGAAGAGAGGGAGTACCAGGAGCGCCTGCGCAAGCTTGAGGAGCAAGAGCGCAAGCAGCGCGCCCGTCAGCAGGAGATCGAGGAGCGAGAACGACGTCGCGAGGAGGAGAGAAAAGGCCCCCCGGAAGAGAAAACCAAGGTGCAAATCAGCTATTTGATCAGAGCTTCCACACAACACAGCAAATCTGACTGCATGTGCAAGCTGAATGTCTTTCTGACAGGGTGGTAATAGCAGGGGTTTCAGGATTCCTGGCAAGATATGAACCGGAGTTACCATTAGTAACCTAACGGTGCCTAAAGGAACGTGCTGTTTTATTTCTCATTGAAGTTCTTGGAATGTAGAAATGACAAGTGTGTGTGTCTGGTGAGGAAGAATCTGCAAACAGAGCCTTCCTTTCCTGACAAACAAACTTGAACAGATTTGTGACATTAGGATGTAAGATCATGGTGCCTTGTTGTTCAAAGACATGCTGAGTGTAGAGAATTTTGAATGTTCCTGATGTGATGGTCTACTGTGTCTTGACTGACCTTTTTCCTGGTGCAGGATTGGGGTGAGAAGGAAGAGGGAGGATGGAGAAAACGTACTGAGGGAGGTGACTCTGAGTGGCGTCGTCCTGTGCCTGATAGGTGAGTGATTGTAACTTAGCTCAAACCCACATGGCGGGTAACATGGCGTTACACCCCCTGGACTACTGGGACCTACTTATACAAAAACCTGTGCTTTCTGTGCAGGGAGTGGAGACAGGAGGGCCGTGAAGAAGACAAGGAGGAAAGAGAGGTCCCCTTCAGAAGAGGGGAGGGTCCTCGCAGGGGTGGGGATGATAGAGGACCACGGCGAGGCTTTGATGATGATCGAGGTCCACGACGCGGTGGTGATGATGAGCGTCCTCTACGCAGAGGGTTGGATGATGAGCGTCCTCCACGCAGAGGCTTTGACGATGATCGTGGTCCAAGAAGGGGAGGAGATGATGACCGTGGACCCAGACGTGGCTTTGATGATGACCGTGGTCCCAGGCGTGGATTTGATGATGACCGTGGACCCAGGCGCGGCTTTGATGAGGACAGAGGTCCCCGTAGAGGCCTGGATGACTTAAGAGGACCCAGGCGTGGGGCTGATGATGACTGGGGTCCCAGAAGAGGCGGAGATGATGACAGAGGTGGAAGAAGAGGCCTGGATGATGGGCCACGCCGTGGTGGTGGTGATGACCCAAAACCCTGGAAGCCCCTGGGCAGACCTGGTGAGCTTGCAGGCCCTCATCTGCCAATCATTGAAGGAGATGTTTTAAGATTAAGCTGAAAATATTTTTTTTTTTCTCTTTTAAAACATGTCATATCAGGAGTCAACTCTCCTATTGCAGGTGGTTGGCGTGAGCGGGAGAAAGCAAGAGAGGAGAGCTGGGGACCACCCCGAGATGAAACCAATGACGAAGGAGACGGTGAAGGAGAGGAGAGGTCGAGTGAGCGAATCAGAGACCGCCGCCCTCCAAGGTTGACCTGATGAACCTTTGCCAAAATGTTTTTTTATTGCAGTAAATACAGAAAACATCATCATGAACCCTTTCAATGAGCCTTTTTTGAACGACGCTGTTTGTGTTCATATGTATTCACAGAGAGGAGGGGAGCTGGAGAAGAGGAGGCACAGAGGAGGGAAGTGGGTGGAGAGAGTCTCGCAGAGAGGAAACTGACCGTGATGATCGCCGTGACCGTGAGGACCGCCGTGGTGACCGTCGAGGTGATAGAGACCGCAGGGATGATCGTGAACCAAGAGGCGCACCCAGAGAGCATCAAGATGATGGTGAGCAGATCACAATTCCTGACTGACATAACCATCATGGTCGACATCAGGAATATACGACTATAGCTGAGCAGTTTTTCCGAAGAGGCACTTAAAAAAGGTTGAAATCCCATTGGCCAATTGGCATGACCACAAACAGGGCCTGGGGTCTGATGGGATTTGGATTCTGATGTGGAGGGACTGTGTAGGATTCAGCTCAATAGATATATTAAGAACACAGTTAGCAATACCCTCTGATGTTGAGTCCTGTGACACCAACCATTACAGTGTAGAAGTGAGATTGATGACATGTAGAGAAAACACATTTGAGGAGACGTTGTGAAGTAAGTCCAAGTTTCAATCAAGTTTTAGGATTTTGTTGAAACTGTATGAATCCAACTTCCTGAAGGGGGTGATCGAAACTTTTGAGTCACACAAGCACACTGAGTCAATCTCTACTAATGGCACTATTTAGGAGCAAAGTAACCAAATAAATGGTATCCACTGGTTTGATACTGTTGCTCTTTCTAATGCACCCAAAGCAATATTTCACTGTAGAAAGTCAGGTGGTCTTCAAAAAAGATTTTGTATACCTGTATAAATACCTTGAAGCTTCTTTCTTTTTAAGATATTTTTCTTTGAGTTTAATTGCATGACAAAAAAAAGAACAACATAGAGTTAGAAATGCTGAAACATTGTATAGGAGAGGTCTGATGTCCTAAGCTGAACATGCTGCCCCTCTAGGATAGACAAGAGATATACTGAGCAGCAAAGTTGATCAGTTCAAAAGGACAACGACATAGTTTTATGTTTACAGGACCAGAGGTAGTGAAGAACTTTAAACTTTTGAAACACTTGTTGAAAGATGATATTGAAGATGTCTGTAGAGATGGAGGTAAACTGCTATAAAGTGATAGCCCTCAGTATCTCAACGTGAAGTCTGACTGAATAGAGGGTAGAAAACCTTTTGAGTGTCCCACATTTTCTCAATCAAACCTGAGGCCTTTCCAAAGAAATGTAGTAAAGTACTGGGTAGATCTTGAGGTAAAAAGATCATCACCAGGTCTGACACATTCAAGGTTTCCCTGGTGAATTTGTCATAATGAGCATCTCTGTCTTTGCAGGTGGTTCATGGCGTCGTGGTGGGGATGAGAAGCGAGAGGAGCGGGACAGGGAACGACCCAGGGAGAGGGAGAGGGAGCGTGACCGTGATGCGGATGGAGAAAAGGGGTGGCGTTCTGACAAAGAAAACCCTCGTCGCACCAAGAATGAGACAGATGATGATGGCTGGACCACTGTCCGTCGCTGAGCAACAGCCTGCTCATCCAAGTCAACCAGTTAATGGCAACTGTTTTTGAAAAATCAGTATCCTATCAGCTGGTCATTCACAGTGGTAAATCTATGGTTCCAAGCCTCTGAAATTCTCATGTAATCCTTTTGAATTAAATATTTGTAGGTGTTAGTTTCCCTCTTTTTTTTTTTCTTTCAGTTTTGTTTTGACTTTGAACTCTTTCAAAGTAAAAGCTCTTAACCACCTTAGGACAACATCAAAAAACACCAATGTAAACATGAATGCTCAAACAGAAATCTGTGAAGTTAAAACTGATTTCAGAAAAACAATGTTCCTGCTCCAACTCTCAATGCAAACTCTATCACCAAATGCCTCATTGAAATATTTAACCCTGGCGTAGATGTTTTAGTACAACTCAGATGCACAGCTCTCAGTGGCTTGAACATCTTTCATGTTTTATTGGTTTCTGCTCTTCTCATCTAACATTCAGACGCTTCTACATTTTGACATGCATGCTTAGAGTATTCAATTGGTCTGGCTCAATAAAAAGGTGGGGTTTTATCTTGCTGCAGTCACGGTGTGAAACCAGGTTGCATGTGTACAGATAAAGCCTTGATTAATAAAGACGTTTGCTCACCATCAACCACTTGCTCCTTTTGTCTCAATTGCTGCATCTTCAATAAATCTTATGGAATCATTGGTCAAGTTTCAGCGTAGTTTTATGACTTGCAGGACATCAGATTCCAACCTTTGACCCAAAATGAATATCAGATTATGAAAGGACTCCAGGTGAAGTACTTTTAATTTTTCCATAAATGAGTGTGACACAAGTGTAAAGTGTGAGAGCCTGTATCTCGTTTGTTTCATCTCATCACACCTCTGTCAAACTGAGATGTGTAAACACACCTGGACATGAGTCCTCAGATCCCAGCAGGAACTTCCCAAGTAAAACTGATCAAGTCCTACTTTGGCACGAGTTTGCTGCTTCTCTTAAACACGTACATCCTTAACACCCCAGTGTTGGTTTAATTTCGTTACAGTACCGTAGTTCATCCGCTAGAGGTCGGTAAAGCACTACGGAGTGAGCTGACACGCTTCACCGTTTAGGGGCGAACATGTAAGATGTGATGGTTCACTATGTAAAAACTTGTATGAAAAAAAAACATATAGGCTGCGGTCAGTTCACTGTCTGTAGGTAAACAAGCGCCATGCTGTGAGGATTAATACACAAAAGAAATTCAACCACACAGGGTACTTTCCCTCTGGAATAATGCTTTCATCCCAACAAATATCCAATTGAATTTGGCTGGCCTGAACCTTTTTATGACCACGGTTGAAAATAAAAGAACTTGTGATTTAATATGTCCAATATTTAATTAAAATACAGATCAACATATAATCAGAGACATTTAAAAAAAAGTTTGAACTCCAATATGGCCGACTAAACCAACCTAAAAAGGCAAAGACGTGAAAAAAAAAGAAGTCTCCCAGTGAATCTTTAAAGTCTTAATAATAGCTTTTTGCTCTACAACAGCATTTATGATATGTCTTCAAAAAGCGCGCAGAAGCTGTGGAGATATTTGTGAGGATGCACTTTAGTCTGTACACTTTCTGTTTTAATCCGCAGAGACTCGTAACCTACAAACATCCAACACCTCAGCGACATGTCTATATAAGCTTAGAGTGGACAACTGAACTATAATAATAATAATAATAATAATGATGATGATGATGATAATAGTAGTAGTAGTAGTGGTAATAATAATAATAATAATAATAATAATAATAATAATAATAATAATAGCGTTATTATTATTATTATTATTATCATTATTATTGTTATTATTATTTTATTTTTAATAATATTATTAATAATGTTATTATTACTACTACGACTACTACTACTGTTATCACTATTATAGTTATTTTTGCTTTCATTATCATAATTTGTATTGTTATAATTATTAATATACTATTATTGTAGTTTTAGAATTAGTATTATGATGTCACTATCATTATAATTATGAAGCTAATCCTTTAATCATCAGTCTGACCAATACTGTCAAACTAATACGGCATTTTCTGTTAAATATTCGTCATCTAATAGGTTGTAATTTTGAACAAACCTTTCCTCACGTTAAATCTCCGTAATTTTAGAAACGGACAACAATTGTCCTCTGAAAAGGTGTAAGACACATTATAACCAGGGCTGCGTTCAGGCCTCTCCATATTTCACGGGGCTCCGTGGCGCGCTCCTCCTGTGGATCACTACTTTCTGCAGGTCCACGGTGCTCGGCCATGACTCCAGCATCGTGGCGTTGCTACAACATATTGATTTACACACAGACGTGACAGTCTACAGTTAGTCTATTACTAACGTGTCCGGCATTTGATACTGAAAAACAAGGACAAAGCGACCCATCAGGGGACTGATTTGAGTTTTGAGGACTTACAGCTAAAGCTTGTTTTTGTCTCCCAAGACGACATCTCATCTTATTGAAAGTACTATTAAATTGAATTGAAGTCACATTCTTGTAAAAATCAGTGGAAACAAAAGTTTAAAAAGAGCACTGACGAAATAGGAGTAAAATTCTGTCAAAATCAACACAGGGAGAGTTTTCAGAAACAGAATCCACCTGACAGCCAGATCAGGTCGGAGCTGAAATGACGCGCACAGAGACGCAATATTGGCCCTCTTTATTAGAGCGGATCTGATGTGTGCGCGACCCTGTTGTGAATGATTAATAGTAATCACTTACAAGTGGTATACCAACATCACACACACGGACACGCGCAAACACACACTGCCTGCCACACACGCGCACACCCAGCCGTAAAAACACAGTTTGAACATGTCGGCTACCTTGGCTGTTTCTACTGGTTCTGATGAGTGTGTTAAATGTCCTGAAGATATGTGCGCGTAAGTGTGCGTGCGGGGGCTCCTTTGGACGAATCCGTTCCGTGTTGCTCGTTCGAGTCCGCCTCTCCGCGCCCCTGCTTCCCATTGACGTACTTTTTAAGCGTCTTCCTCTTCTCCACCTTAAGGCGAGCAGCAGCGGCAGCGACCAATCACCATGCTATTACAGCCTTCAGAGGAAGCTGTTTATGGGACTGCAGCGCTAATTAGGCTCATGAACTAACAAATCTTCCTGCACGAACCCGGCGAGGAAAACGATCACATCCATGGATTAGTCTGGGAGTAGCCGAGCACTTTTTATTTTGGCTTCCTCGACGCATCAGCCGCCTCTCCAAAACTTATTTACTGCAAAGAAACTTTCCCTCTTTTCTTGCCCGTGGTGGAGTATTTTTAAGCGAGAGAGCCTACAACAACTTTGACTTAAACTGGGGAATCTGGACATTCAGACCATGTTTCAACCTACACCCAAGAGGTGTTTTACTATAGAGTCTTTAGTGGCGAAGGATAATCCTGTACCGGCGTCCCGCTCCGAGGAGCCCATCAGGCCAGCGGCTCTCAGCTATGCAAACTCCGGCCAGATGAACCCATTTCTCAACGGCTTTCACTCTGGCGGCAGGGGCGTCTACTCTAACCCGGACTTGGTATTTGCCGAGGCGGTCTCCCATCCGCCGAACTCCGCCGTCCCGGTGCATCCGGTGGCCCCGCCGCACGCTCTGGCCGCTCACCCGCTTTCCTCCTCGCACAGTCCGCACCCCCTTTTTGCCAGCCAGCAAAGGGACCCATCAACTTTCTACCCCTGGTTATTACATAGATATAGGTACTTGGGACACAGATTTCAAGGTAAGTTTTCAAAGTCCTTTGTTGGACTCACTTTTAACACACAGAAGGTGCCGAGCGGCTCAAAGCGCTTCTCAAACCTGCCCTCTCTCTCTCGCTCTCTCTCTCTCTTTCTCTGCACAAGCAGCTGGGTGTGGAGGAAATTTAAAATAGGAGAAGCTGAACTTCTCTGATCCAAACAAACACTTTTATGCAGATTTTTTTTCGCTCATGTCACCATGTGATCTATTTCCACTTTTCGGAAAAGCTGGAATAATCACAGAAATAATAGTCTATTGCTGAGGCGTCTCTATATCTGGATGTGCTCTGTGCAGCAAAAAGACAGCAGAAAATTTGTGGTATTTAGTGTGTTTGTAGGTCGTGGAACACGTCTGTGTGTAAAAATGAAACCAGTTTAGGCCGTGTTGCTGCTCGCCAGGAGATTCTTTGAATCTTTCGCATTTTGACCACAAAGATTTTTGTTTTGAATTTTAAAAAAGGGAAAAAAAATCCAAGATTGTAATTTAAGTGGCTTTAAGATGGTGATCAACACCTCGTGAGTCATATATTTAATGTATGTTGAATTTATTTACTGAGCTTATTTGGCCTACGGGACATTTGGAGCAGAATTTCGTTAACCGAGTTTTTTGGTTTGTTTTGTGGCACATTGTGGAGAGTTACACCTCAGGTTATTTCAGTCCATTAAATACAAACCACTACATTTATAAAATTTATATATTCCGAGTTGATTTAATGTAATATTTTCTCTGTTGTGGAAATTTCTTGACGCTGCTTGAATTTCATTTGTGATATTTTAACAATGGAGGGTTTTTTCTCCTGCTAATTAAATTAGGCCCGGGATTATACCTGCAGCAGCTTTGGGTTGTTGTTGTTGTTCTCAGCTCCCATGCCGAGCTCTCATCGATGATTTACGAGCACACAATCATTTCAAACACACACCTTTATGATCAGACACATTTATTGAGCAGCTCCATTTATTTACACCACATCCAGCTGACTGTTGTTGTTTTTCGGCAGCCGCGCTCAGGCCTGCTGATTTTTTTTCAAAGTGTTAACAAGTAAAAGTGGAGTCCTGACTAAGTCTTGTTTTTTTACTTATAGAAAATATATATTTTTTGTTGGTTTCCAGGTAATGAAACGAGTCCGGAGAGCTTCCTTTTGCACAACGCACTCGCCAGAAAGCCCAAACGAATCAGGACAGCTTTTTCCCCCTCGCAGCTCCTGCGGCTCGAACACGCGTTTGAGAAAAACCATTATGTAGTGGGAGCAGAGAGGAAACAGCTTGCGCACAGCCTTAGCCTCACAGAAACTCAGGTAAGACCATGGATTTATATTTTTAACTACATGTATATTCTGCTCTCTTTCCTCGGAAATGCGCTTGGTGCTTGTTTTGGTTGTGTAGACGGCCTCTCCGTGGGTTCATTAGTTCATTTACCGCGAGAACAGGCCCAAATGTGTTTTGAACTCTTTACTGCTATCACAAAAAATCACATCGAATCTCATGATGTTGACTGAGTTCATGCAATATTTTCTGCTTTTTTTCTGTATTTTTTTCATCGCTGATTGTGCGTTAAAACGCCTCCAAAATAAAATTGGAGCGCCATATAATGAAAGCATTAAAATGAAGAAGAAACCTGTTCATAAAAAGGTGTTCGTGGATAATCATCCACAGAGGTGTTTCTAGCCTCCACGCACAGCAGACGCATGTTGTCAGTGTGAGACAGAGGCTTTTCTGTTGGATCTATTCCACTGTCATTGTCCAGAGCTCTGCTCGTTTTAGGAGGGGTTGAATTACTTTGTTTAAGAGGGAGGATGTTGCTTTTTAAAATGGAGGGGAAATTAACCAGTTAACCATTTTATGGGGTAGGGGATACAAAGAGCGAGGCGGGTTCAGTGAAGTCCCCCCTGCCATATTTAAAATGCAGTTTGAGCCCATCAGCGGCTGTCTTTTGTCCACTGTGCCTCTTTGGACGGCGGGGCCTTTGGAGGAACTGAAGGGAGAAATGAACCATCACGTACTTCAATTAACCCACTGAAGGCTTATTAAATGCACCTCAGTTGCCATTTAAGCGCTAAAGGGGCGGCAGAGCGACAAAGCAGGAACAGACAATTTATCGATTTAAATGTTGTTCACTCCCCACGGGACCGTTTAACACGGCCGAGCTCACTGCGGGGAGTGCGTCAAAATGCACCCTCAATAAGTGACACGGGTGTCACACTGTTATACTATTTCCACGGCATTGTCTTCAAATATTTACAGCTGAAAAATGTCAAATTTAAGGAGATAATATTCCAACATTTCAAAGATAACAAATTATAATTTGAGATCTTGTTGCATTGCTGCAATTTAAAGTTTTGGGGACAGAATGAAGGACGCTCTCTAAATCCGTGATCAGCTGATTTCATATTATTAACGGCGAAGAAACCACACTGTCATTTAAAGAACACGCGTATTAAATGACTTTTGGTTCATTGTAGAGATATCTTGCTCTGTGATCATCACAGTTGAACTCCTCATCTGCTCTGCTCGCTGCCTGCCTGCCTGTCTGTATTTTGTCCTGCCATCCTCACAATGTGCACCTTTTGTGCTCGCCTTTTTACGCGCCGGCCAATTGCGGTTTCTCTCGTGACACTGATCCAATTTTTTTCGTTCCTTTTTCTCCTTGTTCCCCTCCTCAGGTAAAAGTGTGGTTTCAGAATCGAAGGACGAAGTTCAAGCGACAGAAGCTAGAGGAGGAGGGTTCCGAGTCTCAGCAGAAGAAGAAGGGATCCCACCACATAAATCGATGGAGACTGGCGACTAAACAGTCGAGTCCAGAGGAAATTGATGTCACTTCGGACGATTAAAAAGACTATATGCGTCCGAGTGAAAGAGGACTTGGATAAAGGAGACCATAGAGACAGTTCGAGGGTAAAAAAGCAAATGTCACATTCAGATCTCCGGAGATCGGCAGCTGAGGGTGAGAGAACCCCGACTGGTGGCTCTGCTGTCACCAAGTGGGTCTGTCAATCCAAACGACCCAGGAAAACCCGACTGACACCGTGTCAGTCCACCTACCTGACCCCCACCAACATCCACCTCTACAATCTCCCCACACCACCAATACCCCTTTCTCCAATACATATTGGACGTTTGCACTTCAGACGGTTTTTTAGCAAAGAAAGAAAGAAAGAAAGAAAGAAAGAAAGAAAGAAAGAAAGAAAGAAAGAAAGAAAAGTTTTCACCCAAGAAACCAAAACACCAAACAGCTTTTGTAAAACTTGAATTGCATGGGATATTTTTATTTCCTGGTACTTGTTTTAATTTGACACTTTTGTCAAAGAAATAAGAGAAGAAAAAAAAACAATTTTGTTTTTAATTCTATTTTCAAACTGAGAGATGTCGTGCTATTTCCTTTTTACAAAGTGTGCAGTCTTTAATTCATGATTCTCGTGTCAAAGTGATTGTGAAAACATATGAAGTAGCGGTGCTGCGTTATAGTGATTTTTTTATAAAGAGAAGAAAAAATTCGATTAAAAAAAATCGGACATAAGAGTGAATCAGATCTCCTATGAAGTACTTAAAGGGAAGGTATCAGGACATTCCTCTAACTAACCTAAAGCTTTACTCATGTGTCGCTGCGGCCCCCCGTGCACGCAGCCTTCTGTCAGGACTTGACCCTCCAGTGAAAAGTTGCCATGACGGACTAAAAGCAACATTTGAGACGGAAAAAAAATCTTGAAGAAGCACTGACCGTATTCCATGTACAGATGCTCCAAATCAATGTTTCTGTTCAACCCTCTTTTACAGAATGTACATAATTTTTGTGTTTGTGTTAAGTTTGCTACAATTTTAACACAAAGTATATACTTCTAAGAAGTATGTAATTGTCAATATTTTGTCAATAAAGTTTTATCAATATGTTGCGCTTAGTCAAAGTTCAGGCTTTTCATTCTCGAGTGTAGATGGCTGATTGAATTTAGGGCGATGGTGGTTCACTTAAGCTCTGCTGATGTGGCGTTAGGACTCCGCTTTAATTTAAAGACACACACGCAGAAAGAGAGAAAGAGAGAGAGAAAGGGGAGAATAGTGCAGCCGGCATTTGTTGTCCGGTGCTGCTGCGTTTGTTTCTCAGTCTGATAAAGAGCGCATTAGTTTGATTTTTGAGGGGCTGCGGCGTCTGCTCCGCTCCAGTTACAAAGAATCCCTCCAAGCTTTTGTGAAAGTGCAAATCAGTTTAGGCAATTATCATGCGAGTAATATGAGGGGAAAGGGGATGCATTGCCCAGTGGTCCACTTTAATCTCTTAATCCACGGATCCAAGGGGGCTCGGTTGGACATAATTTAGTACAATCTGACTACCCCTCACGACGCGATAAGAGAAGGTTGCAATGCGCCGCAAAATGGGATCTTTGTTTAAAATCTTGTTTTGCAGTCTCCACCATGCTGCAAGCTGCTGCTTTGGACTGAACGGGAACATTACAAGGCTTCATTATGAGCCCGCAGGCTGAAGGAAAAAGATGCTATTTCCAGCAGGAAAGCGCTCCTATTTAGGCGCAAACAAACCGAGAAAAAACAATGAAGGCTCCGTTTTTCAAAGCACGCTCATTTGAACTGGATTATATTTTTTCATGTTAATACAAAACCAGCCAAACTTGGGTGTGTTTGGGTGCGAGGTGCATGTTTCGTTAAAATATTTCATTAAGAAAAAACAGAGCTGTTTTGTGCTTTGGGTAGGGAGGCATGGCATATAGGGAATTCTTAATCGGTCCAGATTATAACAGCAATAAAAATCTTTAGAGAATACCATTAGCTTTGGAAAAAAAACACACCCTAAAAGCTTTATTACAAACCCAGCTTTGAAATAGGGGGGATTAGAGGACTGAAAGGGTCCCACAATAGTTAGAAGAAAAGGTTTCATGCTAATGAGGTTAATGCCCTTTGTATCTCCGGACTCCACAACTTCATTACTCCTATCTCGGGCAACACCGAGCGGCTCAGAGCTTCACAATCCACTCGAGCTTTTCCCTACCCTGCCTCTAAAGAAGGATTTGATAGCAGTCCTGTTCAAACTAGATAATTATATCTTTTCAAGTTGGAATTAAGATAAAGGAAGTGCAGTGGAGGCGGCGAGCCTTGATCCGCCGCAAACAAATTTGGCGCACCCACCTCCCCACCCCCCTCCTCCTCTGTGCGCCTGTATGGACGCACAACAGACAGGACGGGCTTTTCATTAGAGCGGAGACTATTTGATTATTGGAGAGACTAAAAAAAGAAAAAAGGATAACCTGCTTTAAAAATAAGGATACCTCTGTAACTACATGGAAAGACTCAATTCAAATTTGAGGAGTTTTTTTTCTCGGGTCCAGTGACAGATTTGGCGCCTTTCTGAATTATTTCATACTATGAATGACTCAATGTTGTGACGTTAGCAAGCAATATTTACATATGGAAAATTGGACTTGACGTTTTAGATGGAAGATGGCGTTTAGATTGAAGTTACCGGCTGGTAGGCCTATGAGTGTTTTTTCGGGGTCATTTAATTCTCGTTTATATTTTGGCGCTCATTAAAAAGCCACCAGGCACAAAGTGCGACTGTTAGATCACATGGATAGGAATATAATTAATTTGGACATGCTTCAAACAGTCTAATGTGAAGTTGGCCCCCACATATCGCCACCTTTTTCCACACGCTCGTACTGTGCGTTTTGGACCAGCTGTGGGGACCTTTTGTGACCCACTTATCTAAACTTAAGCTGCCCCGCTCCGTGCAGGGGCCAAACTCTCCATAAATCATCACAGCTCCCGAGCTGTTTGATTCCTCCTTCCAGACCCAGGAGCGAGTCGGAGTGGACATTTTGGACCCGAGCCCCGCTGCATGAAACATTTAGTCTGCAACGTGAAATGATTATCCGTCATTGAAAAGAGTAGTCGGTCCTATCAAGTGACCCCACTGACCCAAAACCTCTAATCTGCAATTAGTAGGTATAATTACGTCCGCTGACACCACTAATGTGCACAGTGGCAGAGGGAGGGAACAGGCGGAGGACAAGCTTCGTATTAGTGCTGAAGGTCAATAATTGATCGAGCTGAAATCTCTTAAGTTGGGGGAAGTGGCCCTGAAAGGACGGCTTTGGATAGTTTGTCAACACGTACTCTGCTGCGAGGGACCTCAGGACGACTTTTCCCTCTTTCATTTCAGCACACACCTCGTCAGAGCAAATGGAACTGCTCCTGAGGTGGCACCTGTGGGCCGGGGCCCTGCCACAACGAGACGCCAGGACTAACTTGATCTGTCCCGTTTCACAAATTACCTCTGAAACTGATCCCTGAAACGAGAGAATGAACCCTACACAATTTCTTTGGCCTTGACATAAGGTGCAGCGATAAATATACAGAACTAATGAGCAATTAGCATACAATCATCCCTGTCTCCTCTTTACGTCAAGATAAATTAAACATCGGAGCCCTGGATTGAGTTTCTCTTTTGATTATTAATAACGAGGGAGGCGTTTGCAGCCATGATGTGGTCTGATGATTATGTTTTCCAAACGCAGCATTTTGTCATTTGCCAGCAGGAGCAGTCAGCACTTCCTGACACGGACTACCAGCTTCTCCAGTAACTTTCTGCCGGCTAAGTGTTCGGACGCAACAATCCTCCAACTAAGCCTTGAGTACGCTCTCTTTATTTTTTCATTTTTAAAGGATTGATTTTTTAAAACTAAATCTGTGAAGGGTTGGGCCGTTTTACGCACGCGCAGAGCGTTGTAACACGGTGCTTGGGCCGCTGAAAGAAAATAATTTGCTTGTGTTTAAATGTTACTATACATTAAAATTAACACATTTTAATTCAAAATAATCACATTCAGATAATTGATATTTTTCTGCCGTTTTGATTGAGATTGTTCATATTTTGCTGGTTCTGTTTCATTCGCCTCTTTTTTTTCTCCATCATAGTGTATGCGCACAGGCAGGGTCACAGCTCATAAAACACACACTTACACACACTTAAGTCCTGGAACCACAATGTGATTGTTAATAGATGGACCAGGCCGGGAGCCGCGTTAGCTGCTACTCTGACGGAGCTCTGCAGTTTCTTTCTTCATCGGCCGTGTTCACTGAGGTCAACACACACACACACACACACACACACACACACACACACACACACACACACACACACACACACACACACACACACACACACACACACACACACACGTCGCAGACCTATAGTTGATAAATGAAACTTCATGTCCACAGTAGTATCGACGGACATTTACAGTATTTTGCACCTAAACACGCGCTCTTTCCTTCTTCTTGGTCTCGGTTCCACAATGACCTGCGCAGTCAGCAGACACACCATCGGCATCTGCCTGAACTCGGCCCATATCTGACAGGCTCGGCCCGGCTCGGTCTGGGAAGACTCGGCAATTTCAGACCTTTGTTTGCTTATTTTTCCTTCTATTATTTCTAACAGCTATATACCCCTAAACAGGCATGACAAAAGTGTTCCTCTTTCACAGACTCGTCCACAGGAGGATTTCTTATATGATAGGGGAATTCAGGTTACACTTCCATTTGCATAGAAGTGTTTCCCACACACCCAGCAGCTCTGAAGAGAGCAATTGTCGACCCCCTGTCCTCTGACGTTCCAAACTCCAAACATTTTATGGGTTGTATCTGCAACCATGCATCCCCCTCAGTGCTCTAATGTGTAACACATGGTGGACTGTACACCTGATAAAATACCTCAGGGGCCCTGCAGTTTGGAAAATCCTCAATTCGCTCCCTAAATAAAACAAACAATGGCCTCACTAAATATATCACATGTGCCTGCTGAACTATTTTGTGTCTCTTGACCTGTGAGTCCCCTCCCAACATCATCACTGATAATGGTCCATCTGCTCGCTGGCTAGTGCCACGTACGGCACAAAGCAGAGATACTTTTGATAGTAATACCACAGATTTGAGGAGCTCCTTTCTTTGACCTGCTCCAGGCTAAGTGGGCTGTAGGAGGACCACTTGTTGAAGCGACATTACTCTTCTCTCTGGCTCATGGAGGCGAACTTTTCTTCTCACCATGTTTGTGTGTCACTCCACGACAGGAAATAATCACACACAATAAGATGATCTCAAGTTTAAACTCGTATCTTGGTCCTCCTCCTCTGTGCTGGGGTTTCACTCCTGTAAAAAAGCTGCAAATGTGGCAACAATTATAGCAGAAATGTAATCTAGCTGCTGGGGAGTGGGCTGTGGAATAGACAGGTGAAATTGTGGGCACCTGTTCGTCTGTCCCTGCCTTGCACCCGTCTGAACTTTGCTGTGTCTCCCCCTATTGGTAGCTGAGAGGGAGAAAAATCCTCCCGTAACATGAAATATCAAGTTACTGTTGGCTCAGTCTGATGGCAGCCCAGTGTTTAGAGTCTGGAAAGTGAAGCAGCATTAAATACTAGTGGTGTGCTTTTTGGACAGGAGCTTGTGTGCACTTGGATTGAGCTATGTTTTTGGTTATTCTCTGTTGAAGCCAGCCTGTGACACATCTAAGATGTAATAGTAGATTTTTCATTTAGTGCCTCCAGAAGATTAGTTTAGACAAAGTGAAGCACACTCTAAACCAGCACACACACACACACACACACACACACACACACACACACACACACACACACACACACACACACACACACACACACACACACACACACACACACTGGTTTATGTCACTTTAAAGGCTATCCCAACTGGTTCATGAAAATGCATGAGCACAAAATGAGGACTGTATAAACTTTGAGCAAGCTCTGTTCATGTCTTAGACAGCATTTGTTTTTTTTTAAGAGTTGATCGGTCATGTCAAGATTTATAAGGTGTAAAAGTGTTAAAGTGTTTGTGTATATACATGACCAAAAAAAACAGAAGACAAACTCCAAGTTCTGTT